GATTTTGTGCACCAGAAAAAATTTGACCACGATCCATGAGGAGTAATATCTTTGCTCAGATAATATGATTTTAGTTTTGATGTCATGAAGTTGAGGTTCTAATGTGTGTTTCTAAAATAGTAAATTATTTTGCTTCTTTGGAAGTTTTCCTTTTTAGTATTTTCTCTTTTTATTTTCCTTTCACTTTTTTCTCCGTCCAAACATAATCTAACTTTTGTTAATTTCTTTTAAAATTTAATAATTTTTAAATTTTATCCCTATTTAATATATATTTTTAAAAATTAGTAATTTATGCAATAATAAACTAATAATAAAATAGCACATTTATATTAAAAAGTTGACTTATATATTAAAAAAATTTATCTCTTCGTTTTATAAATAAAACTAGAAGAGTAGAAGAGTATGTGACAAATTTATAACACATTCTAAAATATAAAAAGAGAAAAAATTTTAAAAGGTCATGTCAAGCAAGTGTCCTTTTATTGAAATAATTTTGTTTAAGATATTATTAAGTATTAAATATTGAGAGTTTGAAAATTCAAATTTTGCTTCGTGACATCATTAGATCCAATTTGGCTGATTGAGAAAAGAGAGTGTTGATCACTAGCAATCTGGCGGCAACTTTAATTTCACGTGTTGTCATGCCATCATCCTTGGACTTATCTATCGCTAGCAACCTAGCTACCTACCCGTTTTGCTTGCTTGAGTGGGGGACAAACAAAAAGATTATTACTATTAGAATACCGATATGCGTTGTAATTTAGTGACAGCATAAAAATACTTTCATAAATCAAAAAAATCTTTTTTTAATCTCATTGGTAACTTTAAATCATTAGTATCTGCCTCTTAAAATAGGGAAAAAAAGAAGAAGAAGATTTGATATCTCTATTGAGTATTGATAATGAATTCTTATTATGAATAATTAGTACGCACTCTATTGTATATTGCGTAATTGCTTGCCATTACTTATTTTTCTTAGTCACACTGAGATCAAGGAAATTTACTTATTTAGTGGCATAGCTACGATTGTTAAGATAACAAACTTGCAATAGTGAGTATTGGCACCACTTCTCGGTGGAGGTTGGTCCAGGAAGCGATGGATATCGTCTATATCATGAGAAGTTCTTTCCAAAAAATCAACTAATCCTATATGTTCCCTGTTAGTGTAACTATAACTAATCTACCAGTCTCAGTGGAGCAATAAATTTTTCTCTTCATCTTTGCCACTTACTTTTCATGGCCCATCTTTTTGTTCCTTAAAAAAATAATACTGCCTCTGGTTTTATTCATAAAATTTTGTTTGTAGATTAAAAACAAGATTTTATAAATATGACAAAAGAAAATACTTAGCTGTGATTGTTAAGAGAACAAACTTGCAATAGTGATTATTGAAACCACAACATTAATTCTGGAATCCGCCAACAATTTTATCTTTATTTTTTTCACTAACTTTTCATGGCCTACCTTTTCTTTTCTTTTTCTTTTTAAAAAAAATAATCTTAACTTTTCTCTTCCAGCCTGTCAAACGCCACCTTTAGGTGTTTATAATATTTTTTAAATCCCAACACTACACGTGAATGAATTCATTCTTTTTTGACCGGTGAATGAGTTCATTCAAACACCCAATTTTCAAATAAAAAATACAAATAAATACTAAAAGTTTTAATGATTCTAAAGTAGAATCTAATAATAAGCTTTAAAGTAATACACCTTCCTTTTTTTTTTTATAAGATCTAATTTTTTAAATGGGTTTATTTTTTTATAAGATCTTTTTTTGGTTTGTCTGAACATTTAATACATTATTACTTATTTTACTTTTAGTTTAATGCATTTAATACATTCTCTTTTTTTATATATCTTACTGTTACTCTCTCATATCCACCCATTTATAGATATGGATATATTTGGAAAAAAAATATATTTATTATATATTAATTGTTTTAAACTAATTTTAACTGTTTTTTTAACAGCGCAACTTAGTTAAAAGAATCTTATAATAAGGGACGGAGTATTAAGTGATAACTATTCACTTGTTATTAAGATATTAAATATGAGCATATCTTCCAACATTAAGATATTAAATATGAGCATATCTTCCAACAGAAATTTGAATATTAATTTATTATATTGTGAGAGATTAATTCTTTCTGTTAAATTTAACTGTTGGTTCACATTAATCAAATAAAACCAGGTAAGATGATCAAAACATGGATGTGCGGGGCATGTGGGCCTCTGACTAGAGCGTGTGGGCCGTCCTCACTTGACCATTCACTCTTCCAAAGCAATGCTCCTTATCTCTTATATGGTCCTTTAGCTTTTTCTAATTTCTTTTCTGGTCTTCACCCTTGACCCTTATCTCCCCCAGACTAAAACCCATTAATATTATTTTAATATCACTATCAACCTTAATTACGCGTGTGCTTACGCATTTCGCCTCGTGCTTATCTTATGCTCCCTAGTTCAGTCCACCAACTTTAATTTTCATCCATAACTTTAACTATATATCCTCAATCAGTGTTATTATACTCTATGATATGCTTTATTTATTGACCTTAATTTATAATTATACGTTTACTTTAATTTCATGCATCAATATTATCTATAATGTTGGTGCATTATGTTGATTCAATTATAGGCAACAATATATTAGGTAATTCCTATTGTATAATTTTGAATATATAATCCATATTTAACCCTACATGAGTTAGTGTATGGATATCTATGTTCTTTGTGAATAACTTTTAGACATTTGTATATTCTATTTTTGGTTTTGATAGAGTTAATTAAAAAGATCATTTCATATTTATTTTTATTTTCAAGTACTTTTTTTGTCAGTATTGACTATATATTTTAAGTGTTGTAGTGATGTCAATTATCATCCAAAACAAGAAGCGTCATCAATGACGCTGAACATGTCTTGAACAAAGGTTTTTGCAATATTACACAAATGACAAACGAGGATGATTCAACGGGCAGAGTCCTTGTTTGACTTTAAATTCGGGGAGTCTATACCCAGCAAAATGATACATGTGGTGACACGTCACAAGGACCGTTCCCAGGTGGCAAAGGATGGTCAGCATCGTCAGCAAACGGCCACTGACTTCACAATAGAATATACAAACAAAAACACAGTCAGGTGCCCGAATGAGAAAACAAAGCTACAATTTTTTATTAAGAAAATTTTAGATTAGATTGGTTTGGTGGCGTCTATATAAACCCTTCCCACTCATGAAGTTTTCTACAATATTTCTGAGTCCTTCGTGCTGCGAAAGAGAGAGTTATATAGTCTCTGTTTCGCTTTCTGAGATTGAAGCTAGAGAGAGAGAGGTCAGAGATGGCTGAAATGAGGACAACAAGAAGAAATGGCGGTGGTTTGTCGCAAAGATTCTCTGGACGACGTTTGATACCGCAGAGGGGTCAAGTTAAGTTGGGGATCGTGGTGGCTCTGCTTCACTCTTTCTCTTCGGCCTTCTCCTTCACTTCCAAATGTGTTCACTTCTCCTGATTCATTCCCCTGCTTCTAAGCCCATCCCCAGTTTTGTTAACAGAGAGATTTACACACACACACAGAGGGGGAGAGAGTTGTTTGTGTTGTATAGTAGCTTCTAGTTTTACTGTTCTAGCTGATATTTCTCTCTCAGGGGGACATTATGAGCTTCTGATAATGTTTGTCTTGTGCCTTTGTCACCCTTCACCTCTGGTTTTGTAATTTCTTTCGTTTTTTGGGAGCAAATGGAAGTTGACTTAGTGTGGCTCTGTATTTCTTCTCACGATCAACATCAAAGATTCTCTTTTGATCACCTTTGAGTCACAAATTAGCACTGCCAGATCTGATTCCAGCACAAAGTTTTATGGAAAGTAACAACAAATTGGAATATCAATAAGTTCTACCTCATCATGATGCATTGTGAATAGAAGAATAAAATAACTATGAAGTATGATGAACATTTGTGGCTTATTCTGTTCAGGAGAAGAGATAAACTTATCTTCTATTTTGCAGAGATGGGCGTGGTTGTCTAGTATAGGGACACGTAGCAGAACCTGTTCCTTCAGCTTATTACACTTACGTGTAGAGTGAGACTCCACAATTTACCTCTTCAATTTGCATTCTTTTTCGAGAGAGAGAGAGAGAGATTGTGGTCTCTACCAAACACAAGTGTGGTTTCCTAGGTAACATGTTCTTCCTTTGTAGTACACGTGTTAGTTAAGCTGAGTACTATATCAGTATACCACCCAACTTATTAATCCAGCAGCCCTCAATCCCATTGGATCCTATACAGTATATACAGAACTGAATAATCAAATTCTTCAGATCTTGGTAAGTTTCATATAACACCAACAATACAACGACGGGAACGAGAGGCAGAGAAAATTGAAAGCAAGTTGTAGATGAAACTTTGGATCTTTCTAATTGAAAATTTTCTCGGTTTTATCCTTAATTTCTTAAAACCAGATCACTAAAAATCTGTTTGAAAGAGGTATATATGACTATGTGAATGGGTAGTGCCCAAAACAGTATGAAGAACTAATCCTTCTGCTGCTTATATCAGCAGATTTTACGCACACTTGGAATTATCTTCATAGGATGCATGCACCTCTAAGACTAGCCCTAAGGTAATAAAAAACATACCTTAGTTAAAATACGCTATTTGTCTTCCACTGCATAACTTTGATGTTATAAGAATTCTATGTGAATGTTTATTGCATTAATTTTGAGTATGTCCTACATGTATTCTCTCCTTCATATAAGGCATAATTTTTCTCACTTTCATAACTTTAGAAAGTCGCTTATGATCTTCTCAAGCTGGTCCTGACAATCCTTGACAATATCATGGTTAGTACACCAGTTCTGATAAACTCTCCTTGAATTTTATAGTAGTAAAGTTAAAATTTTTCTTACATTTTTTATTTTACTAAATGATCGTTGCATGTCTTAATTCTTTTAGGCCAATAAGTTTAAGTTACATCTCTTATCTGAAGACAAATACAAGAATCAGGCATAATGACAACGAAATCATTGAAGTATTAATAGTACAAAAGAATCCCTCCATGTTTCAACTTGTTAAATTGTATAAAAAGTGGAAGTTCAAATCAAGTTCTACAACGTAACTTTTATTTGTTGCCTATGGTAGTGGCTTTATTTGATCAACTGCATTGAATTGCATCTTATGAATTTCTCATTACACGAATGAATCTGACATACTTTCTTTTTCCTTCATCCCGCTAAATGAAAACTATGATTCGCAAATACCAAATGATAGGAAATGACATTAGACAACAAACATTTGTAGTCGCTATCTGTGGTGGTTATTAGAGTGCTTTAAGTTGTAGCCACAAAGCCTTCTTGGGCGTCCCCGAACACCTGGTTCAAAATCATGGCCAATCGAATCCCACCTTGGGCTATTCGTTTCATGACCCATGGCATCCTCGTATTGAAGTAATCATCTGTATATAAAATTACACACACACACACACAGAGGCTTAAGTATCTCATAGTTGTGATGAATCTTTGTTCAGCTTTTGCTGATGTGAATGGAATAAAGATTGTGTGTGAACTTGACATTGTTAAATAATTATCTTACCTGCTAGAGTCATACCAGCTTCAACCCCTTTGTAAGCCCATTTGCAAGCTATATTTATGCTCTCTTTTGCCCACCTGTCCATTTAAAAACAAGAGCATATAAGTATGATGTGAGGGGGATCTAAGGTTTGTCTGGGAGAGGCAATATGTTGAGGAATCTCTCACCTGTCTACACACTTAGAGAGGTCATCACAGTGACTCCAAGATGGAACATCATCTGACCAGATACCCTGTTAACAATTCATCGTACAAGTGAATTTGAAGTGTTTGGTTAATTTTGTTCTATGGTAGCCCTAGTTAAGAGAACTATGTGTTGAAGCTAGTCAGGTTGTGTCTTACATCTGTGTAGTTCCCCTCTAAATCTTCCAAGAGAAGGTTCAAATCCTTTTCATAGTAATCTTTTAAAGCAGTGACAATGACCTCTTTGTCCCAGACCTGAGGTCAGACAAGAAAAATCTCCTGTCATTTGAAGTAACTTAAAAATTGGCGAAAGAATTAATGATTTTGACATTTTCTTCTTTGGCTCTTCCTCTGTTTTGGAGAAAAACTGATGATAAAGATGAAACTTACATGGTGGAGATTGGATTTGCGCCTGAACCAGCGGAGTGCTATGGTGTTGCCTCCTTCGTCACTGGTGAATCCAACATGCAATGTGTAATGAATGGGCTTAGCATTAAGAAAGATTTGGGCCATGAGAATAGGACTATTGGGCCATATGCTTATTTGAATGGGCCCAAGAGAGGTGGAATAGGTTAAGATGAAAGTGTATATAGATGGGGGGCGAAAGACTGCTGAAAAAAAGGAATTTTGCTGAAGAATCTACTCTCTCTGGCGTCTGCTTCTTCCCCTCTGCTTCTCTCTGAGTTATTTTCTACTGTCATTTCTTTTTCTGCTACTGTTTTCTTTTGTCATTGCTTCGTCTCTAGTTCATTGTCATGTACCCCAGTATATATATATATCTACCTCGAGTGGCAGTTAGTCTTTGAATCTGATTTTGAGCCCTACGAATATACTGTTTTTGCTGTCTCTTGTAAGGGTTCATCACATTGGTGCTTTCGTTGAGAGTCGGCCAACCGGAAAGGGCTACCTGCGGAGGGTTCTGACCGGTAAGAAGACCGAGTGAAGTGCCGTAGAGTGGAGCCGCCGGGAACGTCGGCTCTCGAGAGGGGTGCTCTGTTATGAGTCCCACATTGGGGAATCTCACAAGTGTTGTGGGGTTTATAAGTTCAAGGGGCTCTCCCTCCTAATAGGCTAGTCTTTTGGGATGGGCTCTCCCTTTGGGCTTATGCTCATAACATTGGTGCTTTCATTGACCTCTTGCTAAACGGGGATGGAGCGACTTTTTCCTGCAACTTACTCTCACGGTAGCCATAATGATCACCTCATTGTTGACCAGAATTTACAGTGGACCCGACTTGATGCTTCTGTTTTGCGACTACTTAATGCTTTTGATTCCTTGGTAGCGCAGATGGAAAAGTCCAACCTACCTTCAAACTCAGGCTCTGAATTGGCTGCGATACGACTGGAACTTCAAAGAGCTATCCGAGAGTATGACGTACCGTTGGCTTCGGCTGGTACACCGTCCGTGACTAACGACGGTGCCGCACCGATCTCTGTTGAAGTCCTTTCTTCCAAAGCCCGTGATGAACCAAACACAGAAGAACCGGAAGCTGCAGATGAAACTGAATCGAAAAGGGACGATACAGAACTTGCCCCAAGTAGGAAAGGCGAAGCAGATGGAGCTGCCGACGGCTTTATAAGGCCAAATCTTGCAGACTACGTGGCTATAACTACTCGCTTTGCCTTAAGTTCCGCACAACTTCACCATGGTGATTCTGTTCTAGATTCAATCCCAACCTCTGCAGCAAGAGTGACTATCGCATTTGTCTCTAAGCTTGGTAATGGAGGTGTCGATCTTAACATGTTGGTTGAGGACTCCTTGTGTTGCGAGGCAAAGGTGGCTCTGCACGACAGATTGATTCTGACGCAATCAACCCCTTACCATGAACAAACCTGGTGGACGTTGGAATCTTCAATAGGTGAGCCTCAACATGCTCTGTTCGTCCCATTTCCTACCTTTCACGGCTTCACAGCCTTGGGTGCTTATATTTTTGTGTTTGATCCTGGTGCGACATTTTGTTGGCCTTATCGCAATATTACTCGTTATTCTCAAATATCGCCAACTGTTTTGGATAGTATGATTTCAGTACTTTTGCTACAATGTGTTCAGAATGTGATGCTTTGTTTCATTTCTGATGGGGGCACTATACTTAATTGGCGCATTGAGATGCCCGCTTTGGGTTTGATATATGGCTGCCTCTCAACTTTTATCTCTGTTATTGGTCTTTCACTTTCTCATTTTCTATTCGATCTTGGAGATGCTAAGCATAATGGATTCCTGATTATCTTGGATTGGGTTTCCATGGAATGTGCTCAGATTATGGTTCTTTCTCTGAGCAAGATTCAAGGTGGCAACACTAATAAAACTATTTGTGCCCTGCACCAACCTTTTTTACGCACACAAGCAGATGCACATGAAAATATTATTGACGTGGCTCAGGTTGTACATTGGGCTGTTGATACATTTTTACCTGTTACAAATGATATTGCGCAAGTGTCACAAATTTATGCTTTGATGAGTGCAATTTGTCATGGTGACCTGTTATGCTATCTTGGCCCTGGTTTTTATTTCCACTTTCGAAGGCTTCCTGCGATTGCTCCTACGCTGCACTTTCTTTATGTTATTATGGTAGAGTGGCTCAGAAGCATTAGTAGCATGGAATGGAAATTTCTACTTGATACTACTATGGAGTTTCTGCAATCCTTTCTTCTACATTTAATGATATATGGCTTTTGGAGAAACTTGGCAAGCAAAACACTACTTGTGTGGCTCGGAAAATATGAGTATCGTTATTGGACTTGGGTATTTCATTTAGATTTTATCGAACCTACTTTAAGGCTACATGAGCATGCTTCTTTCATGCAGATACAATTTTCTATATTCAAAGGAGGATCCACGCTCTTCACCCTTGCCTTTACCGGTTGGGTTAATTGCATAGGGTGTATACTTTCAAAAATTATTTGGGATCCTTCTAGACAAGTCCTTCATTTGATCACAGTGCAGAGAGAATATCTTGGACACACAAATGCATTTTATAACGGGTTCCAAATATGTTCAAGTTTTGGCATAGTTGAGGCCTTTTCAACGCTGTTTCATTCTCCAGCTACCACAACTAAACCTTTCCATGTATTCTTCATGTCAAGGAAGCAAAGGTTCACGACTATACAGGCTACTACTTGGGAATTTCTTCACGGTATGCCAACGCAATCTTTTGACCTTGAGGACAAGGTCAATTTCGAAGGGGAGAGTAATGTAATGAATGGGCTTAGCATTAAGAAAGATTTGGGCCATGAGAATAGGACTATTGGGCCATATGCTTATTTGAATGGGCCCAAGAGAGGTGGAATAGGTTAAGATGAAAGTGTATATAGATGGGGGGCGAAAGACTGCTGAAAAAAAGGAATTTTGCTGAAGAATCTACTCTCTCTGGCGTCTGCTTCTTCCCCTCTGCTTCTCTCTGAGTTATTTTCTACTGTCATTTCTTTTTCTGCTACTGTTTTCTTTTGTCATTGCTTCGTCTCTAGTTCATTGTCATGTACCCCAGTATATATATATATCTACCTCGAGTGGCAGTTAGTCTTTGAATCTGATTTTGAGCCCTACGAATATACTGTTTTTGCTGTCTCTTGTAAGGGTTCATCACATTGGTGCTTTCGTTGAGAGTCGGCCAACCGGAAAGGGCTACCTGCGGAGGGTTCTGACCGGTAAGAAGACCGAGTGAAGTGCCGTAGAGTGGAGCCGCCGGGGACGTCGGCTCTCGAGAGGGGTGCTCTGTTATGAGTCCCACATTGGGGAATCTCACAAGTGTTGTGGGGTTTATAAGTTCAAGGGGCTCTCCCTCCTAATAGGCTAGTCTTTGGGATGGCTCTCCCTTTGGGCTTATGCTCATCACACAATGGCTGAAACAACAAGAAGAATTCCATGGTAACCGAAGAAGCTCACCAATTGGTAATAAACCAAGCAAGAATTAAGAGTTAAAGGGAAATGATTGAGAAACCTGATGAATATCTCCCACGAAGTGAGACAAGAACAACAAGGCCTCAGTCATATTCTCTGCAGAATGAAGAAGCAAACCATGAACAAGAACTGTGAAATTTTTCTTGGAAATTAAAGGAGAGAGTGAAAAGGGAAGAAGCATATACGTCGAGGATCGCCAGTGCCTTCTTTATAATGAAGAAGTTGAGAGGTGAAATTCTTGATGGCCCCAGCAACACACATGTCCTGCTCCCCCTTAGGGTTATGGCAATCCCCTATAAATTTGTGTGAAAGATACTGTTAATGAAAATTATATATGATCAGATTATAACTGATGTATGATTTTCAACGGATTGTTAACCTATCACAATGATTATAATTATGGTAAGTTATTAATTCGGTATTAGACCTGAGTTGAGATTGTTGTCTATTCCTCGTGACCTATTCATTACAGAGTGTTTACTTTGTCTCTTGCTCTTGTCGTTACAAGTACAAATGATTGAAGAAAGATTGGAGAAGAACATACGTGAATAATCAAAAGAGCATAGGTTATCAGGAGTATTGATGAAGTGAAGAGGGCTGGTCCACCTATATTTGTGGAAAATCCTGATCCTGTCTGGCCATAAGCACAGTTCTGATAAGTCTCCTTCCACATAATCAGGCAACAATTTCTTCACTGCTTCTTCTGCCTCTGCGTCTAGCAGCGACTGTTATTCATATAATGCCACTTATATTAGCAAATATACCCATTCCATTACATCTATCTAAGATACTATTTTTAAATCTATGGGCAGGAAGTTATGTGCTTATCATATTCATTTAGGATCAAACATGTATGCTTAAGTAAAATTTAGGGGGTGCTTAGTGTCAATTGAGTCAAACGACTCAATTGGGTCAATTAGCTTGAGTCTGAGACCTCATTCAAACATGAAGGGTGGCGTTGTCACTAGGATAACTTGTCATTGACAATAATTTCTTTCTAATTAAATAATCGAGTATAGAACATTTCTGCATGGAATTTGTCATTCCTTATTTTTAATATTGTTAAGATTTTATTTTTTTTCCTTTTTTTTTATAATTTCTAGAAGAGGTGCACTATATATCATCTGTTATGAGTACAAATTTAAAAGAACAACCAATTCCAGAGGACTAATATATTAGGTGGTAAAATTCCTTAGCCTCATAAACTTACAAACAATATGCCAAACACATAAATCTAACTTCCCCTTTTTCATTCACTTTTTAGGAAAGACTCAAGCATGAACTAAGGGAATAAAAACAACCTAATAGCTAATAGATTGCCACTAAAAAGACTTTGAAACCTTATCTCTGTACTAACTTCTTCAAGTAAATTTTCCAAATCATTGGAGAATTAGGACATCAGTCACTTGTAATTACTGGTCTTAAGACTGTTTTTGAGGAGAAACATTATGAGAAGGTACCTGTGCAATTTTGCAGGTCAACGTATGTCCTTCTTTGCTCCAGGCAAGAGCTCCAGGCACAGTCATGAGCAAAACAAAACTCAACACAAGAGATCCCCACACAAACCTACCCATCATTCTCTGTCTCTCTCTCTCTCTCTAAGATAAACTTCTATATCCTCTTCTTCTTCAGGAACTTCAGATGCCAGATGAAACAAGCTTTATGTATGGGAGTCCTAATTCATAGCTAAGAATATATATACATATTGAACGGTTTTGATTGAGTGCAAGTTTTAATTGTTTAAGTACTATCCCTCAAATGTTGACTTTGATGAAGGGCATATTCGATCTGGTACGTATAAGGCATCAGCAAACTAAATAATATATATAGTAGACACGAAATTCATGTGCAATATAATTATGTGTTGAGATGTTCATCCAAGATTCCCTTTGTTTAACTTACTGATCCATCATCATATGAAACTATCCGATCCAAAAGTATTTATATGGGGAAACTGATGATTAAATCATATTATATATATTATGATTATATTAATTTTTAAGCCACATGGTTAATTAATTTATTGAGGAAAAATTATTTTCTCAATTATTGATTGAATGAAAGTTTGAATTTTTTAAGTATTACCCCTCATTGTTGACTTTTGATGAGAGGCATATTCTGATACGTACTAAAACAAAATAATATACGTAGCAGACTAGAAGTTCATTTGCAATATAATTATCTCGTACAGAAGTTGAGGTTAGGTTTTAAAATAGATTTACATGTTGAGCTGATCATCCTAGATCCATATGCTTATATGCCACACTTCTCTTCTTCAATCAATATGATCATATTTATACATACTTTCTCCCGTTCTCAAGGAGAAACATTATTTTATCCTTTTTATTATTAAGACTACTACGGACGTGAGATATTTGTTACATCTTTCTGCACGTTACTCTTGTTTAATGTTGATTATTTTGCTTCGAAATTATAGTATATATGTTTATAAAATATGAAAAAAAATTGACGAGTGACTTGTGATAGTGAGATGCATGCCTTGGTTGTTATTTTTGATGTTGATAAGAATGAAATAGAATATTGTGCGAAGGAAAGAATAGAGTACCGTAATTAATTAAGACAATTAATGTCCTAATAATTCAGTAGGTGTGTAACATCCACATGTGAAAGAGAATAAATTATGTAAATTATTAGAGATAATGTTAAAACCCAACCTTTAACTTCAGTCGACCATTATTAAATGGTTTTGATTATTACAAAGAATATTAACTTATTTCAATCTAATTTGTTAATTGATTATGGCTAATCAAAATATTTGCTTCATGTGTGTGCAGTATTAAAAGAATTTGAGATTGACGAAGACATTGGTCAACGGAAGGAAAACATAAGAGGAAAATGTCCATTGCATAATGCAAAAGTAAACTTGATCAAATGCTTATCAATGCAGCGCCATGCGAAACAGAGAGAGGAAGACCGGATGATTCAACAGTGATATGCAATTTAGAACCTTGGTCTTGTATTATACTGCCTTGGATCCTAATTATAAGAGTCAGTTGACTAATTTGAGGAGATTAGGAAAGTAAGTTGAGTTAGTTATTTATTCTAAATATGTGTTATCTTTCCTAAAATATCCTTGCTAATCAAGTGTATTAACTAGAACTATAATTATTAGAAAGATTATTTTAAAAAAAATTAAGTAAATATGAGAGACAAAGTGGATTGAAGTCTTATATTTAGGGTCAAAATAAAAGTCAAACAAGGTTTTATATCAAGGACAGGAGGTAGTGTGTGTGTGTGTGTGTGTATATATATATATATATATAGTTTCTCGGGGTCAGCTGATTAATTTATCAGTCAAAAACCAGCCTCCAGGGGAATCATAGATCATCGCAAAAATGTAAACTTTTTATTGATACAATTTAATTGTCACCTAATGGAATGATGAGGAGTCTTCCAACCATCAGAGAACTACAATATATCAAGAACTTATTAACGCTGCAATCCGAAAGAGAAGAGAAATCAAAATAAAAAGCTCAGCAGAAAAGTGGAGATACTCATAGAGGCATTGAACTAATTAAGCGCGATGAAGCCTTTTTGGGGACGCTGCCTTTTTCTTTTGCACAGTTCCTTTTCCACAGTACTTGAGAAACAAGTCCACTTTAGTGGCAACGTTAAGGTCGATACCTAAGACGTTGGCTTTAAAGGCGGCGCAGAGGCACACGGCGGCTTCCAGGTCCAGACCCTGAATCAGGGAACACAGGTTCTTTGGTAGCTTCCCCAGCTTAACGTTCATGAGACCAAACAAGTCCACACGTCGGCCACGATCGGCTTTGGCGGAGCAGGTGGCGGAGGTGGCGGCTGGACGAGCAGGTGGATGAGACGGCGGCTGGAGGAGGAAGGCGACAACGCATGAACCGTTAAGAAACGGCAGAAGAGAAAAATTAAAAGAAGGTTTTAAGCGAGATGGATAAAATAGGTATGGCTGCGACAGATTATTTATCTCCCCGTTAAAAATCTCGACTTGGAATGAGAGAGAGAGAAAAGAGACAGATTTTTACCTTTCTTTCCTTCCATTTTTTCTAACCATATGCACTTGCTTCTCTTTCTCCCCTCCCCTGAATAAACCCTCCTCCAAACACTACTTTAACCTCATAATAAACCACATTTTTTTTTTTTGAGTGAGATTCCCAGGATACAACTTATAACAATGCATCTCCATTTGTCAGTTTTTTAAGATGTGCTCTTCTTTTAAACTTCTACTCACATAGTAGTAAATGAAATAGTAAATCTGTCAACTATTGTAGGATAAGATAAGTTATCCATCCTCATATCATACAATAGGCTTTCCTAAAACATATTTTGCTAACTATGATTAAAATTTGTATCACTGATTTCAGCGCACATCAAAGTCACAAGTCTAATTTACCTTTTTCACTCCCTTTTCAGAGGAAAAAGATCTTTTTCGCATGCCAAATATGAAATACCACTTAAAAGACCTAGAAGCCACCAAGTCAATTTCCCAAATCACTGGAGATATAGACATTACCTGAACGGTTTCAATCGCTTGTAATTACTGATTTTAAGACTTAATCAATTTATTGAGGAAAAGCATTATATCAGAAGTGTACGTACCTTTGCAATTCTGCAGGTCAGCTCACGATCCTCTTTGATCCGGCCAAGAGCTGCAGGCACAGTCATGAACAAAATAAACCCTACCAACGCAAGAGATCCCCACACAAACCTGCCCATCTCTCTCTCCCTCTCTCTCTCTCTCGCCACCTCTCTCAGCTTAGACAAACTTTTTATCTCTTCTTCTTCAACAAATTCATCAAATGCAAGATGAAACAAGCTTTTAGTATAAGACTAATTTATAACTCAGAGAACATATAATACTACATGTTGAAGGGTTTCCAATTCGCTGACGAGGGGGAAGCACGGGGCGCGTGAATTCTGGTGTGAATCAGTAAGCACCACTTGCAAGGCTAAATACACCAAAACTAAATATAATATACATATATAGCAGACTAGAAGTTCATTTGCGATATTATTATCTTGTATACAAAAGTTGACGTTTAGGTTTCAAGACCTATCTACATAGGTAGCCAATAAAATTCATTTATAGACGTACTCTTTCCGGTCCCTGAGGACACCGTGTGAGATATTTATTATCCTTTTTTTCCCATGTGATTACTCTCATTTAATGTCGGTTCATTTTTGAAAGTTACATCATGTGCGTTTAAATGATGATAAGGTTTGGCTTTTCTTTTTAATTTTCAGCTATAACTAGTGAGTTTTAAGCCTCTTATTGTTTCGATGATAATATCATAATCGTCTGATAAAAAAGATTAGAGGAGGGTTTATATATGCTACTTCTGGTTCTAATTATAAGAACTAGTTGATTAATTTGAGGAGATTAAGAAAATAAGTTAAGTTAGTTATTTGTAATGAATATATATTGTCTTTCCTGAAATATTCTTACTAATCAAGTGTACTGACTAGAACTATCATTATTAAAAAGATTTTTTTTAAAAAAATATAAATATGAGAGACAAAATAGATTGAAATCTTATATTTAGAATTAAAATAAAAATTAAATGAGGTTTTGTGTTATGGATCGGAGAGAGTATTTCGTGACTTACAAAAATGAAGACGCAAGCTAACCAAAAACGCGTTATTCTTTTTATCATCATCATCATCCAGTAATTCAGCTTGGAAGCATTTAGCCGCCTGGAAAGAACGTGGTGATAAACTTCGAGAAGTTAAAAATAAAATATGAAAAAGGAATTGACGAAAGACTTGTGAAGTTGAGATGCCTTATTGTCATTTTTGATGTGGACAAGAATGAAAGAGTATTCTCCGAAGGGGGGAACATGCTCAATTGATGTCCTAATTAATAATTTGGTCGAAACATCCACACAGTTGGCTGGCCATGTGAAAGAGAATAAATTATGTAAATGCTTAGAAATAGATAATGCTGGAATTCAACCATTGAATTCAGCCGATCATTAAATTCAGACGAGAGGGAGAGCAAAGTGAAAGCTGAAAACGAAAGATTGGAGCTTTCTGATTGAAAATTTTCGTGTTCTTATTCTTATTTTTTTTGTTAAAAGGAGATTAAATTAAACCATCTATTATTCCAGGCAAATTATCAGAGTGCTTTGGCCAAGAAGATAGAGGTTTCATCTTTGCTTCCATCTCTTTGTTAAGATTAATATCAGCATTTGATGAATTGGTACTTCATCTGTATTTTAAGTTACTTCATCTATATTTTAAGTTCAAAATCCTTTCATGGGAAGGCAGTAATGGTTATACTTGAGGTTTTCAGTTTTGACAGATATAAAAGATTAACTTGGTCAAGTGTTTTCTTGCAGATTGTTGTAGCTAATATTAGAAGAACATGAAAATATCTCATTCTCTTACACAACAGAAATTTGGGCAAAGGTTATATAAGAACATCATATTAATCTCTTTATACAGAAAAGATGTCAGAATCTGGAAACAACTTTGTTGCCTGTGGTAATTGGCTTTATTTGATCAACTACAATGAATTGCATCTTTTTATGAATTTCTTATACACGAATGAATACAACACACTCTTTTTCGACAAGGAATGACATAAGTATAAACTAGGTTAGACAGCTAGTTTTTGCAGCCCCCCTACCTGTGGTGTGGTTAGAGTTCTTAAGTTGCAGCCGCAAAACCTTCCTTAGAGTCTCCAAACACCTGGTTCAGAATCATGGCCAATCGAATCCCTATTCACTTCATCACCAAAGGCATTCTCGAGTTGAAGTAATCATCTGTATATAAATTACACATACACACGCATAAGCATCTCTCACGGTTTTGCTGATGTGAATGGAATGAAGATTGTGTAAGCTTGACATTGTTGAATTGTCTTACCTGCTGGAGTCAAACCAGATTCAACCCCTTTGTAACCCCATTTGCAAGCTATTTGTATACTCTCTTTTGCCCAGCTGACCATGCAAACACAAGCTCACATCATATAAATAAATACATAATTTGAGGAGATTTAAAATCTGTCTGGGAGAGACAATGTGTTGAGGAAGCTCACCTATTTACACAGCTAGAGAGATCTTCGCAGTGACTCCAAGATTGAACATCATCTGACCAGATACCCTGTTAACAATTCATCATACAAATTAATTCGAAGTGATTATGGGATAAATCAAATCAAGAAACTATTTGTTGGTGTTTGACAGATTGTGCCTTACATCTGTGTAGCTCCCCTCTATGTCTTCCAAGAGGAGGTTCAAATCTTTTTGATAATAATCTTTTAAAGCAGTGGCAATGATCTCTTTGTCCCACACCTGAAGTAACAAGGGGTAAAAAAGAAGAAGTCATGACGCATGAAGTAACTTGAAAGTCGGCAAAATCTAAGTTGCTATCAGATCCTTTACCAGATAAACAGAGGACCAATATACTCAAGAGTTAAGGGTCTTGACTTTTTCTTCTTTGATTGTTCCTCTGTTTTGGAACAAAAAAAGCTATGATAAAGATGAAACTTACATGGTGGAGATTGGATTTGTGCCTGAACCAGCGGAGATCTACAGTGTTTCCTCCTTCGTCACTAGTGAATCCAACACGCATTGGCTGAAACAACAAAAAGAATCCCATTATAACAGAAGCTAAGAGATTGGCAAGAAGCTAAGCAAAAATTGGAAGTCGAAGAGAAACAAGCCAGAAACCTGATGAATATCGCCCATGAAGTGAGACAAGAATAACAAGGCCTCAGTCATGTTATCTGCAGAGCGAAGCAGCATCGGAATTGAAGCAACCCATTAACAATAAAAGTCAAAATATTTCATTGAAACAAAGAAGGGAAAGCGAGAGTGAAAAGAGGAGCAGCATACGTCGACGATCACCACTGCCTTCTTTATAATTCAGAAGCTGAGTAGTGAAGTTCTGGAAGGCGCCAGCAACACACATGTCCTGCACACCATTGGAATCATGGCAAGAGCTCCAGGCACAGTCATGAACAAAACAAAACTCAACACAAGAGATCCCCCCACAGACCTGCCCATCATTCCCTCTCTCTCTGAGATAAACTTCTATATCTTCTTCCAAGCTCTAGATATCAGAGTCCTACTTCATAGCTTAGAATATGTATACATATAGAAGGGTTCTCAATTGATTGAGTGCGACTTTTAATTGTTTAAGTACCATCCCTCAAATTTTGACTTTGATGAAGGGCATATTCGATCTGGTGCGTATAAGGCATCACCAAAATTAAATAATAATATACAGTAGAGACGAAGTTCATTGCAATATAATTATATGCTGAGATGTTCATCCAAGATCCCCTCTGTTTACATCGTCACATGAACCTATCCAATCCAAACCTTTTTATAAATATAGGCAAAGTCAAATTAAATGATATTTTATATATTTTATGATTATTATTTCAATTTTTCAGCCACATGGTTAATAAACTTATGAAAATTGTCTTCTCAATTGTTGATTGAACGCAAGTTTTAATTGTTTAGTATTACCTTGCAATGTTGACTTTGATGAGGGGCATATTCTGATACGTACTAAAACTACATAATATTCGTAGTAGACTAGAAGTTCATTTGCAATATAATTATCTCGTACAGAAGTTGAGGTTAGGTTTTAAAATAGATTTACATGTTGAGCTGATCATCCAAGATCCATATACTTGTATACCATACTTCTCTTCTTCAATCAATATGATCCTATTCATACATGCATACTTTCTCCCGTTCTTTAAGGAGAATCATCACTTTATCCTTTTTATCATTAAGACTACTACGTACGTGAGATATCTACTGCATCTTTCTGCATGTTACTCTAATTTAATGTTTATTTGTTTTCTTCGAAATTATAGCACATGGATTTATAAAATATGGGGGAAAAAAAATTGACGAGAGAGTTGTGATGGTTAGATGCGTGCCTTAGTTGTTATTTTTTGATGTTGATAAGAATGAAATAGAACATTGTGTACGAAGGAAAGAATATAGTACCGTAATTAAGTGAACTAATGTCCTAATAATTGGGTAGGTGGGTAACATCCATCGTTGGCTATCCATGTGGAAGAGAATAAATTGTGTAAATGATTAGAAATAGATAATGTTAAAATCCAGCCTTTAACTTCAGTCGACCATTATTAATTGGTTCTGAGTATTACGAAGAATATTAACATATTTCAATCCAATTTATTAACTGATTATGGCTAATCAAAATATTTGCTTCGTGTGTATAGTATTAAAAGAATCTGAGATTGACAAAGAGATTGGTCATCAATGGAAGGAAAACATAAAAGGAAAATGTCCATTGCATAATGCAAACGGAAACTTGATCAAATGCTTATCAATGCAGCGCCATGCGAAACAGAAAGAGGAAGACCGGATGATTCAACAGTGATATGCAATTTAGAACCTTGGTCTTGTATATTATATATATATATATATATATATATATATATATATATATAGAGTTCCTCGGCGTCAGCTGATTAATTTATCAGTCAAAAACCAGCCTCGAATCATAGATCACTGCAAAAATGTAAACTTTTTATTGATACAATTTAATTGTCACCTAATGGAATGATGAGGAGTCTTCCAACCAGCAGAGAACTACAATATATCAAGAACTTATTGACGCTGTAATCCGAAAGAAAAGAGAAATCAAAATAAAAAGCTCAGCAGAAAAGTGGAGATACTGAGAGAGGCATTGAACTAATTAAGCGCGATGAAGCCTTTTTGGGGACGCCGCCTTTTTCTTTTGCACGGTTCCTTTTCCACAGTATTTGAGAAACAAGTCCACTTCAGCAGCAAGGTTAAGGTCGATACCTAAGACGTTGGCTTTGTAGGCGGCGCAGAGGCACACAGCGGCTTCCAGGTCCAGACCCTCAATCAGGGAACACAGCTTCTTTGGTAGCTTACCCAGCTTAACGTTCATGAGACCAAACACGTCCACACGTCGGCCACGATCGACTTTGGTGGAGCAGGTGGCGGAGGTGGTGGCTCGACGAGCAGGTGGATGAGACGGCTGCTGGAGGAGGAAGGCGACAACGCGTGAACCGTGGGGAAACGGCAGAAGAGAAAAATTTAAAAAAGGTGTTAAGCGAGATGGATAAAATAGGTATGGCTGTGACAGATTATTTATCTTCCCGTTAAAAATCTCGGCTTGGAATGAGAGAGAGAGAGAGAGACAGACAGACAGATTTTTACCTTTCTTTCCTTCCATTTTTTCTACCCATATACACTTGCTTCTTTTTCTCCCTTCCCCTGAATAAACCCTCCTCCAAACACTACTATAAAGTTTAACCTTGTAATAGACCACACTTTTTTTGAGTGAGATTCCCAAGATGCAACTTATAACAATGCATCTCCATTTGTTAGTTTTTTAAGATGTGCTCTTCTTTTAAACTTCTACTCATATAGTAGTAAATGAAATAGTAAATCTGTCAACTATTGTAGAGGGGAAGATAAGTTATCCATCCTCATATCATACAACAGGCTTTCCTAAAACATATTTTCCTAACTATGATTAAAATTTGTATCACTGATTTTCAGCGCATATCAAACACACGGTCTAGTTTTACTTTTTCCGCTCCCTTTTTAGAGAAAAAAGGCTTTTTCGCATGCCATGAAATACCACTTGAAAGATCTCGAAGTCATCAAGTCAAATTCCCAAATCGTTGGAGATATAGACATACCTTGAACAGTTTCAATCACTTGTAAATTGTAATCACTGATTAGGGAATTAAAAACATCAGATGAGAAGTGTACGTACCTGTGCAATTCTGCAGGTCAGCGCATGATCCTCTTTGCTCCCGCCAAGAGCTGCAGCAGGCTCAGTCATGAACAAAATAAACCCTACCAACACAAGAGATCCCCACACAAACCTACTCATCTCTCTCTGTCTCTTCCCCCCTCTCTCACTGAGATAAACTTTTTATGTCTTCTTCTTCCTCAACAAATTCAAATGCAAGATGAAACAGGCTTTTAGTGTAAGACTAATTTATAACTCAGAGAGTATATAATATGTATTGAAGGGTTTTCAATTCATTGATTGTAAGTATTAATTGTTATTAAGTATTACCACTCAATATGTTGACTTTGACGAGGGGGAAGTATCACCAAATTAAAACCAAATATAATATACGTATATAGCAGACTAGAAGTTTATTTGCAATATAATTATCTCATACAAAAGTTGACGCGTTTAGGTTTCAAAACCTATTTACATAAGTAGCCAATATATTCATTTATATACATACTCTCCTCGGCACTTGAGGAAACCGTGTGAGATCTTTATTATATTTTTTTTCCATGTTATTACTGTTATTTAGTGTTGGTTCTTTTTTCTCTTTTCAAAGTTACGTCATTTGGGTTTAACTGGAGGTAAGGTTTGGCTTTTCTTTTTTATTTTCAGATATAACTAGTAGGGCTGCATAATGGACGAACCGGACCGGACCAGAGCCCAATCCGAAGGCTAGTCTGATTTTTTGGTCTGACTGAGTTTGATAGTCTGTGGTCTGGTCTGGTCCAGTGATGACCCGAGGTCGGGTTGGACTGGACTTGGTCTACCAGACTGGTGGATTGGTCCAGACAGTCCAGTTGTCCAATTTTCTTTTTTTTTTTTTAATTTTTTTCTTTATGAGAAATAAGATTTCAACATGATAAGTACAATTAAGACAATAAAAAATACCTATAATCATATGCAAATCGTCCTAAAATATTAAGACTTCATCATAAATACATAAAAATATCTAAAAACATTAAAAACAATTAAAGGCACCATCTAAATTATAAATTATTGAAAAATAAAAAATTCACCTAGACTGGACTGGACCAATCTAGGTGATATGATCACTTGGTCCGAAACCCAGTCCAGCCCGACCAACTAGTCTGGTCCAGTCTAGTTTAATTCCATTATATAGTTAATTTGGACTGGACTGGACCGGACAAGACCACTTCGGGTTGGACTGGACTGGACCGGACCACCGGGTTTTTGCACACCCCTAATAACTAGTAAGTTTTAAACCTCTTCATCGTTTCGATGATAATATTAGAATTGTATTATAAAAAGGATTAGAGGGGGTTTATATATATTTCGTGACTTACAAAAATGAAGATGCATGCTAACCAAAGACGCGTTATTCTGTTTATTATTATTATCTGCAAGATTCAGTAATCCAGCTTGGAAGCATTTAGCCTCCTAGAAAGAAAATGGTGACAACTAAAAAAAAAAAAATTAAATATGAAAAAAGAATTGACTAAATGCTTGTGATGTTGAGATACCTTATTTGTTATTTTTGATGTTGATAAGAATGAAATAGAATATTGTCCGAAGGAGGGAGTATAGTCAATTAATGTCCTAATTAATGATCTGGTAGGTGTAAGCGAGCATCCATATCGTTGGCCGGCCATGTGAAAGCGAATAAATTATGTACCGTAAATGTTTTAGAAATAGATAATGTTGGAATTCAACACAGCAAGACAACACAGGAACGAGAGGGAGAGCAAATTGAGAGCTGAAAAATCAAAGATCGGAGCTTGCTGATTGAAAATTTTCTTATTATCATTTTTCTTAGTCTGTTATAAAGAGATTAAATTTAGCCATCTAGTATTCTAGCCAAATTATCAGAGTGCTGTGGCCAAGAGTTAGATGTTTTATCTTTACTTCCATCTCTTAATCAATCAAGATTAATATCAACGCTTGATGAACTGGTACTGCATCATTATTTTAAGTTTAGAAGCATTTCATGGGAAGTAGTAGTGCTGATTATATTTAAGCTTTTAGAGTTTTGACAGATATAAAGTATTACCTTGGTCAAGTGTTTTGTTGAGTATTGTCGCAGATAATATTAGAACATGAAAATATCTCGTTCTCATACTCAACAGAAACTTGGGCAAAGGTTAATAACACAATATTAATCTCTTTATACAGAATAGACATAAAAATATGGCAACAACTTTGTTGCCTATGGTAATAATGGTCTTATTTGATCAACTGAAATGAATTGGATCTTTTCATGAATTTCTTATCCGCGAATGAATACAACATACCTTTTCCCGACAAGGAAAGACATAATTATAAATAAGGTTAGACAGCTAGTTTTTGCAGTCCCCCTATGTGTGGTGTCGTTAGAGTTCTTAAGTTGCAGCTGCAAAACCTTCCTTAGAGTCTCCAAACACCTCGTTCAGAATCATGGCCAATCGAATCCCACCTTGAGCTATTCGTTTCATCACCAAAGGCATTCTCGAGTTGAAGTAATCATCTGTATATAAAATACATGTACACATGCATAAGCATCTCTCGCGGTTTTGCTGATGTGAATGTAATATTTGTGTAAACCTGACGTTGTTGAATAAACGTCTTACCTGCTAGAGTCATGCCAGATTCAACCCCTTTGTAACCCCATTTGCAGGCTATTTGTATACTCTCTTTTGCCCAGCTGACCATTCAAACACAAGCTCACATCATATAACTAAATACACAATTGTGAGGAGATTTAAGATCTGTCCGGGAGAGACAATGTGTTGAGGAAGCTCACCTATTGACACAGCTGGAGAGATCTTTGCAGTGACTCCAAGATTGAACATCATCTGACCAGATACCCTGTTAACGATTCATCATACAAGTTAATTTGAAGTGGTTATGGGATAAATCAAATCAAGAAACTATTTGTTGGAGTTTGACAGATTGTGAGTCTTTACATCTGTGTAGTTCCCCTCTATGTCTTCCAATAGGAGGTTGAAATCTTTTTCATAATAGTCTTTTAAAGCAGTGGCAATGATCTCCTTGTCCCACACCTGAAGTCGCACCAAGAGGGGGGGGGGGATCATGACGCGTGAAGTAACTTGAAAATCGGCAAAATCTAAGTTGCTATCAGATCCTTTATCAGATAAAAATCAGATAAACTGATGACCAATGTACACAAGAAATAAGGGTCTTGACATTTTCTTCTTGATTGTTCCTCTGTTTTGGAACAAAAAAAAACTACGACAAAGATGAAACTGACATGGTGGAGATTGGATTTGTGCCTGAACCAGCGGAGATCTATAGTGTTTCCTCCTTCGTCACTTGTGAATCCAACGTGCATTGGCTGAAACAGCAAAAAGAATCCCATTATAACAGAAGCTTAGAGATTGGCAAGAAGCTAAGCAAAAATTGAAAGTCGAAGAGAAACAAGTCAGAAACCTGATGAATATCGCCCATAAAGTGAGACAAGAACAACAAGGCCTCAGTCATATTATCTGCAGAAGGGAGCAGCATTAGAATTGAAGCGAATCCATTAGAAGGCTAAGAAGAGTGAAAATTTTTCATTGAAACAAACAACAGAGGGAGGTTGAAAATAGAAGAAGCATACGTCGACGATCACCCGTTCCTTCTTTATAGTGCAGAAGCTGAGAAGTGAAATTCTGGACGGCGCCAGCAACACACATGTCCTGCACATCATTGGAATCATGGCAATCCCCTGTACATGCGCGTGTGATAATTAAAGAGAGATTATGAGTAGTACAAATTACTGAAGAAGAACTGGGGTTGATTAATTAAAGTAATAAGAACATACTGGAATAATCAAAAGAACATTTATTGTCAGGAGTGTCGATGAAGTGAAGAGGGCTGGTCCACCTGTACTTGTACCAATGCCTGATCTGGTCTGGCCATACGCACAGTTCTGATAAGTCTCCCTTCACGTAATCTGGCAACAAATTCTTCACTGCTTCTTCTGCTTCTGCCTCTAGCAGTGACTGTCATCCCCATTCAATACCACTTAATTAACACCTCTCAAATAAATTATAGTCATTTAGGTCAAATATATGGATGCCCTCTAGTGCCTTACATTATGCCGTGGTCAAGTGTAGTTGTAAGATGGTAATGCTTTCTATAGTTTAGTCACAGGAAGCTATGCGAACTTATGAACTGTGCAGGACGTGGGACAGCTCTAATTTATACAATTTAGGATTTAGGATTTGCAAAGCATGCTACGCTGTACTGAGTTTGATTGTGATTCTGTTCACCTTTCAAACTATCATCGCCTGTTGTTTATGCAAAGGATTTTTTTTTATCTTACTATTTTTTTTTTGCAGGACCACCCTGTTAATTAAGAATTGCACGGATAACTCAGATTCAGTACCAATGGAGAGGAGTGGAGAGGGGATGTATATAAAGAAAAATGGCACAGAAGAAGTAAGCAATTTAAAAAAAAAAAAGTGCACAAATAGTCTAAGGGAATGGAGAAAACCTAATAACTGACAACTGAAAACATTTCTAAACCATAAATGCATACTATTTTCTTAAATTCAATTTCCAAAATCATTGGAGATTCATATATATATATATATCGAACAATTTCAAAAGGTACCTGTGCAATTCTGCAAGTCATCATGTGACCCTCTTTGCTCCAGGAAAGGGCTCCAGGCACAGTCATGAACAAAACAAAACTAAACACAAGACATCCCCACACAAACCTGCCCATTTCTTCTAATTATTCCTCTCCCTGATCAGCTACTTTTATGGTTGGTTCTTCTTCTTCCTCTTTGTCCTTCTTCTTCAAGTTATCCTAATGCTAGATGAAACAAGCTTTAAGTATCAGACTCAAAAGATCACAACTCACAGTAATATGCACATATGGAGTGGTGAAGAACACGTTGAAGGGACCTCAATTGATTGAGTGCAAGTTTCAAATATCAAGCGCTCACATGGATTACACCTTCAATGCTGATTTTGATATGTGGGTATATTCTGGAATATATAAAGCATATTTACCTCCAAAACTAATTAATATATATATATATAGAGAATAAAAGTTCATGCGTGATTATCTCATCCAAAAGTTGACGTTAGGTTTTAGAAAAAAGTTTATATGTTGAGTTGATCATCCAAGACCCTTCTTCTGGAGCACTTTTCATCGTCAATCAATATCCTATTGGTCCCTCATCATACCAACCTTTCCAAACCTATTTACGTATATAGGGAAACTCATGGGCTCATGGCTACATCATTTTCCTTTTTGCCCACTCATGACTCTATATATATATATGAGATGTATAGAGTGACTTATTATGCAAACACGAAGGGGCTAACCAAGACGCGCTATTCTGTTCATTTATCTTCAAGTTTCAGCAATCATGCTGCGAAACAATTATCAGCTTAGAAAGAAAATGATGATCAACTTTAAGAAGTAAAGATAAAATATTTATAAAAAAAAAATTGACGAGAGACTTGCAATGTAGAGATGCATTTTTCGTTATTTTTGTAGCTGAAGGAGAGAATATGATCAAGTGAATTTATGTCGTAATAATCTGGTAGTGGTAGGTGTAAGATCCTTGGCAATGTGGAAGAGAATAAATTATGGAAATAATTAGAAATAGATGACAACATGTGTTGGCATATATTGAAGAAGCTGCGATTATTCAATGTGGAAATTAAGAACACTTTTTTTTTGTTCAAAAAAATTAAGAACACTGCTATTTAATTATTCATCATGTGATAACTTTCGTAATTAGAATTATATATAGATGAGGCCACAGTCTTAGTTATTTAGAATTAATTGGAATTGATATTGGTCGATGTGTGTTTTATTTAAGTATATATTTTACATATAAAGTTAATTATCTAAAAGGAGTCTTTCTACTGTAGAAATGTTATAAATGAGGAAAAGCAATCATTTTTAATAAATTTATCCAAATTATTTATTTTGGTTAATTTTATATCCAAACATTTATATTTAACGTTTGTGTGTTTATGTAATTTACAACTTCCGTATTATCCATTCCAAAATAAAATGTTAAGAGTCGAGTACACGGTGCCATTAGCGAAATCCCTAAAAAATTATCCGAACTAAAAACTGTAAAAAAGCCCAGTCATTTCAACAGTAGCAAGCTAAAAATTCCCTTTCAATTTGAAACCCAGTTGTCAAATTCGACAATAATCATATTGAACATTGGAGGGAAAAAATCAACTTTAAATTTAAAATGAAGATATATCCTACCAACAAGGCCTACTTAGGGGGTGTTTGGATGTAATCAAACCATGGTTTGGAGAATAGCTTCTGGAGAATAGGTTTTGGGGAGAATAGATTTTTTGAATAATAGATTTTGTGAAAAAGTGATTCTGAAAAGTGAGAGTGTTTAGATAGTTGTTACCAGAAACACTTTTTACATGTGCAAATTACTAAAATAGACATAAGTTAATATGATAATTATATAAAAGATAGATTTTATAATATATTTTAATTTGAAAGAATAAAATTGTTAACAAAATAATTTTTACTAACATAATTAATAATATATAAGATAATATAATTAATAAATAATTAATATGTGTATATATATTTATAAATTATGAGATTAAAAAAAATTTGTAAAAAATGAATAATTTTTACCAACAGAAAAATATTATTTTATTCTAAAAACAACAAGACATTTATCCCATAAGTTCTTACACTCTTTCTTTTTCCTCCAAAAGCAGAAAATTTCTGCTTCTGCCAAAACCATGGTTTCTGGGCCAAAACCATGGTTTTGGTTTTTTCTATGGTGTTTGGGTAATTTTTTCCCAAACCATGGTTTGGGTCCCTAAACCATAGTTTGGGTAATCACCCAAACACCCTCTTAGAAATCAACGTGTGCAAAAAATAATCTATTAAAGCTAACTGTTTCTTCTTAACTAAACAGAAATAAGGACATTACGGACGGGACAAGCCAGTTAGGATCACTTACAGTTGCTTCAGTTATTTCATTTCAGTGAGCCGATGAACATCCGAAACACGTCTTCATTGAGTGCAAGTTTCAAATACTTGCCTATACTTGAGTATTCTTAACACAGTTTGACATTAAGCACAAGCAAGGTGAGCATATTGTGGCATATCCACTGGGCAATTATATCCACTTTTCCTTACACTCAACTGAATTTGTAGGTCAGCAATTAATTCCTTTAGGTTTTGTATCAAAGAGTTGGCATTTGGCAAGCAAAGAAGAAACATAAAAGCATTTGACACTATTGGTATCTGATTTACATAATTCAATAGTGAATAATATATACAAACATTTTTAGTTTTGTTGATGGAAGACACTGGTATTACATAATTCATGTAACCGATTTCACTTGATAGAAAAAAGCTTGTTCCCGGTCTCTAATTTGCCTAATACACAAATAAATGCCAATATCCATATTTATCTTTAAGCTTGAGCAATTCTGGCCTGAGGAGCAAATATACGGTTTAGGGTTGCAGCCAACCGCACCCCACTCTGAGCCAGTCTTTTCTCCACTATAGGAAGCCGAGAAAGGAAGTACTCATCTACGCAATCAGATACAATGACATATCAGAGTTTATCAAGATATGAGAAGATTTCTCAAGTAGACTCGTTTTACCCAAAACAGATTAAAAGGAAACAGCAGAATGTACAAACACGACTGCAAGGCATGGGACTTGGATTCCCATTCATAAAGTTTCGAAATTTCAGCATGAGGTTTATATGGACTTGAGGCTTCACCTTTTGAGGTGCAGGTCCATCCGAGGTTCTTACTCATAAGCCAAATCAATTATTAATAATATACATTAAGCATACTGCTATATTTTGCCAGGGAACACACCTATTAATGCGTGTACATTTCAAGAAAACTCACTTAACATGCACGAGATTAAACTCACAAAGAAGATAAGAAAACAAGCATATCCCACAAGGGGAAAAGCTTTCCGGCTAAGGAATCTGCCATTGTTTGTGATGTAGAGTAGATAGGTAAGAAAGCGGAAATACCTTCCAAAGTGCTTCCCGGCGTGGCATTCCTGTAAGCAAACTTGCATGCTAAACTAACACTCTCAGAAGCGTACCTGATTGATAGTTTATTAACCAAGTTACAGGATGTAAAAAATACCTCATATGCTTGCGAATCTATACAGAAACAAACATCTTCTTTCCATCACTTCAGGGTCATCAATTAAAATTAGAATGATATATAGAAATATATAACTCCCATAATCTTGTCAATCTCCCAGCTCATGAGTAGACTATAGGTTTGAAGTTTCAACTGCTCAAGTAAAGAAAAATGCAGCAGATAGTTGAGGCAATAAAATCTATTGAATGAGTACATGTTGGGAATGGGCTTTTCTTTTCGGGCTTTACTTAAAGTTCTTTTTCTTTATGATGTTTATAGATATTTATTAACTTCCTTATATTTTATTTATAAGGAAATATTCTGTTTTATTTTCAATTATTAGGATCCCTTGTTTTTAGGCCTTTTATAGGGAGTGATCAGGTTGTGATCAAACCTAGGGACTCTATATGTATCAATGCTGCTGAATGAGCAAAAATAATGCATCCAAGGCTACCTTCCATCGGTACATAATATCTATCAATACAAATTCACATAATAAAGTGCATATGAAAATATCTATAGCAGGGTGGCAATACAAAACATAACAAACATATTACCATTGTGAAAGTGTAACGCAATAAGCATTCATAGGGAAAAAGAGACAAGAAAAGTTGAATGGAAATTATAGTGTATATACCGATCAGGACAAGCAGTGTAGTTATGTGCACAGTGTCCCCAAGTTGACATATCACTGAACCAAGCATCCTTCAGAAAGCGAGTAAGAATAATAGTCAGTCTCTAGCTGTTTAAGAGCACTTACAAGTCGAGGCAAAATATAATCATGGTAATAAAACATGAAATTCACTTAGATTGTTTAGGATATTTAGTATTTTAGGACATGTGGAGGGATTTATTTAGTATTTTTAGTAATTTTTTTATTATGGCTTTATTTTGCTTCCTATCAGGTTCTTTTAGACTGTTCCTTTTTATGTTTTCTTTGACGTAAATTGAAGTTAGGTTTTACCTTGTTCTATTTAGGTTTAAGTTGTTATTATTTTAATACTTATGTTTCTATAAAGAGCATTAGGGTTATTTGCATGGTAGATCATTTGATGAACTGAATAATATTGAGAATATTTCACCATCATCAGCCCAAAAAAAAAAAATCTTTCTACCTTCTCCCTCCCTTCCCCACGTCCTCCACCAATAGTGTATATACTGCTAATTCTAGTATATAGTTGGCACAAATTTCTGCAAATAAAAAGGAAGTTCAAAATGAAATGCTGCATAGGCTGCATTCTGCAAAATAACATAGTGCAACTTGGGCTCCCTTTTCTATTTTTAGCTGAGGGATATAGAAATTGAAAGATTTTGAGATTACAATGGCAAAAAGATCAGGAACAGCCATATTGTTTTAGGATAAATTTCTAAGTATTAGTAAAGTCACACTCAGAAACACGCCCCCCGGGGGGGGTTAAAAAGAAAGCAATCCATATACTGCATATAAGCACTTGCGGACTTAAAGAACTAAAGCAAAGATGCTCTACATCTGAAAAATCTGACACCATGAGTCATTTAGGAATAATGGATTAATAAAATTAGCAGAGTGAAAAGGATCCCCAATAGCATGCAGTCTTTAGGTAGAAAGTTATCACATTCTTAAGCTGTTGTAATAAATGCACACAATATAGAGCATAAAACTTACTGTAATGTTCGTCTGGATGGCTTGTATCATAGTTGAAAGATCTGAGTTATAGAATTTTTTCAGAGCAGAATCAATAATCATGGTATCCCATACCTGGACCAAAATCAAATTTACTGAATTTGCAGCATTAATGACTAACAAGAAAGCGGACCACTCAATCCTAATGACCAACAGATCAAAAAGGTGAAGAATCAGAAGAGAGCTTGATGGAAAAGTAATTGACATGCTAGTTCAAAAGCAGATGAATCATTCACTACAGATACTTGAGCTACAAAACTTGGATCCACAACTTTTTTCCAACTCATTTTGCTCACATTCATTAAATAGGTAAATAAAATCCCAAAGCACTGACATAGCAAGATAACAAACTAACACTTACATGATGAAGATTTGTTTTCCTGCGGTACCAACGAACTATTATTGTGTTGCCGCCTAGGTCTCCAGTGAAACCAACATGTAAGGGCTGCAGCAGAAAATGGGAAAACAGTACATCCTTTAGAGCAGAAGTTTGGGTGACAACTGACAAGGATAGGCCAATCAAAGTAAATTATATTTTTAACAATTTGCAAGTAATTTGGACGTTGAGGAATAAACAACAATCCAGCCAAAAGACACTGAACTATGGTACCCATAAATTTCCTTCCATTTCATGTATAATATACTTTGCAGGGTTGAAAGCTGTCATTTTTTAACTCATCTACCAAATAGGTAAACTCAGAGTAAAGTATAAAGTGCTGACTAAGGGGTTTTGTTTATCAAATATTTTTGGCATTCTTATATCAGATTCCAATATGGCAATATGATGATGCCCAAACGGAGGGACAAACCCAGCTACAAAACAAGTCTGGTAAGATAATATACATAATCTTTAAAACAAGTATATTATGTTGTTCATTAGAGTTCCATTAATCCATTTTTGAATTGTTTATTTATTGAATACGAGTTGAAGTACTCAGCAGTCAAAAGCGCTAAGGAAATCAAACCTGATGAACATCTCCAACAAAATGTGACAAGAACATAAGTGCCTCGGTCAAATTGTCTGTAGTTGAGAGAGGAAGAACAGTAAATGCAAAGAAACTATCGGATTATTCAATGAGCAAGTTAAGAATCGTCCTCCACAGGTGCTTACATCTTAAATCTGAAGTATTGCCGACATAAGCTGATTTGAGTTGCATTGTATAGTTGTATATTGCTCCGGTGACACATCTATCTTTATGTCCATAAGAATCATGGCAGTCTCCTGTAAGAATTATGACACCGTCAGGTATTTGAGAAGCTCATTACCATTAAGCGGTTCAAATGAATAACAAAGTAGAATAAAAACTTTCAAACGAGATAAAGAATTAAAGGTCCTAACTTACTGCAGTATTTATAGTTGCATTTGAAATCCGGGGTGTCAACATAATGTAAAGGACTACTCCAGTGATAATGAAACCGAACCGTATCAGCCCAAGGGCAAACTGCAGCAAAATCGCCTTCAGCAGAATCAGGGAGCAACTGTTTCACTGCAAATAGAGCATCTTCACTAAGATACTCCTTCAAAACACCGGAAGATCTCTTTTTAGTATCCCAAATTCCGGAAATTCTTATAAAATGACCCATCCACACGAAATTTATCTAAAAAATCAGCACTCAATAATATCTCAAGTCCATATCTTCAGTATATCCTAGTCCCTTTCCAATCATCTTTAGAATTTCTAGAACCAAAAAATGATTGATAAAATTGTAAAATTTCACCACTACAGAACCAAAAGAATGGAAGATTAAGCTCACCTCTGCTATTTTACAAATCGCATAGTGGCCTTCATTTCCCCAACACAAAACCCCTGGCATCAACAACAGAAGCGTGAACAGTCCCCCATTCCACAACAGCAGTGGCCCTCCCATATCATACAAATGAACGGTAATCGGGGAAAAGTACTCCTTTTCAAAAGCAAAATAAAATAATGGCTTAGTTCAGACAACACCATATACTGCGCAACAGAGAAATACAATCAAAGGGTTTCTGCTAATCGCAGAATGGAATGTAGAGGGAAGAGAAGATCTGGTGATAAAGCTTGATCGACGTAAGTAGTTTCTTAAAATTTGATCATGATTGTATCTGACGCAGTAGTGGGAAATCGGACTCGGAGACTGGGAAATTATTCGTACATATCCTTTCTATATTTGTTTCTACAAGTAAGTTCCAAATAAAAGTTAATTATTTTTCCATCATATTTATAAGTCAAACTTATATTTACAGATCAAACTTGGATATTTACTAGTAATTGAGCCTTGTAGGTAATTAATTTTCTTATCATTTCTTACTTGAAATATATTACCTTCTGTCTTAAATATAAAAAATAGTTGATAGTATTAAATATAAAACCTCAACCTATTTTATTTTTTAAATTTATAATGTATTCTAAAAAATGTTTATGTTGATTATAAGATATTTTTATCCAAGTATAATTTTATTGTACATAATTAAATAATAATAATTTTAAAAAGTCAATACATATTTACTATAAATAACTAATGTAATTAATTTTTCCTAGCTTTAGTAATAAATGTAGTGTGTGTATACACACATCATTCCCCCCAAAATTTACGTGTTTTAGAGGAAGATTTGAGGGTGTCACTAATTATTACTCTTACCTCATTTTCTTCCTTAAGAAAAATCATTGAACGATTAAAAAATCTTCAAAATAATACTCCTCCGGTCCTAATTATAAGACCCAATTGACTTATTTGAGGAGATTAAGAAAGTAAGTTAAGTTGGTTATTTATAATAAATAAGTGTTGCTATTCCTAAAATATCCTTGCTAATTAAGTGTATTAGCTAAAACTATCATTATTAGAAGGATTATCTTGGAAAAAAATGCATAAATATAAAAGAGAAAATGGATTGGGTCTTATAATTAGGACCAAATGAAAAGTCAAATTGGGTCTTATAATAAGGACCGGAGGAGTATTAACTAACTTAATAGAATATACCTTATTAAAATACATATATATATATATATATATGTATTTGAAAATGCAACTCAATAAATCTTAATTCGTTATGAAAATTTATTTAGATAGAAATTAATGATAATTAATTGGCTAAATAAGTTACCAACAAAGATTTACAGAGGTTTTCAAATGACATTCATGGTTGTAATTAGTGTGTCCTCAATAATGCTCTTGAAGAATAATAATTAATAAATAATTGAAACCCACATCATCAACTCTTTTGAAAAAGATACCATGAACAGAAGAGAAACACTTAAAACACACGTACATAATAATTAGGCTTGTCCCAACATTTTCAGACATCCAACTACACTCTTCTCCACTCTATATTATATAGCATACTGAACTCTTAACCAATTTACCGAATCACACTGCGAACACTAATTTCTGACTACAAGCATTCAACCCACATAAATTCGCAGACGCAGTTTCACACACAAATGACAAAACCAAACTAGAGGACTCTAATACTCATTAGTTGATACAATAAGAACTGCCATATGCATATTTTGCTTTAAGCTTGAGCAATTCTTGTGTGAGGAACAAAGATGCTGTTTAAGGTTGCAGCCAAGCGCACACCACCTTGAGCCAGTCTTTTCTCCACTATAGGAAGCCGAGAAAGGAAATACTCATCTACATTATCAAATATACAACAAGTGAGAGCTTGTTAAGAAGAACCAGTTCACCCAAAAGGTCAGAACATGACGAATATATAGGTGAGGAAGTGGAAATACCTCCCAAAGTGCCTCCTGCTGTGACATTCGTGTATGCAAAATTGCATGCTAAACTAACGCTTTCAGAAGCATACCTGATTCATAGTTATTAGCAACCAAGTTACAAGATGAAAAATTTCTTAACACATTTCCTAATCTATAGAAATGAATATCTTCTATCTCTTTGAGGATTATCTAGCAGTAAAGGGTAGAGCATAGCCTTTAACTGTTGAAGTAAACAAAAATGCAGCAGATAATTTAATTAATGTAGTCCTTGAGTTAGTTATGAGACAAGGCAATGAAATCTTCTGAATGGACACATAATATCTATAATGGAAATTATATATACCGTTCGGTACAAGCAGTGATGTTATGTGCACATTTTTGCCAAGTCGCTACATCGTTGGACCAAACATCCTGCAGAAAGCAAGTCAAAGTGAAAGTCAGTCCTACGCTATTCATGAGAACATACAAGTGAAAGCGAAGTATTATCATGGTGATAAACTTCAATTTGAAAGAACTTGCATAACAAGATACTCGATATTTCTTATAGACTATATTTGGCACATAAGTCTGAAAAGAAAGAAGTCTAAAAATGAAAATCAAATGCTACATTCTGCAAAGGAATAAAGTAAGATTGGGCTTTTTTTTTTTGGGGGGGGGGGAGCTGAAGGATACTGAAATTGAAAGATTTTGACGTTACAGTGAGAAAAGGCCAGAAATGTCAATACTGTTTTAAGATACTGTTCTCTCTATCAAAAGTAAATCCACGTCCTGATAAACTCAGAAGGGGAAAGAGATAGAAATGAATCCGTACATTGCAGACAGGCATATCAAATCATTTAGGAAAAATGGGTTAAAGATTCACAAATATCTTGCAGCCTTTGATAGAGCATTATCACGTTTCTTAAGCTGTTCTAAAAAATGCCAGAAACTATAGAGCATAATACTTACTTTCATGTTCGCCAGAATGGCTTGTATCATAGTTGAAAGATCTGAGTTGTAGAACCTTCCCATAGCAGAACCAATAATCATGTCATCCCATACCTGGATGAAAAGCCAAATTTACTGAATTTCTGTAGCATTAACAAGAAAACAGACTGCTCAATCCTTATGATCAACTGATAAAAAAAGCAAAAGAATGAGAAGAGAGCTTGATGGCCGTGTGATTAACACTCAAGTTCAAAAGCAGATGAATCATGAATCTTTCACTATTGGTACTTGACCTACAACAAGCTAGATCCACAACTATTTTTCATCACATTCTAATCCATATATCAAGACAATAAACTAACAATTTTTTTTTTGGCCAGAAATAAACTGACACTTACTTTATGAAGATTTGTTTGATTGTCGTACCAATGAAGTTTCATTGTGTTCCCTCCGAAGTCTCCAATGAAACCAAGGTGTAAGGGCTGCAGAAGAAAATGGGAAACAGGATATCCTTTAAATCAGAAGTTTGGTTGACAATAATAAGCAAATGAAAGTATATTACGTTGTTAACCATATGTGTAATTTGTACATTGAGATAGGAAATAAGCAAGAATACAGCCAAAAGAAACTGAACTATGTAACCATTTAATTTCCTTCTATTTCATGTACAATCTATTTTGCAGGGTTCGAAGCTGTCATTTTTTGAACGCATCCACCAAATAGGTCAACTAATACAGTAAAATGTAAACCTGTGAAATGCCAACCAGAGGGTTTTGCTTATCAAATATTTTTGACATTCTTAGACCAGATTACACTCTGATGATGCCCAGAGGCAGGCAGTGGAAGGACAAGCTTGATTGTAGAACAAATATGGTAAGATAACATAAATAATACGGGTATATTACGTTGTTCATTAGAGTTCCAATTAAACCATGTTTGAATTGTCTGCAGAAGAAAGTGGCTTGAAGTCCTCAGCTGTCAAAAGGGCAAAGAAGAACAAACCTGATGAGCATCCCCAACAAAATGTGACAAGAACAAGAGTGCCTCAGTCAAATTGTCTGTAATTGAGAAAGGAAGAACAGTGCACGTAAGATAAACTATCTGTTTACCGGATGAGCAAGTTAAAAATCCACCTCCCATAAGTGCTTACATTTCAAAACAGAATTTTTGCCTGCATAAGTTGATCGGAGCTGCGTTGTATAGTTGTATATTGCTCCGGTGACACATTGATCTTTATTTCCATAAAAATCATGGCAGTCTCCTATAAGTATAATAAAATGTACCCTTAAGTTATTTGAGAAGTTCATTATCATTAAAGCAGTCTAAATGAGTCATAAAACCAAAGCAACACTGTCAAAAATAAAGGAGACACCAGATCTTACTGCAGTATTCATAGTTACACTTGTAATCAGGGGTGTCAGCAAAATGTAAAGCAGCACTCCAGCGATAGTCAGGCTGACGTTTAATGTCATCAGCCCAAGTGCAAAGTGAAGCAAGATCACCTTCAGCAGAAGCAGGAAGCAATTTTTTCACAGCAAACAACGCATCTTCACTAAGGTATGCCTTCAAAACACCAGAAACATCTCTTTAGTACCCAAATCTCTGAGTAAATAAAAACTTAAAAACTTCACCGCTTTGAGGCTACATTTGGGGGAAAAAACGAAGATTAAGCTCACCTCTGCTAATTTACAAAGTGCATAGTGGCCTTCATCTCCCCAGCCCAGAACTGCTGGCATAAACAGGAGAAGCAGGAAGAGTCTCCCATTATACCACAGTAGTGGCTTGCCCATGTCTAAAATCAAGTGCTCTCTTTTGGGGGGAAAATAGCCGAAGATTGAGACTGGCCTTGGCTTGATGCAATTTATATACTGCAAACCAGTTTTGGAAGGGCAAATTCTAGCCGCAGATAATAGGCCCACTTACCACATTTGGTTACAAAAATAGTAGACAACTCGTGACACACGTTGGCCATCAAATGGCATCAAACAGGACACGTGCGATCAATTGATATGTCATATAAATCTTCAATATCAATTTCTCTAAACACTCAACTTAGGTAGTTTAAAAGTGAATGTGATGCTTCTGTACTGCACCAGTGGTTTGGCTATGTTGAATGATTAATTAGCTGTCGAGAAACTTGAATTTTTTTTCATTATTTTTAATTTTAATTGTTTCTCACATATACTTCTGTCTCTCAGTTATCTTTTGTATATATAATCTCTAGAAAATCAATGCTGTGAAGGGCGCTCTGTCGAAAAAAGCACATGCGATCAAATTTGATACTCATCAAGAGAAGCATGTGGCGTGGGAAGGTATTTGAATGAAAACAAAATTATAGTTTACGGTTCACGGTATACGAATTAAATACGCAGAGAAATTTGTTTTGATTTATATAAAAATATTTTTCAAAAGTATTTTTATAACTTACCACACACTCCGTTCAGGCTAAAAGTTCATCATAGCCGAAGATTGAGACTGACCTTGGCTTGATGGAATTTATAGAGAAAATCACCAATAAAAACCTTTAAATTATCAAAATTACACAGAGATCACTTGAATAGGCAAAATTACTATAAAAGACTCAGTCTTATATAGCAAATATGAAATCTTGATAAAATATCTGAAATACCACTCAGTCAAATAACAAGTTGACTATAGGAAATGACAAATTCACTTTAACGAATGACAATTTCAGTAAACCAAATCACAATTTGATTGAATATATGCTAAATGACAAGTTGACTATGGGAAATAATAAGTTTACTTTAGCGAATGACAACTTCAGTAGATCAAATCACAACTTGACTAGGGGCATTTCAGACATTTTACTAAGATTTCATATTTGCAATATGAAACTAGATCCTTTATAGTAATTTTATTTATTCAGGTAATCCATGTGTAATTTTGATAATTCAGGAATCTTTCTTTGTTATTTTCTCTAATTTATATACTGCAAGCCAATTTTGGAAGGGCAAATTCTAGCCGCAGATAATAGGCCCATTTATCACATTTGGCTACAAAAAATAGGAGACAGCTCCTGACACACGTTGGCCATCAAATGACATCAAACAGGACGCGTGCTATCAATTGATATAAATTTCCCGGGTGTTTGGAAACCATCGAAACACTTTTAAAAAAATAAAAGGTTTTTACGCAAATTGAGAAAAAATTTTTTAGGGGTATTTGGTTTCTTTCAAAAATACTTTCTAAAAACACTTTTATGAGTCGAAATAAAACTTTTTTTATATACATATTTCGTATATCATAAAATTACTTTTAAAAATATGGTTTAGTTTTTATCGAAACAACTTTTGGTGTAGTTATTTCATATGTTACAAAATTATTTTTAAAACTTGATTTGATTTCACCGAAACACACTCTTCTTTGAACACTCAACTTAGGCAGGTTGACAGTGAATGTGATGCGTCTGTAATGCACCAGCGGTTTGGCCGTGTTGAATGATTCTTTAGTTTTCGAGAACTTTTTTTTCATTTTTTTTAATTTTAATTGTTTCTCACATATACTTCTGTTTATCACTAATCTTTCGTATATACTTTTTTTATCCTTATTATAAGACATATTTAACTAATTTGATTATATTAAAGAAGTTAGATAAGTTAATTAATTATAAGAAATATGACATGTTTTTCTTAAACTTATAATTATTTTTCTTAATATCCTCCCTTTCTCTTCTACTTGATTATGATTGAGGAAGAATCCATAGGGGTAATTTAGGAAAAATTAATAAATATGAGAATTATGTCTTATATTTAGGATTAAAATCAACTCAACAATTAGGTCCTATATTAAGGACCAAAGGAGTATAATATAATCTCTAAAAAATAAATATTTTGAAGGGAGTTTTGTCACACAAAAAAAAGTACTACTTTCAGTTCTTAATATAAGAGCTAGTTGACCAATTTGAGTAGATTAAAAAAACTAATTAAGTTAGTTATTTGTAATAAATAGGCATTGTCTATTGTTACAAGGATTACACTTGAAAAAAAAAAGAATAAATATGAGAGATAAAATGAATTGAGATTTTATATTTAGGATTAAAATAAAAATCAAACGAATTCTTATATTAAAAACTAAAAATAGTATGTGGGATTGAATTTGATGCTTACCGAGATAAGCATGTGGCGTTGTTTCTGAGACAAGATTCGGCTAATGGGAATAAATATTGTAACCTGGAACCAATAAGAGTTGATCCAGTTGATAAGGAGTCGGTTCATAATCCATAAAGTCATGAGTTCGAATCCTGCTGCCGATGTGAGGACCTTGTTGGTGGACGATCTGTAAATACCTCTATAAACATTCTTTGAGTCTGAAGGCATATCCTGATTCTAATAAGCTCTCAGATCCAACTCATCTAAACTTTACTACTCCCTCCGTTCCTTATTATAAGAGACATTTGATGCTTATGACATGTTCCTATATATAAGAGACACTTAAAAGTTGTCTCTACTTTTTTGTGTTGATTTCCTATTTTACCCATATTTATTGTCTCTAACTCACACTCTCTCTCCTTCCCACTTCTCTTTCTTTTAATAATTTACTATTATTCTCTCTCATGTTCTCTCTCCTTATTAATGAGGGTATTTTTGGGAAATTATACTTTTTACACATTGATTGTTCTTAACTAATTTTAACTGTTTTTTTGATCAACGTAATTCGGTTATTCGTCTCTTATAATAAGGAACGGAGGGAGTATATTGTAACCTGGAGGCCATTTTGGTAACAGAGGTTGGTGCCTTGATATGGGGAAAAGAGCCTTAAAAGCTGGGATAAATGAAGCTCCATATCCATTTATGGAACCCCATTCCAATACTGCCACCCGTTATAGAAAAGCATCAGAGGCCAGATAAGAAATTCATGATCAAATAACAATCTTCTCGCTTTAAGCATGGGGCCCTCTTAGCACGTTGGGGCATCATCAAAGGCATCAAGTCATCAACACAGATTACAATAAAGGCGCATAAAAGGCAATCGGGACAGAGAACACGTTCTCACCACTGTTGGCCAGTCCATAACAGTCATCACCAAGGTCAGTAATGCTGGTCCATACATTGGGCGTTAGTGCTGTATCCCTGTCCTCTTGTCCTTATCCATTGCTTTTCTGTTTGTGTTTGGCTCAAAAGGGAGATTTAAATGGAGAAGAAGGAAAGAAAGGAGAAAGATTTAAATATTATTTCTAATTTTTAATATAAGATTTTATTTAATTTTTATTTTAGTTCTAAATATAAGATTTTAATCTATTTTGTCTCTTATATTTATTTATTTTCTTTTAAGATAGTCCTTTTAATAATAGTAATTCTAATCAATAAACTTGATTTATAAGAATATTTTAGAAAAAATAATATTTATTTGTTACAAATAAATATTTTAATTTATTTTATTAATTTACTCAAATTAATCAATTAGTTTTTATATTTAAGATTAAAAATAGTATTTTCTTATTTGAATTGATAATGGGAGAGGAGAGGGGCTTTTTTACCGAAATACGATAAACAGTAAAAGTTTTTACCAAAATACTGCACTTTTAAAACTATTTACCAATATACTACACTTAAAATTGTTCTTGGCAAGAACGATTTTCAAATTACATACAAGTCGTTCTTGGCGTGAACGATTTCACTTTTTTTTTTAATTTTAAATGAAAAAGTGAAATCGTTCTTGGCGTGAACAATTTCAAAAATCGTTCATACCAAGAACGATTTCACTTTTTCTTGTTCACCCCCTGCGTCTGAATTGCTGCCAATTAATTCTCGTTCAACATGCCCTAGTTGTGTTGATTATCGAGATAGGGTTGCTCGCGACCAGCGTAACATTTTACTTGCACTTAGAGAACAACGTTTTAATGTAAACCCTCAGCTTGCTCCACCAACAATTGAGTTGCCTCGGCCACAAATTCCTCGTGATAGACCAAGCAAGCGACGAGGTGGTTACTTGTCTACCCAACCTATAATTGAAAACGAAAATGCAAGGGAACAGGAACCTCCAATTTTTACTCAGGCTTCTGACATATCACTGTCACCATCATCCCCCTTCATCTCTATCGATCCTACACAACTTGAGTCTCATTACATGGCACCCTCATTATCATCCCCTTCCAACTCAGCCAATCCTTCTCAATTTCAACCATTCATGACTTTATTAGATAATCCTGCATTATTTTCAGCTGAATACAATGCTTCTACTTTTGAACATGGTGGACCATCAAATGAAGCATTTGTCACTCCTCGACAATCTATACATTTAAATGAATCACCCTGGTTTGATTTGAACACGCCAACTACACAAACAAATGAAACATTTGAAGCTCAAGAAATTGACATACAACAACAACGCCCACAACGTATGAGAAGAAGGCCAAGATGTGGTACTGGAAGTCACTATCAGTAAGGTGGATAATTTTTTCTTTATAAACTTAAACTTTATTTATTACTTTTTATTTTAATCTTATACTTATTTCACAATTAGTTTTAACATCATTATAACATTTTTCTCTCATTATATAGTCATGATTTTGTCATTCAAATGATTGATAAATCATTATACTAATCATTTTAATCAGGAGAGAAGGGGAGAAGTCATTCAACAGCAGATGAAGTTTTGAAGTTGTTCACTAGAAGAATGATTTTCATTCACCTCATGCACATCAAGGACAGATTATGAAGAAGTCGTTCACCAGATAAATGACTTTAAAAATTATTCACCTGAAGACCGATTTTAAATGTAATATATTAGTAAATACTTTTAAAAGTGCAGCATATTGATGTATAATTTTATAATTTGTAGTATTTTGGTAAAAAAGCCTGTCGTGTGGTATTTGTTCGGTTTGACAAGAAATCAAGTATTGGGCATGGGTCTTTTATGCCTGTAATAATAATGTAGTCTTACAACTTAATTGCTACAATTAAAAATTTACAATCAAAACATAACTTTTTTTGTTACGTACTGTTTGGTATGAGATAGATAAAAAGAAGAGGAAATGATAGAAAATTTCATCAAGCTCTATTTGAAAAAAAAATTAAAAAAAACTGGGGTTTTCAAATTTTAATCCAATATAAGTCAGATGAAGTAAAATTTACTATATATGTTATATAGCCTTACTGGAGCATCATCAGGGATTCTTATTTTTGCATGCAAGAGTGAAATCGTTCTTGGCGTGAACGATTTCTAAAATCGTTCACGCCAAGAACGATTTCACTTTTTGATTTAAGAAAAAATTTAAAAGTGAAATCGTTCACGCCAAGAACGATTTCTGAAATCGTTCACGCAAAGAACGACTTGTGTATAATTTCAAAATCGTTCTTACCAAGAACGATTTTAAGTGTAGCATATTGGTAAATAGTTTTAAAAGTGTAGCATTTCGGTAAAAAGTTTTACTATTTATCGTATTTTGGTAAAAAAGCCGAGGAGAGGAGATGAATTTTTTATGACATGATATATGATATAATCTAATAAGAGTGTACCAGTGACCATCATTTTCCCGTGTAATGTGAGATTCAGAAGAATAATATGAAAATACAAAATAAGCTAAGATATTATATTTTTCTCCTCCATTTTGGCAGCAGAGGTTACGAGGGCAGAGGAAGAAAAATTTTAAATTCCCTCTTAAAAACTTCAGAAACCCAAACAAGAGCAATATCTCCCCCGCTTCTCTCCTCTCCCATCACTGCATACCCGGTCCCTGGATTCTGCACAGTGCACCGAGGGCTTCTCTCGATATCCTATTTTCTTTTCAATTTTTTCCCTATTTTCTTCTCTCATATAAACAAGTAAACCGACTTTTCCTTTTATTTTTTCCCCCTAATTTTCTTTTCTCTCCCATTTTCTCTTGATCCTAGAGTTCTCCTGCAACATCTCATGTAATTATATCCATATACGCAATAAAAATACTTTATTTAAAAATTTATATGTATTTCTAACATTCCAAACATGTTATAATTTCAAAATATTTTTCTAACATAAAGAAATAAACTATTAAAGTCTTGTAGTTGTGGCAAATAAAAATATAATATAACATGTGTTTAAGAAGTATAGAAGTCTTTATGGTTCACTCTATCAGTGTCTTTTCTTGATTCATATTAGATCCTTCACCTGAAAATGTTAATACAAGTGATGAGATCTAACGTTTCAGTAACTATTAAAATTCTAACCTATACAAACAAACCATATATGGCAAATAAAAATCTGATTATATGTGTATATATGTATTTGTGTATAAAAATCACAGATTTATACATTTAACTCAATTTTATTTTTAATTCAACAATATAATAACATCATTTTCCAGTATAATGCAATATGCATTATCCCTTATATCACCATCCATCCTTATACCATTAACTGGAGCCATATACTAACACATAATTTACTAGGAACTAATCCATTTTACTGCATTATTCCAAACTCACCAAAACTGGAGATATATTTGGCCAAAAATATAAAGCTCAAGTTCATACCATAGCACCTCCTTTTGCGAATAAAATAAGGAGGTGTCACATGTCTCACAGCTCTAATGAATTTCTAGCCAAAGAAAAACACGAAAGAATGAGCATTGACAAGTGCTATCTACTATGTACCGAGCGATGGCATATTACGTGGTAATTTTATATCCATGCAAATCTTTTTCTATCCTTAGCGCCACAATGCAAATGTCATATGCAAATAATATTATATCATAAGTACGCCCTCTATATTATTAAAAATAAGATAACAATAAAATTTATGTATTAATAACTATCAATACATTTAAATATTAATAATAATTAATAGCAATAAATATTAACAAATTAAAATAACATATGAAAACATTTATTAGAAAAGTCATAATACATACATATATTTCAATATGGTATAATAAAAATTAGTAAATCTATAACATAATCATACACAGTTCACATGTACATAAAAGAATTTTCAGAATTATCTACTACTCTTTAACTTACAAATAATCACAATACTCCAAAATTCTCAATAAGAGTCTACAAAATTGCACACAAATATTTATTAATAAACTCAAAATTATTCCAAAACTACTCTAAAATTCTAAGACTACCATCTAAATTAAAATTACAAAAATATATTAACTCTCCTAGATCTAGCTATTTAATAATAGATATAATATTATTTGCGAATAAAATTTTTTCATACCAAACAATATTTAAATTTAATAACTTAAGTATATATATTTTTTGCCCAAAATCAAAATACTTCACATTATAATTTTATTTATTATAGTCTCATTTAAAATTTTCCTCAAACTATACAACTTCTATGAATTATAAATAAACCTAAACTTTATTTAATTTCATAAAATTCTCAATTTATAATTTTTTAAATTTTCAAAAATTATTTCAACTATATATATTTGACTTATTCAATATTCCAACCAATTAAAACCTTAGTAATACATTAAATAACTCAAATAAATTATTTAACTTAAATTTAATAGGTAAAAACATTTTGTATGTCTTGAATGACAAATTTTTCAACTAAAATCTTAATTTAAAATTCTCAAACTATCAAGGAACAAATATAAACTGATTAAATTTTTTTAACAATGTATCTTTAAATTTCTACGATCATATATTGTCAAAACTCTATATTTATTTCATACTTAGATATTAAAATTTTCTCTAAACATTATAATGATACTAATAATATAATGCTCTAAATATATAGAAAATACTCATAAAGAAAATTTAATAAAAAAATATAGCTGTGTATCTAAATGATTTTTAAAACTTATATTACCCTTTAAAACACTAATAATTCTGCTTCTCTCACGCTCTCTCTTCCTGCGCCCTGCTCGGCTTTTGTCTCCTGCTCTTCATTTTATTCTATTTTCGTTTATCTTCCAACCACCCAGTCTCCATTTTTTCTTCTTTATCTACAACTCCTCTCCAAAATTCTTTCTTCCATTTAATACAATTCGGTGGAAAAGATGGTTTTTTTTAAATAAAATATTATTTTATTTATATATATTTTATTATAATTTTTTTCCTCAAAAGTATGTTACATCTTCCATTTTCCCTTGATGCTAGAGTTGTCGGCCTCTTTTCCATTCTAATGCTCTGCCCTCGCTTCACGTTGTTGTAATAAACAAACAACACGTTTTTCTCTGCGCTCCGGAATTTGAAATAACAGCGCAACAATGAGAACCGGAGAAAGAGAAAGAAGGAATCGGTTGCCTTGCCGTGCACTCTGCTACCATGCTCCTTTCATATTAACCTTGGATGACGCTTGGCTCTGCCATCGAAACACAATTAAGAAAATAGAATTCATTTGTCCTCATCTCTATTAATCCCAACGGAGTGTATTGAGGAAAAGATCTCAATTAAATCTAATTAAAATATTTATATTTATATTTATATTTTTAATAAATTTCTATTCAAATCAAGAGGTCCAATTAGATTTTTGAATAAAAAGAAAAGTTAGAGTGGATATAGATCTCATTTTGATTTTAATTATTTCAACATGATTTAATTGACTCTATTGCTTTGTTTTTACCTTTTAGCTTGTTTGTTTATTTTTGCTTATGCTTTTTTTTTTCCTTACTATTTTTGCCCATTTACCAATTATTTTGGACAATCAAATTACCACTTTTCATAATCAAACAATTGCAAATTCCTTCTTCTCTGCGTGATTTGATTAAAGTTATGCAGATTATATTTACATTTGTTATTAAAAGAGAATTAAGTGAATTTTATTTTATTTTTTAAATACGAAATGTATTTTTAATTGCCTATCCTCGCACTTACCCTTCAATTTTTATTTAACGCGAGACTTAGAAAGCTTGTACATTTTACATACTTTGGTACCAAAGGGACCAAGTAAGATCATTTATCCATAATGTATAGGGAGAGAAGAAGGAACATGACTGAAGTCCCAGTGAAATTGTTAATTGAACTGAGAGCACCGGTGGCCATGAGAAAACGGAGATACGCCATTTGGTTAATTAAGAAATAGCACACCATTAATGCACAACGCTATCTAGAAAGGGGCCAGCAAATTTAAATATTGGGACTCAATGCGGTGATATACACATTACACATACATAGATATAATAGTAGTTCGGTGCTAAATATAAGAACTAATTAACTAATTTGAATATATTAAAAAAAATAACTAAGTTAATTATTTGTAATAAATATATATTGTCTTTATCTTTACTAATCAATTATTAGTTAGAATTAGAATTATTACAAAGATTATTTTAAAAATATATAAAATAAAAAATAAAATAAAAATCAAACTAGTTTTTATATTAACAACAGACTTATCCTGTACTAATTAATCATGTCTCTCTGGCTCTTCGTTCATGTTAACGTACATTTAACAAGTAGCATGAAATGGCCCCTCTTGACTGTTTCATCCCAAGCTCTTCCCTACAGTAAGAGGCACAATCTTGCATTCCATTCCTACAAAAATAATATAAAAAAGAAAGCTTTGCGTGTGCGTAAGACAGAGGGGGTGGGGAATTCCATTGCTGAGGGTGTAGTCTGTTTTGGTGCGACACAAGCAATGAAGGCGGTGGTGATCACTAGACCAGGTGACCCAGAAGTGCTTCAGGTACGGGATGTGGCAGAACCATTAATTAAGGACCATGAGGTCCTCATAAAGGTTGCTGCCTCTGCTTTGAACCGTGCCGATACCTTCCACCGCAAAGGCTTATATGAGCTTCCAAGCGGTGACGCCCCCTTTCTGGGTATGGAATGCTCTGGCACCATTGAAGCCCTCGGTAAAAATGTTACCCGCTGGAAAATTGGTGACAAGGTACATTTTAATTTTCACTTGGAACTTCATTTGTGTTCTTGTTAAATTGACAATAATCTATGAAGCAAGACACTTCTAAAATAGGGTCGGATCATCCCATATACTAGATTGTAGTGCTTATTTGATGATAAGCTGGGACTTCCTTAGTGGGATCGAAGATAAAATGTCGTTAATGCGTCATCTCTGAAGGGACTGATTCGGGTTGTTCATGGTAGTGATGAGTTGCACTCAATTGACTCTTCATTGATGCATAAATACCATGGGTAATTCCTGTGTTTTCATATTTGCTAAGGTAAATCAGATTTACTAATGTAAATGATGTAATTTGAGAAATCACCGTGTGTCTAAGCTTCTTGATAGAACGATTGAAGCTGAGTCTTGTATACAGAATTCTGTTATAAATATATGTGCAAGACTTGTTGATATGTGCGAAGAGCCTTGTGATTCTTTGTTGTTTTTCTGCAGGTATGTGCTTTACTCCATTGGGGAGGGTATGCAGAGAAGGTAGCTGTTCCAGTAGAACAAGTTCTCCCTATCCCACCTGGTGTCTCTTTGGAGGATGCTGCTAGCCTGCCTGAGGTGGCATGCACTGTTTGGTCAACGGTTTTTATGACCAGTCGACTATCAGCTGGGGAGACATTCTTGGTAACTAATTGTGCCCAGCCCAAAGTAGTTTTTGAATGAATGATTGCATCATATGGCATTGGAAAACTGGGGATGAGTGGGGAATGTTGTAAATACCATGAATGTTTCTGATTTTCAGCATGTAAGGTTAAATTCTTATGATCAAATATCAGAATGAGCTGCTTATATATATATATATCTATATATATATGTATGTATATGTATAGCTAATATATATATAGATAGCCAAGTCTCCATAGTGCTGTCATTCGTGCCAAGTTTTCCTTTAAATAGTCTAAGGACTAGTAATCATCATAGCATGTTTGGATTTTGTTTAGAACATATCTTGGCGGATTATATTGAAATTGACATGCTAAATAAATCAATTTATAGTAGTCATTAGGACTTGACCCAATGACTGAAATGGTTAGGTTCATGGGGGTTCCAGTGGAATTGGTACATTTGCTATCCAAATGGCTAAATTTCAAGGAGCAAAAGTCTTCACTACGGCAGGTCCGACTCTGCTTCTGTTTTGTCTTATATCTTATTACACATGTTGAGTTTTGCATATACTCATGAATCTTAATAATTAAATTTCAGGAAATGAAGAAAAACTAGTTGCTTGTAAAAATCTCGGAGCAGATGTTGTTATCAATTACAAGACAGAGGACTTCGTTGCTCGAGTAAAGGAAGAAACTGGCGGGAAAGGTATATCACCTTTTTTTTTTGCATTTTTCTATATCAAATAGAAAAACTATTGAAGCTTTTGCATTTAGCCCAACTTTTTTAATCTTTTTCTTTACATTCTTGTTCTTTATCTACGAAGGTTACTTCCCTCGTGCTTGTTATGGAGAAGATTGAATACTGAAGTTACCAATTGCAGGTGTTGATGTCATTCTGGATCACATGGGAGCATCCTACCTGCAGCGAAACCTGGACAGCTTAAACTCTGATGGAAGGCTTTTCCTTATCAGCATAATGGGTGGGGCTGTAGGAGAAGTAAATCTGAATAGTTTGCTCACAAGGCGCCTCACAGTACAGGGTATGGTCCAAAATCTTCCATTGTTATGTTATATGGGCATCAAATCCTTTGGACCTGCATAGGTCATTATAAGCTCAATTCTAAGAATTTTCTCTGAGTATCACCTCAGCTTCGTTAGAGTATTCTTCCCCATAATATTATTCCTTATTCAGCATTTTTTTAAATATCACTTTAGCCTTACAAGATTCTCCTGCTTTCTAGGCAAGGAAAGTCATGGATATAAAGGTCATAGATGATTACCATAATTTGATTTCTTTGTTTGTTGCATAACATGTATCTCTTTATCAAATCTATATAGCAAGTTGTATTGTCAACAAACTGCAAACAGTACCGTTTCATGTGGTGATTTTGAACACAGCTGCTCGCTTGAGATTCAGAAGTCCGGAAAAGAAAGCAGAGATTATTAGAGAGGTGGAGAAAAATGTGTGGCCTGCCATTGCTTCAGGGAAGGTGAAGCCTGTTGTGTATAGGTACTTCCCATTATCTGAAGCATCAGAAGCTCATCGACTCATGGAAACCAGCAAGCATATTGGAAAGATATTGCTCCGACCATGAATTTGTTAAACATAAATGTTTGAGCTTATGGTCCCTACTTGTCACATAAACTAATCCCTTTTTATTTTTATTTTTCATGTCGGAACATCATCTCCTATGTGACGGAATATTTTTAATTTTGAATTGGTTTCTTTTTTCCTGAAAAAAAATAATAATTTGTACAAAATATATATTCACTAAAGGTCTAATAAAACTTTGGCACGGAAAAAAAGGTCTAATAAAAATATAAAATTAGCACGGGCATTGTTTTAAACAAACGTAAAGTATCCCGATCAGAGAAAACCGAGACGTCGTATGGCAATCAGGACGGCGTGATTGTTGTTGAGGAGACGACACTGTATTATTTTGCCATGATGCGTGCGGAGGAACACAAGTAACGCTGCTAGGAAGTTCTGCCTTCGGCGAGTGACTTTCCAGCGACAGAGGCGACGAGGTCCTCATCAGAATAACAGTAACCGCGCTGAATCGAGCCGATAGCCTTCAGAGGAAAGGTTCGTGTCCACCCCCCAGAGGTGCGTGCCCTTACCCAGGAACGGGGTGTTCCGGAAGTGTTGAAGCCGTTGGCAAAAAAGTTTCCAGGTGGAAAATCGGTGGCCAGGTACTTAACATTAATTCTTCTGAGTTTTGGGTTTGCAAGGTAGTGATATATCTTTAATCTACTTTTTTTTTGAGAAAATGATGAGATGCGAAACATATCAAGGGAACATTGCATCCCAGGTGCCTGGTTGTTGGGTCTCTCAAAAATGGAAAGTTATTCTATTGCTTGTTGTGATACCTTCGCCGTTTCCGTGAATGATGGACCTTTCTTAGTTGGAAACAAGCAGAGCATATGCCTTTCATAGGAATAACCTTTGTGTGTTTTTATGCTATAGTACGCTTAATTTGATAGCTTATTAAATAAGACAATACGTTTAACCTCAGTGATGACTGATGATCGAATATATGGTTATTGGGTTCCTTTATGTTCCTTTGATCAGCATTAACCTCAAGGTTCTGTTTTACTGAGGTGGTGGAGACCTGTTAGTCGTGTAGTGTATGAATAAATTAAAACTGATTTAATAAATAGATGGGGTTTATAGGTATGTACTCTTCTTGGTGGAGGGGTTTATGCTAATAAAATGGTAGTTCCTGCTGGGCTAGTTCTCTCCGTTCCACCTGCAGTTTCTCTGAAGGATGCAGCTGCTTTTCCTGGGGTTGCATGTACTGTGTGGTCTAATGTTTTTATGATGAGCCGGCTATTCAAAGGAGAAACGTTCTTAGTAAATTTTGAGTCTAATAATTAATCTATGAAGAGAAAATTATATTTTTAGTTAACATTCAAAAACTGTGTTGTTTTGAACCAAGTCATTGGATGCAGCATATCTTGTGACTCCCATCTTGTTAATTCTTACTACTCTGAACGAAGCTATGCAGCGTACCAGTACCTTTTTGTATTCTTCTGTTTAATTAACTCTTGTTTGGGTTAGTAGTATACATAGAACTTAGCAACTCGGGTGTTACGTTTGGTCTTCACCATTAATTAGGGAATGCAAGACATGCTTGAATTAGTTTTAAGACTCGCAAGGATGTAAATATAATATTGGATAACATCCATTCATAACTTGAAATATCTTCTATCAATGTATCTATACTTCCTGGAGTATCTTTGCAAAATTATAGATTGCTCAAGGTACAGGTAAATGGCCTGGATTTGTTTTCGTCGGCAGTGCTGTATGACCTTTCTGGAGTCTGTAGTTGTGACTTAATAATGGTTTATGCTAACTTGAATCCTTCAATTCTCAGGTACATGGCGTCTCTGGTGGAATTGGTATATTTGCCATTCAGACAGGTGAAGATCATGGAGTAACAGTATTTGTCACAGCTGGTCCAGTAGTTTTTATACAACTTTTTTCTTGAAAATTAACCTTTATACAACTTTTTCCCTGGAAATTAACTACCTTCAATAGATCCGTTAAAACTGGCCCGTCTCATGGAGCTAACCATGCATCTCTTTGATTGAAACTTCTGAGTAGTGCTTGCCAAGCACTCATTTTTTGAATATGGATTAGCAAACAGTGAAGAGAAATTAGCTTTCTGCAAGGATCTTGGTGCTGATGCATGCATCAATTACAAAACAGCGGACTTTGTTGCGAGGGTAGAGGAAGAAACAGGTGGTCAAGGTATCATCGTGGGTGATTTAATTCATTTCCCAACATAACTTCAATCTCATATCATTATGCTGCTGTTGCTTTATGAACTATGCACTTTGTCTGGGTTTATAGATGAGCCTGAGTTATATCACATGGTCAATTTCTATGCAGGTGCTGGCTTGGGAAACAAAAACAATGGATAAGAATGTGTGACCAGCAATGAATTATTGCCAGTGGTGTACAAATCATTTCCTCTCTCTGAAGCGGCAGAGGCTCATCGGCTAATGGAAAGCGGCAAACATATTGGGAAGACAGCTTCTTCCATGAACCTGAACAAGCCATTCCAACCCAAGCTCTTGACATTGTGACCTCTTTCTATCTATGATCGAGGAGACTAGTGCCGTGCACATAAGAATTTGTAATGCTTATAGCTACATGGTGGTTTTTTAAAAAATAAAGCATCCCGTAATGAATTGATTCTGTACGATACAGCAAATGTAACTACTGTATCCATGAGGATTCTCTTAGGTGATTTTATGTGCAGAAGATGATGGAGTTGTGCATATTCAAGAAAGAATGGAGTGCTGCTATTGACTTAAAAAAATGAAAATGAAAATTAAAGATATTTTATCAAAGATTTCAAGAACTCCAAGGATATTTTTATCTGCACTAGTTTCTCTTTTCCTTCATAACCAACATGACTCTTGAATGCACAATTTGTTTACGAGCTAGGCCATTCGCTTTATGGGTTAAATTGTCAAATTCCATCTTGGGTTTTAACTTCATTTGATCTTTGACTCTGGTTCAATGTTTTCCCCTTTTACTAAATCTAAGTCCACAAACATGAAACTCATACTAGTATCACCACAAATTATGTTAGGAAATGTCTATATAGAACTTGAACTGGACGCAATAAAATTAGTAAAATAAATATATCCTGACCATATAGAGCATTTTTTTTTATCATTATTTTGAAAGAATACTCCTTTTTGATGAGGCATTATTGTACAAAGTCATATAAAGTATTAACTCCTTATGCTAGGAAAGTTTTGAAGTTCTAGCAACAAAATTACTAAAACAAATCACTCATGATCATCAGGTCTTCTTATCTATCACTCGTACTTGTCAATCTAATTTCAATAAGGAAAGGTTGCAGGGCATTTTTAAAATCAGGTTGATCCCACTCTAATGAGTTCCACCATGTTCTGGTTGCTTTGATTTCTTCAAGAGCAGGCGTTGTTAACGGATCAAGAGGAAGCCTTTTTAAGGCTTCACAGGATGCTATTTCAAGACTTCTCAAAGAAGGGCAGATAATGGTTCCATCATATATACTCATCAAAAGGGGCATGAATTTCAGTTTCATCCTCTTCAACTTCGGAAACTCAATTCCAAAATTATTACCTCCCATGAAATCTCCCTCTTCTTCTTGCATCACATACTCCATACCAGTACAACTGCGGACACTAATTTCTTCTAGATTCTTAAGTTGAAGTAAAATCTGCCCTGAGAATAGAGTCTTCAGTTTTGGACAGTATTCCACAGTAATGCTCTTCAAGCTCATAAGAGTGCCAGGTCTCACTACGTCCCTACATATCATCTTCAAGTTTCCTAGAACTAAAAGTTCCATCCTTTCTAACATGGATAAAGTATTTTCCTCTTCCTCTGACTCAATTATGCATACGATGTCATCGCACCACCTGATTTTACAGGATTTCAATTGTGTCACATTCACTAGGCACATGCTTAGATTCTTAATATCAGCACAGTCATCCAAATGCAGCTCTAAGGTATTTGGTGGTAGAGAAACTGGATTTCCTCTTAGAACAAATCTTCCACTAAAAGCTAAGCTTCTCTCTTCACAAAACTGTACTTGGGGCTGCCCAATTGTTATCCTGAACTTATCCAGCTGAACCCAATGATCAGATTTGGCATATTGATCAAACACATCTGTATTCCACAAGTCTAGTTCAAGAGAAGACAGATTTGAGGAAATGACTTCTTCTATGGAAGCTCCACCGCTAATTGCTTTGACTGTCATTGATCCCCACAAGCTACCACAACCACCTATCAGCAAGTCTTCCAAAAGGGTGTATTTGGATATTAATCCAAATGGGAAGATTTCAATTCCAGTCTTGGAAAGGTTTAAGCGTCTCAAGTTTCCCAAATTTTGCATCCCATTTGGAAGTTCTTTCATCCTTGGAGAGCAGGAGAGGTCAAGGACCATCAGCTTATTCAATTTTGCTAAAGAAGGAACTGTTGATAAATTCCAACAGTTACTCAATAACAAAGCAGATAGATTCTCTAAATTAGAGACCGAGTTAGGCAAGAAATCAATCCCAGTATAGGAGAGATCCAGAACTTTCAGAAACTGCATATTTTCGAAGAATTCATGGGATATATTTTCAGAAAATGAGTTGAATTGCAACAACAGGGAAGTAAGTCTAGGGCACATGAGGTTGTAATTGAAGGGAATATATTTCAAGTCATTTCTCATAAGTGAGACCCTTTGAACATCTTCTGCCCATTCCTCCATCCATTGATGTTTTGTCATTCTAGTCCCCGCTTTACTTATGCAGTGAGGGCTCGTTCTCATGATTGTAATAGCCATATCTCTGATCAAATCGTGCATTCTAACGAATTCCACCGCATTTTGAGTTAGACCTTCTAACAAGCACGCATGTTTTAATTCATTCAATATCATTTTCCCCCTCCTCTTGATTGCAGCCATTCTTCCAACATAACCCAATAAACCTTCCCACATCCAATATTCCATCAGCTCATTAGTATCAATTTGATGACTTTCAGGGTATAAAGCACAAAAGAGGAAACAAGACCTGCTTGTGTCATCCTTTAGCTTGGCATAGCTAAATCTCAAATGTGCAAAGACTGCTTCTTCCATCCTTTCAATATTCGCTGTCGAGGCTCTTAACTCATCTAATGCACACTCCCACTCTGATACATCAGCAGCATTTCTTAAGGCTCGTCCTACTGTGACAATAGCAAGAGGCAAACCTCCGCACTCTCTTGTCACCTCCTTTGCAATCACCTCTACTTCTGCGGAATTTGACACTACTGGTCCAACTTTATACCTTAAGAGATCCCATGCCTCATCATCTTGAAGGGCCTTCACTTCCACGTCCTCATCTGTTTCCATACCTCGACAAACGCTCAACAATCGCGTTGTGATCACCAACTTGCAACCATTTTCGACTGTTGGTATCGGTATTCCAACCGTTTCAAGAGAGAAAGGCTCCCATAAATCATCCAGAATCAGTGCATATTTCCTCCTCCTGTTTAAAGCCTCAAATAGCTTGGCTGCTCTAGTAACATCATCATCAATCATCGAAAGATCTAAATCCAGCTTCTCTCCAATACCCTTCTGTAGTTTTGCAAGACTTGGCCCTTTTGGTGCAGAAACCCACATGACAAGATCAAAATCTCTCCCTTCTAAAAGACGATTGTTGATTTCTGTCATGATAGTTGTTTTGCCCACTCCTCCCATCCCATAAACTCCAATCCTTTTCACACTCTCTCGTGATAAGCATTCCAAGATCCTCGTTAAACTCTTCAACGTTGTGGCACACTCCATTAATGGAGATGCAGGAAGAGTGTACCCTACCTTAGGCAAGTTTTCAGCCACCGAATCATCCAAAAACTGACCCTTGTCAAGAAGCTCTTTAACCTCACTGATCTTCTCTTCTACTACTTCTCCGAATTTTATTCGTGAACAAACAAAGTTGAAGGAACATCCATTGTTATTCTCCGTGAGGCTGCTCACTTGAATTTTAACTCGATCAACACTTTTTATCCATAGCTTCACCTCTTCCCGTGGATTCATCCCTTTTCCCAGCCACATTTGATCTAGTTTAGTGTTCACATCTGATTTCCGAGCATCTAGCTGTTCCACTAAATCTTTTAGCTTGTTCAAATTCTTTCTTGGTTTTCTAAGATGCCTACACTGTCGTTCAAGCGATTGTTGCAGTGAGTTCTGAGAGAACAAGCAGCTCAGGATGCTTGCTAAAGATCCAACAACATCCATAATCAGTTGCAGACAATTCAAGAAGCATGAAACCTCGGGACCAGTATATAGCAAGGAGCTAAGGAATCATGTTTGTGTTAAAGCATGTTCTGCATTTTTAGCATCGACTGGATAAATGGGTCCTAAGTACACGAAGGTAAATATTCTTGGGAATGATCATTAAGAATCCTAGATGAACGAAACGTGAGCAAGCTCAGCTTTAAGCTTACTTGAGAACGTGATGTTGATTGTTGAAGAACATATCGAACAAGTTGCAGCAAATGGGTTGAACTTATCACTGGGCAGCTGTGCTTCGATTCTGAAATTTTCGTTAGCTTTCCTTTTAAAATATCTATCCCAGTCTAGTCGTCCAAACAGACTTTTCAAAACGTTGACTTCCAATCCCAATTTACCCACCATAGAAATTATAAGAGTAAACTAATACAAAGTTTATATAAGTATTGGATTTAATATATTTAAATTTACATGAAAAAATCAAATAAAAGGGAAAATCTTAAAAAGAATGGTTTTTTTTTGGGCGGGGGGGGGGTTGTTGGGGGTGCGGAGCATCAAGCATGCAACGTAAAACGAATAAAAGTTGTTCATATTTTGCGAATTCTTCTAAACAGAATGGTTTTAACAATTTTTTGACCAACAGCTTCAGCGAAATTAAACTATTGAGAAGTTACTAACATCACCAATCAACAATTTTATATAAAATCGCATGCAGTTATTTGTTTGTAATTTAAAAATAAATAAATAATTTTTGCTCTTAATATACATTGTTTTATCCCTTTGGATGTAAGAAGCTTAGTTAAGGAAAGTGGAATGCATTTCTGTGTTTTATAGGGGTTTGGATGGCTGAACCGTGATATTATTCATTCACAAGAAAAGATCAAGTACTTGATCTATATAAATTGCAAAGTGGTTTCCTGGCTAGTTGTTTATAGTAAGGAAAAATATAAAAGAAAATATTTAGCTGCCCTTTATCTTTAAAATTCAATATTAATAAAGAAGAATAGAAAAGTTGCGTTGGCCCCAAATAAAAAAGCAAAGGCAAGGTCAGTCAATAATAAAAAAAATTATGATAAAAAAAGTTCTCTATTAAATCATTGGATTTTTTTTTTCCTATGAAACTCAGGTGCAGTGTAAGGAAACTATTCAATTTTTTAGGATTAAAAAAAAGTAAAAAGTGCTTAATGTGTAAGTGTAAGAAAACGTTAATTTAATAAATAATAAATGAATATTTGATTTAATATTGATATAAATAATTAAAGGGTTAAAGTGCGCCCAGCACCCCGAACTTAGTACTGGGAAAACGGGCCGGTCCGGCCCTGCAGGGCCGGCCCGTGACGGCTCGGGCTTAAACGGGCCGGCCCGTTTAAGCCCGAGTTTCAAAAATAAGTCATTTTTCAAGCCCGCCGTGAGATGATGGGCTCGGGCTAGCCCGCGGGTTTCTGGTCTTTTTAATTAAAATAATTATTTTTATTTTTTTTGTATCTTTTATCAAATAATAAAAATGAAACAATAAAATTACTAATAAAAAGTATAAATATAAATAAAATTGAGTCACAATATAAACATTATTATGTCTAAACATTATTACAGTATAATAAAGTCTATTGAATAAACAAACTAAATAGAGACAGATATAAACAACTAAATAAGCATTAAGTTCAGTAGATAATTACAATGCGGATGATCTAGTTTGATTATAAATAATTAACAAAAAGTTTAACTAACAAACATAGTATACATAAAGAATAATCATTTATCATACGACAAAAAGAAAAGAGTCCATCATTCTTAGTTCTAAATTTGTTTCTACTATAAAAATGATATAGATCTTTATTTTAGTTTAAAAGATTTTTGATCAATTATATTTCAAGTATAAAAAATATGGGAGAATGATAAATAAAAACTGTAAAAATTATAGATACAGTATTTTAATAGGTTTTGACAACTTATAAATAACAATATATTTTTATGAATACCTAGTTTTAAATTTTGCAATTTTCATGTTTTTTTGGTTATTTTTCCCACAGCTATAGTGTTCTTTTTTTTCTTTTTGTGAATGCTATCTATGTGAGCTACCAAGATAAGTAAAACTAGAGTATGCTATGTTTAAAATGTTAGGGTTTTCTTTTTTAAGTTAAGAAAAAAAGACAGAAATTAAAAAAAAATAATTTGGCGGGCCTAAACGGGCCGGCCCGTTTATTTTTCGGCCCTACAGGGCTGGCCCTTTTAAGTCCGACTTCCCTTTCAAGGCTCCAAAATATAAACCCGGCCCTCGACTTAAATGGGCTTAAACGGGCCGGTCCGACGGGCTCGGCCCGTTTTCCCGGCTCTACCCGAACTATTTATCAAAGTGCGTTCAGTGGCCCAAAGTAATTTTGGGTGCATCCAGTGTCCTAAACTAATTAAAATGGTGCATCCATATCCCAGGCTAACAGAAATGTTATGTTTAACTATTACTTTCCTGACTCAGCTTAAAGTTGACCTCAAATATTCTACATGATAGACACATGGGCACCCGATGTGTATTATTCTTACTCAAAAGTCAATTTATTTAGAAGAAGAGGAAGGAAATAAATTCAATTTTGAGTAAGAATAATACATATCAAATGTCCATATGTCTACCATTTAGAATATTTGGGGTCAACTTTAAGCTGAGTTAGGAAAGTAACAGTTAAACATAACATTTCTGTTAGCCTGAGATATGGACGCACCATTTTAATTAGTTTAGAACACTGGATACATCCAAAATTACTTTAGGCTAGAGCCAGGAAAACGGGCCGAGCCTGTTTAGGCCCTGAAATTATGAGGGTCGGGTTTGATATTTTTCTCTTAAAATGAGAAATAAGCCCTGGAGGGCTGGCCCTGGAGAGCTGAAGGCTTAAAAGGGCCGGCCCTGGAAGGCCGCAGGCCAGCCCTTTTAAGCCCTTTTATAATTTTTTTATTTTTTAAATTTTTTATATAATATTAATGTTATTAATTTTTTACATTGTTAATAATATTTCAAATATTTAGTTATTATTATCATTTTAAAATTAAATTTAGTTTTAGACAATAATTTATCCAATTAAATTTTTAAAAAATGGATTAATTTGGACTTTAATAATGATTTGATTTATATTATATGCGTTGATATTTTTAAACTATATATATATTTGGTAATAGAATATTTTTATACTTATATGACTTGTGATTCTATAATTTGAATTAGAAATTCATGAGTTTCAACAACAATGTTTCTCACATTAAAGTAAAATAATAGTTAGATTGCAAAATTTAAAAATAAAATTCTTATAAAGAAGAAAAACTTGATATTTTTGTTACGAAAGAAAAACATACTTATAAAGAAAAGTAATTAATTATAGTGATGATGAAGTTTCAAAAGATTAATGATAGTGTTTATTTATTGCACAATTATATTATAGATAAAACTTTTAGATGTTGTTATCTTGTTAATGAATGTTTTAGATGTTCTTACATGTTGATGAATATTTATATATGATGATATTTTATATTTGTGACTTAATTTTATTCATATTTATGTCTTTTATTAATAATTTTATTGGTTTATTTTTATATTTTTATAAAAAAAATATGATAAATATAAAAAATAGTATTTTTTCTCAAACGGACCAAAAGCCCGCGGGCAGGCTCTGGCCCTGTAACTTAAGGACCGGGCCTAGCAAATTGGGATATTTTTAAAATTTCAGCCCTGGAGGGCCGGTCCTTTTAAACCCGTCAGCCTTGAAGGGCCGGCCCTGATTCCCAGCTCTACTTTAAGCCACTGGACGTACCTGAGTAAATAATTCAGGGTCCTGGGTGCACCTTAGCGCATAATTAAATTGACTATTACCTAATTTTGTATGGGAAAAAACAAGAATAAGAAGAAGATATATTGCAGAGGTCTTGACCAAAAACACTGCAGCGGAAAGAAGCAGAGCACTGTCAAATTTGTTCGATCAGCTCGGTCTGAGGGTGAGTGCGCTCCACTTACTTTAGAATCGCCTCCATCGTTTCATAGATCATGTTTGGTTTATTTAAGAGAAGCTGGATACAATTAACTTTATACGAAGAATTAGCCTGACATTTGACCTAATGGTTTCACGATTAAAAGCAAATCACAGCAGCTGTGTTGATGCTGAAAGGCAATTCTAATATTTTGGGCCCCTGTACATAATCTTCCTGTTTCTATCATATTGCGCATCATCCTCCTTCAGTTTCTGAGATGAAAGGGGCTTCTTTTGTAATCTTTTTGCAAACAATTCTCTCTAGTAATAGCAGTGATGGCAAAAACTCATTTTCTACTTGGTTATCTGATAAGCTCTGCATAGCTGAATTGTAAACGATTAAGTGAATATGAGGAATTCCAGTTGTTGAATATATTCCATTACATAAATCTCATAAGGAGGTAGTTGCGGGGTAAATATGTCTTTCTGTATAAAATTTGAGCTTGCGCATTTGATTCCACAGTAGGTTCCTGGCCTCTCGACCTGAATACATGGTCTGTGAGACTGTCTAAATATTTCTCAACTCACTTGATAAACTGAACTTTGGAACTGATCTTGTGCAGATTCTATCATTACGTTTCATCTTTTATCCAATCAATGGATCTCAGTTCGTTGAGTCCTGAACAACTAACTGTGATGGGGTCTGCATTTTGTGTGATGGCCTCCATGCATTTCACAGTGCAGCTATTATCGCAACATCTCTTCTACTGGAAGAACCCTAAAGAGCAAAAGGCCATCATAATTATTATCCTTATGGCTCCCATATATGCAGTTGACTCATTTGTGGGCCTCTTGGATGTCCAGGGAAGCAAAGTATTTTTTCTGTTCTTGGACTCAGTGAAAGAATGCTATGAAGCGCTGGTAAGTAACATTCCCTGATTAAAACATCTGGCTTTGTGACTTTCAAGATGCTACTTTTGTTGGCTTATCAGAACATGCTATGTGGTTCTTTCTTCAGGTGATTGCTAAATTTATGGCATTGATGTATAGTTACTTGAACATATCAATGAGCAGAAACATTGTGCCTGATGAGATTAAAGGGAGGGAAATGCACCACTCATTCCCAATGACAATTTTTCAGGTACATTGTGCATTTATGCACATAGTTGTAGTTTGTAAATTTGTTGAACAAGAAAAAAATCATTGAAAGTGTGTTCTGATTTGATTCTTTTGTTGAATTTTCTTATTATATGTAAGTACCATTCATCAGTAGAAGCATTTTATCTGGAATATTTATTGACACTTAAATCTTGCACATTTTATCAACGTTAATACCTTTTTATGATGAAAAGCACTATCAACCTATCAGATTTCTGTGCAGTAGATACATAGCAGTTCTATGTAATAGCTGATGTCATAGAATTTACTATATTATAATATTGACGTTCTGCAGCCTCGCACTGTTCGGCTGAACCACAACACGCTGAAGCTTCTGAAATACTGGACATGGCAGTTTGTTGTCATCCGCCCAGTTTGTTCCATATTGATGATAACATTACAACTACTTGGGTTTTACCCAAGCTGGTTGAGTTGGACATTCACCATCATTCTCAACATTTCTGTTTCATTGGCCTTGTATTCTCTGGTCATCTTTTACCATGTGTTTGCAAAGGAACTGGAACCACACAAGCCACTTGCAAAATTCTTGTGCATCAAAGGGATTGTTTTCTTCAGCTTTTGGCAGGTAATTTTGCTATCCTTTATTTTCGACATATAAACTGAGTTCAAAGACCACCTGGAGATGTGCAGAAGGTGTGTGTGTGTGTGAGAATGAGAGAGCTAACCTGTAGAAATGATGCTACAGAAAAGCAAAAACCACAAGGACCATCCTCTTTTAGTGAATTTTGGATAGGATGTGTAGTGGGAATGTTGGCTGCATGATGACTAGTATATGACTGTAGCTTCAACTGTTTATATGTTGTATGATGTCTGTAAGTAGTGAAGTTTAATGACTGCCTTTTTACTTTCGAGCGATAAATACAATGTAGACCACTACCTGCTAGCTACATTTTCCACCCTTGTCTTTCTTTATTCATAGTGGAGGGAGAAACTCTCCCAAGTAGTGAATAAGCAAACTTGCTGAGCATAATTTTAGCTCCAAATTGTATTTTCTATGAGCGCTACCGCTCAACTAGATGCATTGTGCAGTTGGATCTCTTTTAGATGTGAATCTGTAATTATTGATATGTCTGCAGTGTAATGGCATAAAAGTTCACTATAATTCAGCTTTCGATTCACCAATATCCGTGTCTCCTGTGTTTCCCTGTTATTGCTTTACCTTCTATCTAGCCCTTCTTCAGCATCATATCAGTTTTCCTTTGTTTGTTCGTAATGAAATCATTGCAGTTAATATGGCATCATCATCTGAGTTCTGTTTAACATAGGATAACGTCCTTTGATCATACGCAGGGAGTTGTGCTGGAGATTTTGGTGGCTCTAGGGGTTATTCGATCTCATCATTTCTGGTTAGATGTGGAGCACCTTGAAGAGGCAATTCAGAATGTCTTGATATGTTTAGAGATGGTTGTCTTTTCTGTTCTTCAGCAGTATGCATACCATGTTTCACCATACAGTGGAGAAGTAGAATCAAAGTATAAACTAAAGAAAAACGAGTGATACAGTATGTTCAAAGAAAAATAAAAGAGCTCTGAGAATAGTAATGAAAACTGAATGTGTTCTTTCTGCATTTTCACTGGGGTACCTCATCTTATATGCTAGCTCTTTCCTTTTCTTTTCTTTTTTTTTTTTTTCCGCCGGTAATATGAGCTCTTTGCTCTTTACCATGTGGAATTAGAGGGATGTTTTGGATAAGATATGTAAATGGTTTGAGCTTGTATCAGTTATGAATTTAAGATATTATGTAGCAGAGTTTGAGAATTCATTTTCGTAGAAGCTAAGATTTGGATAATTTGGTGTTAGTGGCTTTCAAACCATCAATATTTGAATATTGAAATTAGCTCTTTTTTGTGGTGGTAAAGACGATTATTAGTCTAATATCTTTTGGTAGCTTATGGGATACATTATTAATATGATGTAACATGTCGTGGCATTCTACAACACTGTACATTTCGTACAGTTTTGCTACCGCACAGCTGAAGCTTCTACGAAGGAACTGACAAATATTTTCAGCATTTGTCTTTTTTTTTTTTAAAATTTTGGTAATTATTTTTAGGTTGAATTTGCGAAAAGCCGAAACGCGTCTCAAACTTGGCTAGACATTTCAAAACGCTGAAAATGACTCCGAATATTATAAAATGCAATTGAATGGTCAAAATAGTGATGCTTCTTGGAAAAAGTTATGCATCACAGATGAACAGTTTACCCGTCTCTTAATTGTATACAGCAAACCATTATTTTTATAAAGATATCGTCCGGCACTATTATCTTTTTTAGAGTGATTATAGGGAACAGACTAAAAATGGTCTTATGAAATGCAATCTCTTTCAATACCCTTCTTTAAAACGATCAATATCATAATTAAAAAAAAAAAAACGAAATATTACAGAACAATAGGTCTAAAGTAGTCCATAACATCAAATATGTCTTGCAAAGTTGATTATTCCCGTAAAGACAGTGAGTCTTTCTTTTCCCGTTACATTGCTTGAGCTTGACAGAATAATTGACAGAGCTCTTTGCAAAAGTTTTTGGCCCTTTATATTGTAAATGTGAGGAAGAAGAAGGAGCTGTAGATAACTCTTGGTGCTGTTGACCATTCCATCTTCTACTCTCTCTGATCCCTCAGTCTCATATGAGGAGTGCTCATTTGAAATAGTGTTCTGTTTTGGACTTTGAAAGGATCCACCACAACCCCTTGAAATAGGTGTTCAACTGATTCAGGCCTCATTTTGCAGATGGGGCACATAGATGATTTAGCACATTCCTCTCTTAAAAAATTAGTTTAATTCTTTTCTACAATCGATAATAACTGTTGTTAAGTGCATTATTTTGATTACGTCTTTATTCTCATCTTATTCCTGATATTCACCGGATCAATCCCCCATTGTGCACGTATTGGTAAAATAAAAAATAAAATACATATAAAAGGCTAGCCCTTCTATTCCTGAGTTGGTAGAGGTTAAGAAAATTAATTAAGTTAAATATTTATAAAAATGTATATTAATTTTCTTGAAGTACCTTTTGATTATTTGTATTGAAAATTACTCTCTAGATATAAGCCCACTTAATATGGGTAATCAATAAAAGTTTAGGGAAAAAAATTATAAATTTGAAAGATAAAATGAATTGAAGTTTAATATTTAGAACAAAAATAAACTTATTTACTTATTCTTACATCTAGGACGGGAAGCAATAATTACACAAGGCTAACTAATTCTAGTTTTATACCGGGTAAAAAAAAAAAAAAACTTGCTTTTTTAACTTTATATGACATAATAATTTGGAAAGAAATGTTTTTATACATGGCTTGTTTATTTTTCTATCTTGAATTTTACTGGTTCAATACATATAACCACAGCACAAGAGCTTGTAAACTTGTTTTAAATAACATACGAGGGTAAAAATTATTGGTCACAATACACCAATTTCCCTCCCTTTTGGCACAATCCCTGTTCACTAACTGAATTAACTAACTTCCCAAAACTATACCTCAACGGCATTTTCCCCAGCGCCCTGTGAAACTCCCTTATACACATTCCTCTTCTTCTTCTGTGCTCGCCTCTCCTGCTGCTCAATCCCACTTCTCTCACTCCCTTGTTCTGCTTCTTCTTCTTCTCTCCAGTACCTTGGTCATCGTTCCTTGCATCTCCATAATCCCTAACCCTCTCTGCTCCCACCAATATGGGCCCCACATTCGTCCGATCGGCCACCACGAAGTTCATCAAGATATCCTCACAGTTACGCATCTCATCCACGGTCCTCCTCGTCTCCGCCATCGGAGCCCCACCTTCGCAGCTATAACTGTGCAGATACTCGCTTCTCAGTATCATGAACTTGGTCAGTATGATTGAGTACTTGTCCGGGTGTACCGTGTAGATCCACTCTTTCCTCGACAGATCCAGATCGTGCGATCTGGCGAAGAGGCCGATGATACGGTGAGGATTGGATGCCCAGACGTGGAAGGCGAACTCGAATGACTTGTGATCCACCGATACGTCATCGTCGCAGATCAGGACGGCGTGGGTCTCGATGGAAGATCGAGGAAGGAATCGGGCGTTCAGGGAGCTAGATGGCTGGCGGATGAGGGAGATTGAAGCTGAGCCGAGGGAGGAGATGGAGAGATTGTGGGCAAGGTGGGTTAGAACGTTGGGTGGGGTTGAGGGGTTTCCCCAGAGGATTAGCACGGAGGATACCAGCGGCGATGCAGAGTATGTGGCGGAGATTGATTGGAGAAGAGGAATGCGGGACTCGGAGTAGCCGTTGATCAGAACCGTGATCTGATCAGACCGGAGGGTCCGCGGATCCCGCTTCGTTCTGGGATCGCACGGGTCCTCCGTTGGCTTTGTCAAACCCGAATGCCCAAGCAGAGGAGCGAAATAAAATACCACAATCACGGCTATCGCCCGCGAATTCATCGTTCCGGAGATAGGGGGTCAAAATGGAAGAAGGTCTGCAAATTTATGAAGGCATGGAATTATCTCAGCCCACCATGATCAATTAACGGAATGGCGAGTTTGGTATTAACGCATGATCGAAGTGCGATTTCATGTTGGAAATGACAACTGCGTTATTGTACAGAAAATTGAGGTTAAAGTTTTCCTTATTAAATAATTAGGTGATAAGGAAGAGTAGAAATAAATTAATCTAATATAATAATGTGAAGTTGATTTTGGATATAATATGTTTATGGTGGGATTGTTAGCTTCATGATGGCTAGTATATGACTGCAGATTTTACTGTTTAGGTGTTGTATAATGACTGTAATTAGTAGAGTTTTTAGATAAAGTTAATGACTTTTTCTTTTACTCTCAGCTATAAATACAATTTTTCATGAGGATCAGCACACACTAACTACTACATTTCCCCAGCTTATATTTCTTTATTCATAGTGGAGCTGGAAAGTAGAAACTCTATTGAGTAATGGATAAGCCAGGCAAGCTTGCGGAATATGATAATTTTGCCTCAACTTTGTATTTTCTATGAACACTAGCGGTCAACTATAGATATGCATTGTGCTGTTGGGTCTCTTATACATCTAAATAGGTTGTTAAGACTCCTGCCTTTTCATAGCGATGGGTCACTACTTTGATCATAGGGAGATGACAGGGCATAAAAGCTCACTGTATGATCAGCTTTCAATTCACCAATAAGGGGATCTACTGTTTCTGCTGTTTATAATGAAATATTTATCACTTTGGTTAAGATGGCATCATCGTCTTGAAGAGGCCATTCAGATTAATGTCTTGATTTGTTTAGAGATGGCTGGCTTCTCTGTTCTTTAGCAGTATGCCTATAAATGTTTCGCCATACAGTAGAGAAGTAGAATCGACTTACAAACTTGAGGAAAACGAATGATACCGTATGGTCCAAGAAAAATAGTAGTGCTCTAAGCTCTAGGGATAGCGATGAAAAGTGAATGTGTTTCTTTCTGCTTTTTTTCACTGGAGGACCTCACTTTTTACTGAGTTGTTTGCTCTTTACCATGGGGCATCAGAGGAATGTTTAGGATGAAATATTCTCATGGTTTACGATGTACTCGTTCGGTCCTTGTTAAATGTAAAACTCATTTTGTACTATAATTTATATTACAAAATGAGTCTTACATTTATAATCAAAGGAGTATTAATTTATGAGGTAATACAATATAAATACCAAATTACAATAATTTCTTTTTTATTTTCGAAGGGATAAAAAGCCAGGATTAAGATAAATTGGTGTCCCTGACACTCAACCATCAATTTTGAACACTGAAATTAGTTATTTTTTATGGTGGTCAAGACAATTAATCAAATGTCTTCAGGTCGCTTGTAGGATATATCTCTTCATATGATGTAACATGTGGCATTACACAACACCCTACATTTAGCTTCTAGGAAGAAACGGACCCATATTTCTCCTCCAGGGAAAAACCTACTGAAGCTAATAAGCCAAAACACACCTCAAATGTGGTTTCTGCAGGTCAAAACCCTGCAAACGAGTGGAAAGGGTGACGATCACCCAGACATGGTCTGTCCCAATTTAATTTTTTACTTTTATTTTTTTAAGAAGAATTTTAACATGTATGTAGTCTAAAATAAAAATAATTAGTTAAAAGTTTTAAATTTGAAACTGTATTTGTAAAATAGCTATGCTCTTGTTGGAAAAATTTATATATCGTCACAATTTTAAAAATGAGTATAAATATTGGTAAATTGGTGGGTTTGGTTGTGTTATGGTCAAGGTTTTCAGATATGATCTTACCCTCCTTAGGGGAAAAAAAAAAATACAAGGAAAAGGACGCTTTTATCTTTTAGCTTTTGACTTGAGGTCGCTGGGTAATACGCGAGAAATTGATTAGTAATTGACAGAGTGATTAAGACAAGGAATCCAAATCCAAATCCAAATAGTTAGTTTTTGTACACACCAAACCGTAATTTAAGGAGTTTCTGGACGAGGAATATCAACCATGCGATTCTATTCTATTTTGCTCCGAAAAGAAACAAAAAAAAAATACTAAAATAAAATCACGGGGCTTGAGGTGTTTCTGGGATGTTAGTGTTAGAGGGTAAAGGGATAAAATGGTCGGTTGATTATAAAAACAAAAAAGGGTATGAACTTTAGCTTTCTTTATCCCTTTAAATTTGACTAATCTTACTCACTCTCACTTTCCTCCCACACGTAAATACAAATCCATTTAAGATCCATACAAAAATTTTAAGGATGTGATTGTTGATCTCACCTTCTAGGTTTAGTATCAACGGCAAGGTCAAGGAAATCTTCAACACCTTATATTCACTTATTGGCAAGCGATTTTCCCGAGTCATCTATAAATTCAGTACGATAGATGTTACTATATTAGCAGAAGTTGTTTAACCATGTTATATGAAATATTATATATTTAATATTTTCTCCATGCCTTTAATATAAGAACAGGTTAGATTTCAAATTTAGTTATAGACATAAATATCAATTCACTTTATTTCTTATATTTATATTATTTTCCAAATGATTTATGTTAATTGCATATATTAAGAGAGATTCCATCTAGAAGTAATAATCATAAGATGATTAAGGAGAGTATTTCAAGTAAATTAACACAATTGTTTCACTAATAATTAATTTAACTGGTTTTGTTAATTTTATGTAACTTTTATATTAAGAACTGAAGGGAGTAATAATTATTATCATTTGTTATACAATTTTCTGAAATCTAATATTACTAAATCATATTTGAATATTGTGGGGCACATAATTTTTTTAATATAATTTTCTCATAAACAAAAAGGTTTAAATTTGTTATCTTGTTTAACGTGTGGGCGAGTAGGTTTGGAAGGAACATTGGAGAATGAAAGTTACAGGTTATGTCTGGCCCCCAAAATTAACTTTGGAGGTAATGTGCTGTAAGTGCGTGTCGGCAAAAAATTGTATGTCTCCAACTGGAGAACAGCTAATTGTGAGCAATGAATCACACAAATTACAAAGCAAGTTTGGTATTTAATTTAATACCATATGAAAATAAACCACCTTATGTTTTACCTACGTGGTCCATAATCCATACACAATTTATAATTCATAGTTCATGAATGGAATTATAAGGTGAGCAAATAAAAAAAAAACTATAGAAACAAGAGTAAAAAAATATTTAAAATGCTGTTTCTTTGCCAATGAAGAAATAAATATCAAGAGAGGCTGCTTTAACAATTTTGACATTAAGAAATAAAAGGAAGGCAAGTGTCTTAGAAAAATAATATTCCTCTGTCTTAAATATAATACTCGTTTTGTAATGCAAATTACACTGTAAAATAGGTTTTATATTTAAAACCGAAAAAATAGAAAAATACTTATTAAATTTTAAAAAGAGATTACTCTTGTAATAGTTTTAATTACTTAAAATATGTCAAGATTACTTATTTGTCATTTTAAAATTCAGCAGGTTTTTTTGTCATTTTTTCTTAATATTTAAAATATATTTACTCAAGAAATAATTTTAAGTTTCAAGGAAATGAATCAACCCTTAAATAAATAAATCGTATATGAACTTTTTTAGAAGCAAACTTTTCCCCAAAAAAAAAAAGTATATTATTAATTGGATCAAACGGCTACGAAGACTTTTTTGGGGGCCGAAAATGACAGAAATAATATTAATACAAAAGCAGCTTCCAAGACCAAGACTAATTTTTTTAAACGAGAAACGCTTCTGAGACTTAAGGATGAAGGTCTCTTTTTTTTTTTTTTTGGTGTTTCAACTTCTAAACTAATGTCATAGTTAAACGTCTTTTCTCATTCACTTTGAGGAAAATATTTTTTCTCTTCTTGAAATCTTAAAATGTCCCTTTCCTTCAACAAAATACAAATTGTAGAAAAACATAAAATCCACAAATAAAACTTTAGATGTTAGGAGAATGATCACTAGGTTCCAAAACATTAGTACTTTAATAACAATTAGATCCTCGACAGTTTTTTCTTCTTCAAAGTTTATAAATATCCATTTAAACAAATGTAAGTTCAGGAATTTCCATTAATTAACATGTAAATTTAAAATGTAATTCTTAATTTACAATTGAGATTTCCGTCTGCAACGGGTTGTTAAGAAGTGTCATGAAATAAGTTTTTTTAGCATATCCGTTAGCTGAAAACTACTACTAATACAATGATGTTCGTCCAATGTGAGCGAAGTACGTGTTGGATCACAGCCTGGGGGAGAGTATGTGAATGCATGCAACCCCCGTAACTTTCAATTTGTCAGTGGTTTCCAGCCTTTCAGGTGCAATTTAATTATATTTCTATATGGTGGGACCCATATTATTTAACTTGAGATAAGGTTTAGTAGTTCGTTTTTTTGTCAGATAAATTAGATGAATCATCAAATGACAATGAGCTAATATTAAACATTTAATTAAAAAAGTAGTAGTTAAAAGTGATTATTCCTTTTAATTTTGTCAAAAATTGAGTTTGCTTTTCTAATATACCTTTTGTTTGTATATTGTGGGAAGATTTTTGTATTATTAATTGATACTTTCTCTTCGTACCTCCATCTCATTAAATAAGATCTCAAATGAGATTAAAAAATGATTGTCTATTGAGGTGTTCAATTTTGTTCTAGATCTCAATCTATTTTATATCATATATTTATAATTGTTTTCAAATTACCTTACTCATAAAAAATATTTATTATAATTAATTAAATAATTTTATTTTTTTTAATTTTTCCAATTTAATTAAGTAATTCTTATATTAATATATTCTAATGCAAGAAGCCAACAAACTTCCCTAAAAAATTACTTATATATATTTATTATAATAGTTACTTCTGGAGATGGTTCAAAGATCATGAGCCAAACTGCTTCATATGTATAAATAAATAACCCCACAAATAAATTAAACTTAAACCATGTGCAGAAAAACAATTCATTTTATTAATCAAATAACAAATAGATTAATGATTATAGAATTATCTCCACCATAAATTTAATAATTCTATGAATTTATTATTAATTCTTAAAGTTTTAAAAAAATCTACATTGATGGGGAAAAAAATCTATATTCAGCAACTCAAAATTTAAGAAGCTTACTGTATAGTATAATTAGGCATAAAATAAATAAATTACTACTAGGGTAATATTGGTGACAAAACCATTTATTGATTATTGCGATTAGTTGGGAGCTGGTCAGCATTTAAACAGTCAATAAAAAGGTTTTGTACTTTTGGTCCCTTTGGGAGTGGTCCTCAAGATTATTGGACATTGGTCAACACCGAGTGGACGGATAATGCCCTAGAATAACGGACTTAACTGTAACCGGTGACCTAATTCGTGGTCTTCTATCCTCTCTCTCTGGGGTTTTCTCCCCCGAGGTGGATAATTTATTTATATGGAATCTTTTTTATATTTAAAAATTTAAATTTATATAAATAATTATTTCCTAATTTTTGTGTATTGTACCAACCGCTTTATTTGAACAAATTTATAGAAATTAGTTGAACCACAGTACAGTAATTTTTCAAGGAATCCGTGCGCTTCTCTTCCATCCTATATATGCGATGTCCATGTGTCCCGGCAACGAAAAAGAACAAAAAATGTACTTTAATTTTTTGGATTCATTTGTTAGTTAATTCGTAAGATAAATTATTAACGTTCAAGATGTACGTGGTTGTTATGTTACCAGAATAATCTATGACGTACAATTGAAGCTAATGCTTTATCTATATCGTTTAATAAAATATATATAATGTAATATGAATATATTGGGCGTTAATGTGTGTAGAGAAACCCATACATATATGTACTCTATGTATGTAGCTATCATAATATTATGTGTCCACATGTGTATGGGAAATGCATAAGTCAATAGTCTTGTTCTGTATTTGACTTTATCTGCAGGGTATTTAATTATGGTCTCCAGCTTTTTTGTTAGCCTCACTAAAAAAATGATAAAATTAAAAATCACAAAACTTCATGGTTGAAATTACTTACATTTAATTCCATTGGCTGTAGTACAAATATCTTTTTTAAACTTATGTACAGCGATACGGAGTTTTTCTAGATTAAAATAATTAGCTATTTTCAGTTTTTATGGTTTATCAGTATAATTTATTAATTACAACAGTATCATAGTAAATATTAACAATTTTATTAATTTATAGTTGTCGTTTTTAAAATAATTAACAATGTTAAGTACACACTTCCTCTAATTCTAAATTTAGAAGCTAATTAATTATGGGACCCATTTACAATTTTTCTTTCAAACTAATATATCTGAACCCATAAACTGCTATCTAATGTAATGTCACATACGGATATTTTAAGGAGATCAAATTACATCAAACAAAATTAAATAATTAAATAAGTAATAAACTTAGTTCTCTTGATTTGAAAATATAAACTACTGGTATAATTCATTGAATATAGTTTGTGCGTGCTGGCACAAGTTAGTTAAACTTGAGACATGGGTAAGTGAAGTCAAGTTTCGTAAGAATAATAAAAGTGAAGGGTTGCATTAAATCAGGGAATGATAATGATGAGTAAAGTCTTGTGGAAGGCAAAGATAACATGCGGGTTATTAGAGTACTTGACCCGCGAAGTTTCATATATCAAGTGGTCGGTTTATCGGTTAAGGCTTTGACTCCCTCCCTCCTAGCCACGTCCTCATTCCTTCACTCACCGCCCCGCCACCTATAATCTCACCGTTATCCCTCCTTCCCGCCCCTTACCCTCCACATTCCTTCCTTTAATTTCTTCGACTTTTTCCTGGAAATTAATCCAACAAATCACTGATTTTCCTTGCATGTATAGTCAGTCTTTGAGTCCATTATTCTGGATTCTGCTTAGTGAAGAAGGTAAAGGGGAAAAAGGGTGTACCATTTGTGAAAGCGCGGTTTCTCATTTTCTATGACTGGCTCCACCATCTCCTGCTTTATTTATTACGCATTATCACTCCCCACCCTCATCCACATCCAGTATTTAATGTTACTCTCTTTAATTTAGTTCCTAATTAATTTAAAAATTAGATTAAATTATTAATTTAAAAAATTTAGCTTAGTTAGTTAGTTATTAAAAAATTAATTATTTAAATTTAAAATATATTTTAAAAATTATAAATTTAAAAGATAAAATAAATTCAAATTTTATATTTAAAATCATATGGTGGAGTAATATTTTCCAAACACAATATATTAGCAGGAAATTCGTGGGCCACCGTATGAATGCCCTTGAGCGCGAAATGAAGCTCCGACACTAGTGGGTCCCACTTCACACACCCTAAATTATCCCCACTCCCGGATTCCGTATATCCAACGGCTCAGATCTCGTCATGAATCGCATCCCATGCTTCCCTTCTATAAATATTCGAACTCGTACCTTATCCTCCCCCACGTACCAACCCTAGATACTAATCATATACCCATCATCACCTACACTCTTCCAAGACGCCCTCCATCTTCATACTACGCTCAACCACTAGGCACTATCCCGCAGTGAAAGACTGAATTTTCCGTTGCCTTCACCGGAAAAAATGGCATGGATTCTGTCTCTCAAACTCCTTCTCATTTCCACTGGTGTTTTGTTCACCGCTCTGGGAGTTACAGTCTCTGTTCCAATGCTCTTAGAGCACGCGCCTATCATGTGGAGCTTCTGCCTTTTGTGCTTCAAGCCTCCCTTCCTTTACGTCATCGTCAACGGCATCATCATTTGCATCGTCGCCTCATCCAGATTCCAAAAGTCCACAGCCGATGCCGTCACTGCTTATGAGGTGAGGGCTCCGCAGGTGTCGGAGATTCCAGCACTTCCGGCCGTGGATGAGCCGAGAGAGGAGCCGCCGGTTCTGGAGGTGAAGGCCGTCATGGTGAACGGTTCAGAAGCGATCGAAGATGAAGAAGAAGAGAAAGAAATCGACGACGGAATAGAGTCCAAGTCGTGGACACCGTTGAGAAGGATGGACTCACCCGAGATTCCCGTAGATGATCTTTTACCGCCGGAGAAGCCTCTGGTTTCCGCACGATTTGGTCACCGGAGACCACCGAAATCCAGTCCTGACGGTATCAATCTCAACCTCTCTCTCAGACTGATAATTATATTTTTTGGTAGAAATTGACTTCAACCGTTAAAGTAAAATCCTCTTGGCGCTTCCAAAACTTTTGAAAACTTGAAGCGTCGGCGACACGGCTGAACGCGGTACAGTAAGAAAACGACGATACTAATATTATTATTTCGCAAATATCAGTCAATTTTCGCGTTCCAAAGCAGAGTTCAACAATGGCGTCTACCGGTCTATTTGTCACTGTTCCCAGAAAGGCAGAAAAAAACTCGTTTCAGAAATTTTTATTTTTAAAAAAAGTAATTTACTTAATTTTCGTTGATCTGATAGGTGGGAAGTCGTTGAGGGTGGCGAAGCCGAGACGGCACGAGACGCTGGAGAACACGTGGAAGGCGATAACGGAAGGTAGGGCCATGCCGTTAAGCAGGCACATGAAGAAGAGTGACACGTGGGAACATCGGGAAAACGTGGGCCCAACGGAGACGACGGCTGTGAAGAAATTGGAGACCGTCGAGGACCGTGCGAATCAGCCGTCTCCGTCGTCGTCACCGCTGATGAAGCTGAGGAAAGAGCCGTCGCTGAGTCAGGACGAGTTGAACCGGCGCGTGGAAGCGTTCATAAACAAGTTTAATGAAGAAATGAGGTTACAGAGGCAAGAGTCATGGAATCAGTACATGGAGATGATTAATCGTGGCAGCCATTAACAACTATGGTGGGGATATATCTTATAGCAACTAGAAAATATCTTCTTCTTTTTTTTTTCCGAAGAAGAATTCCATAAAAGCTTTTGGGTCAGGTTTTGATGTTTAGACTTAGATAGTAGAAAAATACTGGATTATGGCTTGAATCTCTTGATTCCCCCCCCCCAAATAGTTCAAAAACGGAAATGAAGTTGGACATATTTTATTAGAATTTGTAAAAAGATAAAAAGTGGTACGAGACCAGGCATGGATGTTTAAATTTTTATATGTACATGGGTCATCTTGTATGAATGGAAAATTATTTTTCTAAGTTTAATCTCTTCTTTATATTCTTTTCTTTTTCTTCCCCCATTTGGTTCCTTTCTTTCTGAGCTTTATGGTTCTCTTTTGCTCACTTTGCCATAACCAATTGTTTTATAATCAGCTTCTTGTGTTTAACTTCAACCTTTCTCATTTTCTTGTGTAATTTCCATTAACATATACTACCTTCAGTTCTAATTATAAGACATTATTTATAGACTATAAATAAGGTCTTATATTCAGAACTAGAGATAGCATCAAACTTAAATTGTTACAGGTTAAAGGATGCACTTCTTCAGTGATCAAAGCTTAGCTGCTATTCTTCAAAACCTGTTTATATCTTAGCCTCAGTTCGATTTTTTTTTCCCGGACCTTCAGCGTTAGATCCAAATCCGAGTTTTCTTAGAAGTGTTAAAAAACAGAAAGGTGGAAGTCATATTGTTGTTGTGTTTTTTTTGGAGGGGGGGCGGGTTGGGGCTGGGAGAGCTGGGCCAGACTTTTGAACAACAGGCCCACTAAATTTTTTTGCTATCAGCCAACTAAATAAATAATGATTGGGCTTAAGTGATGAAGCTCAAAAACTGTGACGGCACGAGGTTGGATGCACTTGCCGCGTCAAAATATGTAGACTCTTAATATAAAATTAAATAATTACTCTAAATATATTTAAAAAATTAATTAAATTAGTTATTCTATTTAATTATATTGTTAGAACTATTTCTTAATGGGAAACACCTTACAACCAATAAAAATATCTTTTAAAAAAAAATTCATCTGATTCTGAATATAAGACCTATTTTTTTAACATATTTAGAACTAGAGGGAGTGTAAATTTAGAAGATAAAATATACTAATATCTTAGAATTGAATTCAACCTCAAACTAATTCTTATACGCACAGAAGGAAATACAGTAAGCAGGAAAGAAAGGACAAATGTCATTTCAGGATCTCAAAAGCGCAAAAGCGCCACTAAAGGATCGTGAGTATGAGCAAAAAAGGATCCGCCCTAAAGATAGATGTAAGCAAGACTCAAGAAAATCTAGTATGTTAGATTGGTTTTGTTATTTTTCTTATATGATATTCCTCCGATCCTAATTATAAGACTTAATTGACTTATTTGAGGAGATTAAGGAAACAAGTTAAGTTGGTTATTTATAATAAATAAGTGTTGTTATTCCTAAAATATCCTTGCTAATTAAGTATATTGGCTAAAACTATCATTATTAGAAGGATTATCTTGGAAAAAAATGCATAAATATAAGAGACAAAATGGATTGGGTCTTATAATTAGGACCAAATAAAAAGTCAAATTGGGTCTTATAATAAGGACCGGAGGAGTATGTTATTTTTATTTTAATTCCTTAGGTTCTTTAGTGCTCTGCAAATTTCATATGCATTTAATGCTCCGTAACGGTCAGATATTAAAGCAAGGGCTGGCTTTTTTCACAATACGACCAAGTTTTGTGCTTCGATTTTTTTTTTTTGGTGACAAAATTTTAGGAAAGGGATTGGCTAACCCACGATCTAAGGGCAGGGCAACTAACCCTTGACTCCAGTCCAACCCAGCGCCGTAGCTTAAACTGGGACTTTGTTTTACGGGCTGAAGCCTTGGCTCCGAAGATGCCTCCCCCAGTGCCGTGACTGGAGCCACACCTAAGTGACTTTCCCCAGGATCGAACCCCCTCCCTTAGTGAGAGTGTCCGACCCCTTCGCCAACTGAACCCACGGACGAGGGGTAGTTTTGTGCTTCGATTTTGATTGACAAAAAGTGTTGCTTGGTTGTTCTTCCCCAGTTAAACTACATTTTGGACTATAGCCGCATTTCAGCTCTTTTAAATGCCCAACTACCACTGTTTTAAAATAAATTCTTGTCTGGATTCATAGTATCCTATCTCACATATGATCATCTAATTTAAGGTTATTTTGAATTTTATTATTTATATTTTAAGATTTATCAAATCTAGATTATATCTCATTATTATTTTAAATAATTGAATTTAGTGTTCTATAATAACCTCATATTCATTTGCTCTCTTGAGTTATATGATTATATTTCGCCATATTTTCTCCCCATACTTTTATTTCTCCCTTCTTTCAATTTTAAAATATTGTATGAACCGATGGACTAAATTGCCCTCGCTGTCCTCCTTCTTTCTTATACAAATTCCCATGGACCTTGTGTGATATTTCACAAATTTGTGTACTTCAAGTGTCATTATTGATTATCGGAGGTCCCGAAATGACATTTACCCAAAAGGAAGAGTGCTCCTTTCCAACTGCTACACGTCGATGCCGTAAGCAGCAATAATAATATGTGCGAGCCCACACGCAACCCTCTTCTCTCTCAGACACTGTACCGCGGGTTGTCACGTTCGCAGTTCTCTTCTTTAGAGCCACGGAGCTCACAGTTCTCTTAAGCGCGTTTCGGTTCCTCTATGTAAGCTTCTTGTTCCCTCCCCTCTCTCTTTCCCTCTTTCTCCATCCCTATTTGTATCTCTCTCTGTACCTATCTGTATTTATGATTACGATGCTTGAGTGCAGTTACCCCCAATCTGTGCAAATGTTTGTTTTGATTCGTGATCTGGGGATTTGGAATTTAAAATTTTTGGATTTCACGGTGTTTCTTCTGATTTTGGTGATTGGATTTGGATGTCTGATGATGTTGGTTCCTGAATGTTATTCATTGTTCCCCTTATTCGTTTGGGTTACGGAGGATTTTCGGGGAAAATGACAGAGACCCGGAAATTTTATCGCATGCTTTTTGTTTCCTTCTTTGCTTTCTTGTTCAATAACAATATTTTGGCCATTTCTAGTCGATCCTGAAACTGGGATGAAGGTTACAGTATTTCGAGTTCTTCTGGCGTTGTGTGTTCTTGTTTTCATTTATTTGCGGTTGTGATTTTGGGGCAGCAGCTCTGTTTAAATCTTTTGCTATGGCGTTCTTTTTCGTTTTTGAGACAGATTGAGCTTAGATTCCATCTGGGCTTGTAATCTTAGAAGTAGATTTCTCACTATATCATGTCTCAATTTATGGTTTTTCTTCAGTAAAGAAGGACCCTTCTCTTTGCGCGTGTCCCGTCCTCTTCTCCAATCCTCCACTATCACAAAAGCCCTGCATTGCCTATACCGTTCTCATCCTCTTTGCACCATAAAAAAATGGAGGTCAAGCTTTGGAGCGACAAGCGCGAGAGAGAAATGTACGAGAACTTTGCGGAGCTCTATGCCATTATCAAGGCGACTGAGAAGCTTGAGATGGCCTATGTTCGAGATGTAATCTCATCTCAGGAATACGAAGTAGAATGCCAGAAGCTAATAGCCCATTTCAAAACTTTGGCATCTACCCTCAAGGATACTGTGCCAAACATCGAGCGATTTGCCGATACATACAAGATGGATTGCCCAGCGGCTATCAACCGCCTTGTGGTATCCGGGGTCCCTGCAACTGTGGAGCACCGAGCTGCTGCGGCTTCCTCTACATCTACGTCAGCTGCCATTGTTGCAGAGTGTGTGCAAAATTTTATAACAGCCATGGATTCCTTGAAGCTTAACATGGTGGCTGTGGATCAGGTCCATCCTTTGCTCTCAGACCTTTATGGTTCACTGAATAAGTTGAGCATTTTGCCACCGGACTTTGAAGGGAAGACCAAAATGAAGGAATGGATTGCCAGGCTGGCCAAGATGGGAGCAGCAGATGAGTTGACAGAGCAACAAGCTCGGCAGCTTCACTTTGATCTGGAGTCTTCTTACAATTCCTTTATGGCAGCTCTACCGAATGCTGGCACATGATTGAGTGGGGGATGCTTGTAAATAATGTTGAATTTTCCTTTTGTTCTGGTGGTCTTGTATTTCTTTTGTTGGGTTTACTACTATTCTTGTTGATTGGAGAGGAATATGCTATTTGGTAATAGCTTTATACTTTTTAAAGGCTGAATATTGCCATTATATAGCTCTATGCTGATCATTAAAGCTTTATCTCATACCATGAGCGAGCTTTCAGCTTCTGTTTCGTCCTTGTATTATTTGGTCTGAGCTTCCATGTCCTTTTGCGGAGGGACAGAGAACAGTCGTTTGTCTTCATATCTTTGATATATTCTGGAAGGGTTCTAATTTGACTTTATCACCACCAGATGTCAAATTAATTGAGATCATGAATATACCTTTTATGTGCGCAACACCTGTGCAAATCATCAGAACTTTTCCATCATGCAATGATTAGGCTGATCTTTTTTGAGAAGATATTCTAAGCTTATGCCTAAAAGTTAGTACCCTCTCTCTTTTTCTGCCTCGCCGAACCAAGTTACTAATGAAGGTCATAATTATTATTTGTTAGCAATAACCCGCCAATGAACACTTCAACTTCTTTATGGTTTAGGGTTGGCCTCTAACTTTGAGATCTCTTTAATGTTCCTGGTGGTTTTATCAGACTCATGGCTATGATCGAAGCATGAGTAGAAGAATATGCCGTGGAAGATCAATTACAGTCAAACTGATGTTGATTTTATGTGGCTTTGGCAGTTGAAGTGTTAAAATAAATATCTTAATAGAAAGTCTGATGTTGAAAGCTTGACAAGAACACTTGATATCACTACACTAATGTGTGAAAAAGAGAATCAGCCTAATGATATATTGAATACAAATATTTATAGCATGATCACTGTACAGGCTTAAAGGGTAAGAGCAGCAGATAGAAGCAGGAAATTTTGAAAATAAAAAAAGATGGTTCAAATGTGTTTAGATTTCAAGAGCATATATGTCAAGCTATTGTTACAACATGGTCAATTTCATATCACTTGTGGTTCCTTGGCTATTAACAAGTGGATAGGAATCTAAATTGCAGACTAGCTCTCTTCTATAGTTTTTTGGGCTCAGGAAGGCCTTCTGCCTGAAGAATTTGAAATAAAGGAGTCCTGAGAATGATTTTTCTGTTCAACATGAAATCACCACTCACCAACTCCCCTTTTCACTGCTGCAGGCATGCCTGCTTGTCCTAGGCATAAAAATAACGCTAATTTCACAGTTAAAACATTCTCAAGGCACCCTCAAATGAGTGTCCAAGAATCTCTCCATGTCTCAAAATACAAAATCTGAGAAGCATTTCTGGGGATGAAAAATACTCTCAAAATTCTTCAAATGGTCCACCTACACACTTCATCATCTCCATCCTACCTCAACAAGTGAGGTACAATTTGAATCAAGATGGGAAACAAGAGCACAATGATGAGGACTAATCCAAGAAGCATGGCAACGCAGGTCCACTTCCTGGACTCCTTCTGGTGCTCTCTTGCCTCATGAAGCTGCTCGGTGCCTCTCCTCACGAACGAACTGGCATGCGCCACGTGGCTCTCTATGTTGTTGAGCTGCTGGCCCTGAGACTCCACCAGAGCCGCCATGTCCAAGAACACTTGGTGCAGCTCAATCAAATTCTTCTCTATCTCCTTCACAGCATCATGCCTCTCTTGAATCTCTGATATGGTGTCCATTATCTGACCCCTCCCTTGTTCTTGAATGGCCCTTTGCAAGAAGCTTTCACTCTCCCCACTTGCTATCAAGTTCTCTATGGTCTCTTCATCTGCTTTCTCTCCTGTGATTGTGAAATACCTGCATTTTCAGTTCAATGATTTCCTTTATTATATTGATATTGATGATTAGATAATACACATGATATGTTATATCATACCTGCGTTCGACTGTTTCCTTGTATTCAGCTTGCATCCTGGCTCTGAGACCCTGAAAATCATCCATCAAGTCCTTGAGCTTCTTCCCCAACCCACTGACCACCGAGGTTCGGGTGCGGTCAGCCGATGAACCGGGGCCACAGCCGGGAACGTTTCTCTGGGCGGCATTAGACCTCTCTAGAGCCTCCAGCTTGCCCTTTATGATCTTGACCCTCTTGAGAACCTGTTCGACGTCCTTGTCCATTCTGGCTCGAAGCTCCTTCATGGTCTTGGAATTGTGCACGACCTTGCTCTCCTCATTAGCATCCTGCAATTTCCTGTACAGTTTCTCCACAGATCTCATGTCCTCCTTCACATTCTCCACATCCTCGAAGAACTTGTCCAGGTTTATACTCTCCTTCCCCGCCTCCACATCGTCCAGATAAACCTGCTGCTTCAAGTCTGCGTACTTCTTGAAGGACCCTGAGATTAGATCGTTCATTTTTACAGATTTTTTTCCTGAATGATTTCAATTTCAATATGCCTTTTTCTTTCCTACTTCTCTGTTCTGGGTAATAGGAATGATAACAAGTCCAGTAACAGAAATATGATGAACTTGTCTTATATAAAAAAATTAACTTTAAAAAGGTTCAAAAAAAGGTTCATCCTCCTTTCTGGATTTATGATTATATCAGAATTGGGTGATGATGAGGAGGAGGAGGAAGGTTTTGGTGACAAAAGCTTAAACCAATTGTCACCAACAAAGCCGTTGAGGTGAAATTTCCTCTCTGTTTTGCTTGTAGAGAGGATTGAACCTTTAGAGGCTTCTGGTTAATTAGAACAGAGAACCATATTAAGAGCTGAATGAGCCTCAGTTTGCTCTCAATTTTACAAGTGTCATTGCTTTTTTTGCTTTTTTTTCTTGGGGATGAATTAATTAATTTGAGATACTCCAACATTATCGGTATTCATAATAAGAGAATGAGATTTGTGTTTTAAAATCCACTTTCTTAAGTTGTTTTATGACTTCGTCGTGTTTTTTCTATCCTCTGAAACAGTTTTCTCCCGTTCATATTTAAGGACTATTTGGATGAACTGAAATTTTTTAGACTGTTTTTATCGCAGGTTTTGTTTTTCCCCTTTTAAGTCAACCCCCCAAAAAGAAAAATCTTCGGCGTTTAGTTAGTAATTTCTTATGCATGAAAAAAATTTGGACTTTTTGACTTGTAGATTTACTGAAAAAGAAAATTCAAGATAATTTCTTCTTGAGAAAATTGTTGCATGATCGTTTGGTTTGGCTGTGTTGTAAAATCAGTTTATGTTTACATTTGTTGAGATAGGTACTAGAGATCCTGAAGTTGTAGTGATATGATTATTAATAAAAATAAAACAAAATTTTAGCCGTTTTTATTTTTGGAACACGGAAATGTTTTTTTTGAATCATCATTTTGGATTATGACTTGGGAAGAATATTTTCTTTTAAAATTATTCATATACAAATGAAAATATTTTTTTCTTTCTAATTTATAAATGAATACTACCTTCAATCCTTAAAACTCGCTTAACTGGTTTAAGGAGATTAAGGAATTTTGTTGAGTTTAAAAGAATATAAGAAATACTCAGCTCAATTACAATAAAACAGAGGTTAAATATTGACGTTGAATATGTTTGGAGCAAAATCTAATAGAGGTTGAGGCCCAATGTGCAACAGGCGACCCGGCCCATATCTACAACAAGCCCACTAGTACGATGAAGAAGGGGGGATATGTGACGTGGTCAGAAGGCTACTGACACCTATAAATAGGGCGGCAGCAATTCGATGCCCCAAACTCAAAACACATATTTATTGCTTCCCGCATTCGAAGCTTTTTGCTCCCTAGGACACTAGTCTGAGGATTACAAAACAAGCCTGGCTCATATTTTATTGAATATAAATTATCTTTGTCTCAAAGTGAGAAAATATATGACAACCCTTCTTGCCATAAGAGCCATAATTATTTTTTCTCATATTGTAATGTCTTTATCCATTTTTGAAATTAGTGCAATGGAAAGTATCACAAGGTTTTCTTAAAAAGCAGTGGCAAATGGCAACAAAAGGTGGAAGATGGTCAAGACTGAAGAGGGAAGCGCAGAAGAAAGAAAGGTTTTTGTTTAAAGGACAATTCCAGATGTCTTCTCCCTGAATGATTGATCATTCATTCACTCATTGCAATTAAATTCAAACTAACCTTTACTCAATTTACTGCTACTGCCACTACGTAGCAATTCCTCAGAGCATTTAATGTCCAATTCTCCGGTCTCTGCCACCTTCTCTCTCTCTCTCTGCCTTTTCTCCTTGCGTGCTTTAGGCCCCAACAATATTTATTGCATCTTTTCCGCTTCCGCTCCAATGGACAAGAGTCACAAAACACCAATAAGGCTATTTGCCCATCTCAAGAAAATATATCTAAATATAACATCTATTTTGTAGTGTAAATCACAGTACAAAATAGGTCTTATATTTAAAATTAGAAGAAATATGTGTATGTGTAAATAAATACATACATTGCCTGTTCAGTTCGCCTCATCTGATCAGTAACTAGAGTACAGTCAGACATATCAGATCATCAGCGTTACAAGAGTGAGTTTATCAGGTAGTACTAATTTATAGATCAATTATCATTAGAAACATGTCTACTTCTAGACCACAATTTTACACAGCGATTAAGTGTTCATTCATTCTACCGCACGTATTGGTAGTCACTAGCTAATCTCATGAGCGTTTTGTTTTTGTTCACTCCAGACATCAGATTATCAGAATAGGAAAAAACAAGTGTTTCTGAATACAGCAAGTGATGTTAGTGACTTTTGGATTGAAATAACAATTGCCGTTATTCGGCATAGTAAATTAAGCTTTCCACAAGATCACATTAGAACTTTCTGAGCATACATCATATTGCTTCCAATTAAGCGAAGCAAAGCAGCAAAAGTAAACTAAATTCATCAGACACTTTTCTTAAAGATAAGAATGGGAGAACAAATTAAGCTTAGTTACATTTTCGTTGTTGGATGATGGTGGCAAGGTGAACTCTGAAATGAAAATAGCTTCAACCTGCTACCTCATTCACCTGCAATTTCAGTAGTTTTTCCTACACAAGCCGCTATGCTGTCCACTTATATTACTAGAACAAATTGTTGGTTTTTCCACCTGCTCGTTTTTTTCCCTACCCCTCTTTCTGTACAGACCTGAAAAAAGCAAGAAGCCGAAGTGGATAAATGTACAGCAAAAAATTTCCACACTTCCAATATAGCTTTGCAGGATCATCTCACTCAAAGCTGTTCACACATTCATAGACAATGTTTGGGCATGTTCCTTGTCAGCATTATGATTACTACTGCCAAGGGCTACACCATTGCAGAGTTTCTCTTCCCTCGCATCATCTCCAGCTTGCTGTGACTGTCCACCTGAAGTATCTCCAGCAAAAGAGTTCACCATACTCTGCTGCCTCAGATACCTCTCATTAGCATTGTGGAGCAACTTAATCATACTTCCAGAATCTGAACTGGGAGACAGCTCTTCCTCGCGCTCTGGCTGAATATTGAGGTCAATCTGGCCTTTAAACGGCGAGGCGGATGACTTTGTCTTGTTAGGGTCATCATCAGAACCTTCATTGCCTTCCCTGTTCTGATTAGGACTACTGCTATCTCCTGTGTTACTGCAAGGCAGTGAATCATCATCAAGCAATATGTCCGACATAGGTGGTGGTGGCTGAGGTGGCTGGGGCTGCTGCTTTTTACGTGTTGTCTCCGCTTCTCTCTCTGATTGTTTCTTCTCACGCCGTAACATCAAGGTACGGAAACGGCGCTTCACTGTTAAGCAAACATTACATGTGCAAGTCTGCTTATGCTTGGGCCCCTTCCCACTAGGAGGCTGAATGCAAACAATGCAAGAACAGCCAGGTCTATGCCGGGGGTGTTTTGTTGTGGCTTGGGAAGATGCTGGGAGAGCCTCCCCCTCTCCCAAGATAGCTAGGTTAGCAAGGGTGTCAAGTCCTTCCAAAGCGTCAACGTTATCAGGATCCTGCTTGGCTGTCTTCATTTTCTTGGATACAACTATCAAAAATGAAAATAAAATATCTCAAGTTACAATAATCTTCAAAATGTTCTCATATGCTGTTATAGAGTATTTGTCAAATAATAGCCATGCAATTTCCATATAAAGCGCCTACAATGTATGACAAAGATTCCACATCTAAAAGCTTCAGCAAAATTAAAATATAAAAGACTCAAGAATTCATGCAAATCAAACCTGAGTTACAAGGGGGAAGCAAATCTTCAAGCTGTTCTGCTGTCAACTCCTGTGCAGCTGAGCATGATCTGGAAGCATGGAGGATTCACCAAACGACGAAAATGGCCAGAGATATTGGTTAGATATTAACATAGATTTATAATTGAGCAAAGTATGAAACTTAATGAGGCTGCTCGGGCACATTGATAGTGTGCTTAGTAGGGCTGATAAAGAGGCAAATCAAATAGAAAAAGAGAAATAGCCAAGCTTGCCTCCCTTAACTCCCAAAAGATCCCCATCTCCCTCTCTTGAGCTCTTTCCATTTTCACCCCCACCAAATGACAAATAAATATAAAATAAATCAAGGAAATAAAGGTCATCCCCACCCCCAATCGTCAGAATCCATGGTACTGTCCACAATCTAGGAATATAGATATCTTTATATCCATTTGAGGTTTAATGGAACAACCTCTAGCGCATCGAATACCACACTTAGCACACTTCTAGTGCATCAGACATCACACTTGAGACAGTTATGATCAGCATGAATGTGCTGACTGAAACGCATTATTGTGAGAATGCTGACTGCTTTTCTATGCAAATTTGCCCCAAAAATCTAAGGACAGCATGCCAATAGAAACTAAAACAACAGATATATATCGTACCTTTCTGGGTCCCATAGATTATCTGAACATGTCCATCTTGATGTTAGAAGAGCATTAGCTGGCAATTTGCGCCATTTTTGACAATCTTCACATTGAGCCCACTGGATCTTTTCACTGGCACACATAATATTCATTACTGGGGATGAATTACACCATAAATTAGCAAGAACAATTTTTCCTTTTCTTTCAATCAGCCATGCCATTTATAGAACAGGAAATTTTCCACTGTCTGAAAAAAGTGTGCAAGTCATTAACAGATTGACAGATTTGGGCAAAACAAGCCATACAGCCAAAAATGGATTCACGTGCAACTACTCAAGGAGCAGTGATTCAGGCAGGGGGGAAAAAGAGTCAAGGAGAAGTGATTTACCCAACACTGTCGGTAGTGAAAATTGTTGGTTTCCCTAGCACTGGAGCGTCCTGTAACCACAAGGTCAGCACAAGGGCTTTTAAAACACATGAAGATCCCCAGATCTTTAGAAGAGACCAAGACAACAATAATAGATTCAGTCAAAATAGTAGAATGTGCATATTAACTCTTCTCCATTTTCTTTCTCCTAAATTTTTAATTAAGTTATTTTCCAATAAATCAATTAATCATTCTTAAAACCTCATGTTAGATTTACTATATTTCACCCAGCTAAAACCTCATTGTTGACTAACTATATCACCCGCACCGCCACATCCAAATTGCCATTTGGTTAATTTCATGACCACAGGAAATGCAAGAATACTGTGCAAGTGGAAAGCACTCGCTCATCATTGGTTCCAAACATTTGAAAAGGACAGTTGGTGATTTGTGTTCGGCATATGCACTCTAAAAACAGGTCTGAAAAATTGGTTTAAGATTGTTATTCTAGATTGTCGTCACTAAAAATTGGGAATGAGAGTTTCCAGAGTCACAGGGTCTAACAACTTCAGTGGTTCTGTTCAGGACCACAAACCACATAATGCATCAATGCTATCAAAATTTGCCATCCAGTGTTTCGTCACTGAAAAAAAAAATGACGTTCCGCAGTAGATATCATTTAAAATGAAAAAAGACCAACGTACCTCATACTCCTCAAATTCAAAACCTTCAATCACTACAATGCTGGGAACATGGTTAGGAGGGGGACGGAGCAGGCCTTGAGCTTCTTCCCATGTAATGTTCAACTCTATTAGATCCTCATTTTCAATTCTTAGTCGCTTACTCTTTGACCCCAAAGCGTTACTCTTTCTCTTCCTAGAAATGGAAGATTTGCTCCCCAGTGCTTCTTTTGCTATATATCCTGATTTGTCAACTTTGGACCATGAACTAGGATCCAATTCAACCTACATAGCACATGAAAATACAACCGAATTGGAGAATTTCTTAATTATGTACATTATCAGTTACATCAAGATTAATTTTGCACTACTAACATCACCGTGTGTAGAATATCCATTTCCAGTCTTGGTTGTTTCGTTGTCCTGCCAAAATGAAATACAAAGCCAATATATGTAAGTTTTCCGTTGAAAGTCCAAGAATCCTGCAAACGCTGCATTCATGGATAAGTTATGTGTGACAAAATAACCAAAAAAGAAAATGCACTGCTATATCAAATTGAAGCCTTCTTTTATTTATTATAAAATATTTACAATCAGATTTTTAGCCACAGTTAATTAGTTACTAGCTGAAGTCCAAATCTGGCATAATTTAAGGCATTAAGTTCCCTGGGGCATTTTAAAACCTTCAGTCTATAAACCTTGTGGTTTATGGTGTGCCTAGGTCCTATTTTCAGGACTTCTCTAGTTATCTTCCATGCAATTCAAAGGGCGAAAATCATTTACAATCTTAAAAACAATTTCATGCGATAATTTTCAGTAAAAGCACCTAGCTGAAGTTAAATTAGTAAGAAGGCTCTCAATTAAACATATAATTGACACCCTACAAAATGTAATTACACGTAGAAGAATATCATTATACTCGGACATGGACCAAGGTCATACCTGATCAGATTGGGTAGCACTTGAAGCCTTTCGAAATCCCATGACCAACCTCCCCTCTGGCTCCAACCGACTAAATGTTACTGCAGAAATAATTTCAAATCAGCCACAAAAGACAAAACAAGATAATTTCAAATCCTAATCATTACATCATAAGACAACAGGAATCAATGCAGGCTTATCTTTGATTTTTAAATCTAGTAAGAACTGATTACCTGTAGACAAGCATAATTAATGTAGCACTATTATGCTTTTAACACAAAACATATTGTATAGTAAAAATATCCTGTGAATTAAATGAAGCAGAATTAATTTCAGCGGAAGAACTCTAAATTAGATGAGGGATGGCTAGGAAGGTTTAAGCCATTTCAACGCATGAAAATGCTGTAAGCAAGAACCAGGAGTATTGAATCATATATTCCAATACATGAGTTGCCTTCAGCATGGCATGTTACCTGTGTCACCAGCTTGCAATTGCATGGACTGTATGCATGGAGTTACGCCTTCTAAAACATACATTCTACTGTTATTGTTGGGCCAAAAGCGAAATTGAAATATCCATTCCTTGCCTTTTGCATCAAGGATTTTAAGTGGCAACCCTTCAGGCTGAGAAATTTGTGGAAAGTAGGCCTATCACATGGGAAATTACATAGCATTATGCAATCTTTGATTGGATTATACTGAAGCCCATGAAATAATGGCACTGAAACACACATCAATCCAAAAATGATTAAGACTCTTACTATTGAAACTGCACTTGAATAACAGCAAGGACACTCAAATATTTTTTGAAAAATTACAGGTATATGATATATCATGCTATGTATTAGACACTATTCCTGAATCCTGATCCTGTGAATGCAATCTCACCAATCCAATTTTCTCCAATCATCACTATCCTCATGACTTTCCCAGCAAAAGACAACGAAAAATACAGCATTCTACAACAAGACCCTACAATGATAATTAGCACCTGAGTTGGCTCCATATGCTAATGGACATGTGACGCATGTCAAGCAAGCAGCAAAACATTGTGTAGTATGCCTTGAGAAAACATCTAATGGGACACGACAAAACACATGGACAGTGGGAAATCCAAGCATTTTGAAGTGTCATGTCATGTTTTACTAGCATGCCATACACAGTGTACAATCATAATTCCCTTTTACAAATTTCAGTTTACCTTGAACATGAAGCATAAACTATAGTCAATCCAAAGGTACCCTTTTCCCCTACTAATTGTTCAAAGAAAGAAACCTCTTGACTAACCTCAGCACATTTTTTTGGTAGCACTAGACGCCCAATTCGCCCAGCATCACTAGCACTCAACGTTTTTTGGAACAATGGAGTTATAACAGAATTAGAGCTGAAACAATGTCAAGGCTCCCTAACTTTCTTAATGGTAATCAGACAAAACTGGAGAAGATGATGCATTAGAGTTATGGATTAACACACTAATTTACAATATATAGGATACTCGAGAGATATCTGGTGTAGCTCCTGATCAGTGCACCGGGGCCAGTACCGGGGCAATAGCTGGTTCCTTCCTCGGGCGTCTCCTCTGGGCCGTCCATTTCGTGCCTGTGATTCACCTGATGAATCAAGTGCAACGTGTACAGGGCCACTAAATTGCTTTCCATGGGGAGGTGGAGGAGTTTGTTGTGGATGACTTCCAGTTACCCCAATTTGACCATTTCTTTCATTTTGATGTGCATAAGGTACAGTCAGACCAAATGGTTGGGTTGATGAATCCTCCTTCAGAGAAGTTTGCTGGCACATATTCAAGCATGAACTAGACTTTTCATCATTCCGCATTCCTGAAACATCGCAATCATGGTAAATAGCCATCTTAATAACATACTTCATTCTCTCCCATCTCACCAAAGAATATGCAAAATTCTTACCATTTATAAACATCATTTCCCGTGTGCCAATCTTTACATTCCAATTAGCTGGTATTCCAGAAAGATCGTCACTTTTCTTTTCCAGAGATGAGGCAGATATCCTCTCATTTCCATAAATATTGTCAACACTAGATATTTCAACTACAGATGGCATATCCGGGTGCCGGTCAGATGAAGAATTTGTATTGAACAAACTGGGAGCTTGCTTCCATGGTACAGGACCAGATCCAGCTAACTGACTCCAATTTTTTGAAGACAGGTCTCTAAAACGACTTTGAAGAGAAAAAGGTGGTGACCAAGGTAGACTAGGTGGCTGAGATACAGACAACAAAATATAAAGTCAGTGTGCAGATGTTATATCCAAATAGACTATATGAAGTCTGGGCAACAGCCTTTTTTTCTTAAGGAAAAAAAAAAAAAAAAGAGGGAGAAAACCTCAAACAGAAGCTTATCTGCTCATGGAGAAGTTGAAGATTAAGAAATTTAGTTTACACAAGAAATTGCAGGAGAACAATATCTTTTAAGTGATAATCTTTTTCCCTTGAGTTAACTTTAGGGAGAAAACGGAGCAAAAGCCTATAGTAGATCAGTATATGAAAAAATGAACATCACAACACTATGACAGATGAAGCATCTTTAAAAGATGCACAAACGGGCAATAAAAATGGAAAGAAAGGGGGGATTGTGCTTCAAGATAAGTGTCAATGAGTGATGTCTCAATAACTGACACATCTTGAATATAATTTTATTTCCACAGACTTAAAGTCAGAATCAAATAAAGAGATCAAGGGAACAATAATGCATGCAGTAAGTTTATCCCTGCATACTAACACTACATTTATAATAATTGATTCCAATGAAATCAACAATTTCTTAGCTCATTGCCAGACAGAAGAAAAGATTTCAAGCTCCAACATCTTATAAATATATGAATGGCGATCACAAACAATACCTTTCTATCTCACATGCTTGTCAAATGAATGGTCAATATCCTTTTCAGATTAACTGGCTAAAAATATTTGGTTCGCTAAGGAGAAACTTATTTTCTTCTCCAATAATAATACAATTTAACAGTTCTTGAGGTCATTTGGCAGAAAACAGTGTGAAACAGAGATGGCGAACACTAACTTGTCACATGATTTATCTGGAACTCTGATGGGACATCTAGCTAGATTTATTTCATGTTTCGGTAATTTTCACGTTTTTAGCAACTTCTTTATGTTTTAAGTGATTTCTTTTACTAAGTTTAGGTTTTCTTTCACTTTGGGTTTAAGTTGTTGCATCAAAGGCTCTAATAAATGGCTGTAAATTATTCTCAATGTTGGGCTTTTGATTAATTGAAGTTGAGACTGGTTATTATGTTCCAAATTTCTCCCTTCTCCCTCTATCTCTCCAAACCCCCATCCCCCTCTCCTTTCCTTCTCCCACATCACACTGACTGACAGACCTTAATCTTCCTCATGCTTTGCCTCAAACGGTCAATGTCCCTTCCAGATTAACTGACAAAGCAATACTTGCCTTGCTTTCATACAGGGAGAAACCTTTTTCTTCTACAATAACAATACAATGAACAGTTTCTGAGTTCATTTGATAAGAAAGAATGTGAAATAAGGATGCACATAACACAAGTATCAGGCAGATTAAATCATGCCATAATAAAACGAACAAAAAGTGAAGAAATGAAAAACTACCATCAATATGCTTAGAATGAAAGAAAAACCAACCAAAATAATACTCTTCCTGGCACATGCAATGCATTCAATGCCTCCAGGATCCAACATCATAAAGGCTGTACTTGAAACGATACACCCACAGTGAATCCCCTGTAAAGGAAGACTCATCATCAGATAAAAGTTCCAGACTCAACGTGGGGGACACATGTCAAGTTATATGGCATTTAGCAGATATAAAGCAATTGAACCCATTACAATTTAAACTCACCTTCCCACATGTCTCACAAGTCCTCCAACCAGAAGCTTTTGAATGATAAATGTCACAGAACCTTCCTTCCTCAAAAGCAGAACTAAGTGTCACAGAAACAAAACCAAAACTTACAAAGGGAATGACAATAACATGCATAGCATATAGAATGAAATCAGAATAAAAAATTGAAGGATCAATGGGCATGATTATTTTAAATAAGGCCAATTCACTCCTCTGCCCAGATGCATTAACATGTATAAACCCCAAAAAAAAAAAAAAATCAGTTATTTATTTCCAGCATACACAAACAACCAAGAAAAAAAAAATACAAGCGAGCAAGAAGAAAATTTGTTTGACCTAATAATATGTGGGTTCTCATCTGGAGCCCATTTTGGCCAATATATATTCCAGTAAAAAAAAAAAAAAAGGAACTACAATGTTCAACCAGAAGAAAACACACATAAAAACATGCCCACATGCATGGAGTCCTCCTTATCAGTTGAATGAACTAATATATCAGCTGCATCAACAAATCTTCTCTGCAGCTTAAAAAGTTTCTACTACCCGCCGAATGGCATAATTACAACAACAACAAAACCTTATCCTACTAGGTGGGGTCGGCTACATGAATCGCATGACACCATTGGATTCTATCCAAAGCCAAATCTTTGGATATATTGTTAATTGAAATATCTCGCTTAATGACTTTATTAAGTTTTGTTTTCGACCTTCCTCTACTCTTTTTTAGAAGACTCTATACAGTTTGATCAACTCTTCTCACCGGCACGTCCTATGGCCTTCTTTACACGTGACCAAACCATCTCAATCGATTTTCTACCATTTTCTCATCAATACCAGCCACTACAACCTTTCCTCGTATATGTTCATCACGGATCTTGTCTTTTCTTGTATGACCATACATCCATCTCAGCATTCTTATCTCAACAATTGCCACTTTATATTCATGTTGTCCCTTTAAAGCCCAACACTCACTCCCATATAGCATTGTTGGTCTTATAACAGTGTGCTAGAACTTTCCTTTGACCTTATTAAGTACTTTCCGATCACAGATAACTCCTGTCGCTTTTCTTCATTTAAACCACTCAACTTGAATTCTATGAATAGCATCTCCATCAATTTCACCATCTTTTTGGATAATTGATCTCAAATATTTAAACTTTTTCACTTGTGGAATGACTTGATCTCCAATTTGACCTCTAAATTTGTTCTAACTTGTCTCTTATCAAAAATGCAATACATATATTCTGTCTTGCTTCTACTCAAACTGAAACCCTCGATTCTAAGGTTCTTCTCCATGTCTCAAGTTTAGTAGTAATCTCTTCTCTTGACTCAGTCAATAAAACTAGTTTATCAGCAAAAAGTATGCACTTTGGATTTTTTTTTATTTGCTCACTTAGAACATTGATAACTAAGTTAAACAAATAAGGGCTCAAAAATAATCCCTGATGTAGGTCAATCCTTATAGGAAAGTCCTTTATCTCACCACCCGGCGTTCAAACACTAGTTATGACCTCCTCATACATGTCTTGTATGATTTTGATATAAGCGACACGCACACCTTTCTTCTCCAAAGCTCTCCAAAGCATTTCTCTAAGCATTCGGTCATGAGTTTTTTCTAAATCAATAAAAATCATATGCAAGTCTCTTCTGTGGCTTCGATATTTTTTCATTAACCCCCTCAATAAATAAATCGCTTCTGTTGATCTTCCTGACATGAACCCAAACTGGTCTCCAATCTCAACCTATGTTCTATCACCTTCTCCCATAATTTCATAGTATGACCCATGACCTTAACCCCTCTGTAGCTAGTACAATTCTAGATATCTCCTTTATTCTTATAAATAGATACTAAAGTACTTTTTTTCCAATCATCAAGCATTTTCTTGGAGCGCAATATCTCATTAAATAACTTAGTAAGCCATAGCACACCATCTTCACCCAGACATTTTCAAACTTCAATAAGAATACCATTAAGTCTAACTGCTTTATTGTTTTCCATTTTCTTGAGAGTTTCCTTAATTTCAGCAACTCAAATTCTTCAATAAAAAGCTGAATTGTGTTCCTCTTCTCCAATTGTCAAATCTTCAAACTCATAAGTCAATCCTTCACCCCCATTATTAAATAGCTTATAAAAATAGGCTTCCCATCAATCTTTAATATCACTATCAATAACCAAAACTCTACCTTCTTCGTCCTTTATGTATCTTACTTAGTCCAAATCTCTTCTTTTTCTTTCTTTATTCTTTGTAGTCTTGTAAATCTTGCATTCCCCAGCCTTAGTCCCTAAATCGTTATAGAACTCCTCAAAAGCTCTAGAACGTGCTTCACCCACTGATCTCCTAGTCTCTTTTTTGGCTAAACGGTACCTTTCCCAATTTTCAGCATTATTATACAAATGTATTGCTTTAAAACAACCTCGCTTATGCTTGATTTTCTCTTGCACATTCTCGTTCCACCATGTCTCCTTATCTCGCCAACCACGACCTTTCGATCAACCCAAAATTGTTTTAGCAGCCTTCTGGACCTTCTTAGTCATTTCTGTCTACATAAGATTAGCATTTCCTTGTAGCTCCCAAACCCCTTCCTTTAAAAAAGTCTATTTGAAAGTCTCTTGCTTCTCTCCTTTTAACTACCACCATTTGACCCTTGGGGTTGACACTTATTGGCGCTTTTGTTTTACACACATCAAGGACCAATACCCTCTGTTGTGCTGTCACGCCATCTCCAGAAATCACTTTATAATTTGTGCAAAATTTTCTATCAGGATTCCTTACCAAAAAGAAATCAATCTGCGACCTCGAGATTCCACTCTTGTATGTCATTAAATGCTCCTCCCGCATCTTAAAACAAGTGTTAACAATCTTGAGGTTGTACGCGAGGGAGAAATCAATAATAGTTTACCCTTCATTATTACGCACTCCAAAACCCATACCACTGTGAGCCCCTACATACTGTCCTGCTCCTTTATCAACATGTCTATTTAGATCACCACCAATAAAAATCTTTTCCACGAGTGGTATGCTTTGAATCAAACCCTCTATATCCATCCAAAATTTCTCCTTAAGATGGACATCTGCCCCTACTTGAGGTGCATAAGCACAAACCACATTGATAGTATCTCTCCCCATGATTATTCTTAAAGAAATGATTCTGTCTTCTATCCTTTTGACTTCCACCACATTCTATTTCCATTCATTATCAACGATAATACCAACTCCATTCCTTATGCCTACCTTTCCCGTATACCAAAGTTTGAATCCATTAGTAAATTCAAAAGCCTTCTCTCCAACATATTTAGTTTCTTGGAGCCACAAAATATTAATCTTCCATTTGTCCATTATTTTCACCACCTCCCTTGATTTACCATATAGGGTCCCGATGTTCCAAGTGCCAAACCTGATCTTGCTTTCATGAACTAACTTTTTTAACCACCTCCGTCCATAAAAGTGCGATAGCCCTTGCTCATTTAACACTACATTCGGGCGACAATGCGACGGCTCTTGCTCACTTCTCATTGTACTCGAGCCATATAACGTGTTACTTTCGCAACGACCTAGCAGTAGCACAATTTCTTTGTGGATCCATATCATAAAAGATTCGACAGGATTTTATGTTAGCTGTTGATGGCCTAACACAACCCTCCTTCTTTACCCGGGCTTGAGACCGACTATGCAACATAGGCTGAATGGCACAATTATAAAATTATAATTCTTATGAGGGAATTTTTTTAGTTCAACAATATAGAGAACCAATAACATATCATTACATAATTTTGAATGCTGCTTTGATGGCTAATAAAACTGTGGAGGATACTAGTTGCCATAAGCAGACAAGTCTGTTGTTCAAGTTGGATCATGAAATGACCTATGAAAGGGTAGATCAAGGTTCCTTAGATGAAGCTTTTAGCAAAGAGTTTGAGGATAAATGGCAACAATGGAACAAAGGTTGCCTTTACTCTATGGTGTCCACAAGGTCTTAGTATCAAGGTCAGCAAAGAGCAAGGTGAGGCAACCTCGTTTTTCTCCATTTCTGCTAACCCTTGTTGTGCATGTGCACATAAAACCATAAAATGGTGTAATATCATGTGGCCAAGAAAGAAATCACTTAGAGAAACTATAAAGTGACTAAATCAATCCGCGTACTGCTTAATTCACATAATCACTCTTGTACACATTTTATCTCTAATTATACACAATTAACCAATTAACAGGCGTCAAAAGCCTAAGATTAGATATAGAAATATATGAAATAATAGGATTTATCAGGGTGTTCTATGTTTCAACATGAGCTTCATAGATGTAGGGTCTGATGAAACATTTGGACTTTGGTTGAGAGGGCTGAGAGTTTGCTCACATAAAATGACACTATTCATTGTCTTTCTAAAGGTAGAAATAGCGTTTTGATCACCCATCCCGGGTTCAAGCCTTTAAACTATGTTTGAATCAATGTGTTACAAGGGAACGGGGCCAAATGGATAGATAGAAAGTTAGCCCTATTTGGGAGATTTTATAAAAAAGGGAAAAGGAGGAGACAGTCAGGCAATTTAGTTTACTGTTTTATCCTTTTTCTTATATACGTAGTCACAGTCAAATAGGGCTTATCTTGGGAATTCAACGGATATGCCTCGTTGTTCCTACCATTCACCCCTCCTCTCCGAAACTACCAAATCTTAGTGGTTTTAAGCCTAAGTTAATCTTGCTAAATGTGGCCTGGTTAGTATTTCAATAATGTGTTGCAAGCATCATAGCTAGGTACCAAGTTGTTTATCTTTACGGTGGCCCTTCATCTATCTAGGAGTCCCTTTGCTGGCAATCCCTCATGCATGCTTCGGGATCTAATGGTTCAGACAATAACCAAGATGCTTGACATTTATCACAAATCCTCTCTGCTGCCTTTCTTTGCTCAGGAAACCTAATGAAATAGTTGAGAAAGTTAACGCATCCAAGTTGGATATTCTATGGCCAGGTTTTGAGGATGGTGAGAGATATCATCTAGTAAGCTGGAAGGATTGTCACGAGTAAAAATCAATTTGGGGTCTTAAACATCAAGTACTAGACCATGTAGTTAATCCTCCGTGACAAGAAGCAGTAAACAGTAAACAAACTGCATGCTAAACTGCTGAAAATCCTAAACTTGATCAGTACCAGTCATGCAAATCCTTGGAAAGCTAGAACTGTTAAAAACTGCCTTCCAAATCACTAGTATTTTTCCTACTTGCAGTCTAAGATGGCCCAGAAACATACTCTCCTAATGGAAATATAGAAAATTTTACAGAAGCGTTCCTGACTACTTAGTAGCATTAGTGACAAGGAGAACTAAATGTGTCAATTTCAGTTGCTGGATACTTTCGTCCTGTTTTCTATTCATCTCTGTTCTCTTCATAGTAATGCAAAATAAATAAAGATGCAGTTTCACAACTAAAGGATTGGGTTATTGACAGAGCACGATGGCGTCGTGTGATTCATGTAGCCGACCCCACCTAGTGGGATAAGGCTTGTTGTTGTTTGTTTGTTTGTTTCACAACTAAAGTTGTTTTGTTTTACATTCACGAAGCAATCCAAGAGCAACCGAGCAGAAAATGAAGGCAAAACAACATTGTTAGTGTCACCTCAAGGAATAGTATGGTACTAGGGCCCAACCGCTCCAGAGTAAAATATATTCGAAAAATTATAAATAAAATAAAATAAAATAAAAATGGAAAAAAAGATATTCCGGAGGAAGTAAAGAATTTCGTCCCAATATCATGCCAAATGAAAAGGGGAACTACAATCCAGTGACAAGGTTATGACTGAAAACAGCTCCTGCCCTTGTAAGGGATGCCTTGAAGTCAAATTCCAGAAAACTTGAGACTAACCGCAACATTTTTAAAACATTAAAGGAGGGCAAAAGATCCAAACTTGTTATTCAAATTTTAGACTTGCTGCTGCTAAAATAGAAGAGACCCACGCATTAATAACAAAGCCACTATCAAATTTCACTCCTTTGGTAAAAGTGATACGCAATACAAAACAAGCAAAATGCACACTTTCGCCATAACAGCCATTCATACGGCAAAATTTTAAAATAGAGAAGCTGGAAACAAAAGCGATAGCAAAACCCAGAAAGCTCGAGTAGTCCCAATCTTGCACATAGCGAGCCACATAAAATTTGGTAAAAAAAAAAAAAATCTAAACATGACCCAAAAAAGCACACTGTTTGAGTCAACAAAATAGTAAATTAGTCACCCGCATCGATCACAGAGCTCAGCGAAGTCTCCAGTACGGAGTCTCCAACCCTTCTTAGGTCTGTCTGACTTCAATTCTTTACACTCGGAATTGTAGCAGACCTTTGACGAGGAAGAAGAACCCACAGTGGCCATTGGAACTCAAGGACGTAAATATCAAGCCGAAGAAACTGCGGAAGACCTCAGCTTGATGCGTGAGGAAGGCCAGAAAAAGCTCAAATGGTTGGTGCGTCCTGATCTGTAATCATGGGCGTGAGAGGAGGGGGGCGAGGAGGTTGGAGAAGGGTTTTTGAGAGAGAAAAATGCTCTCTTTTTTTTTTTTAAGGGGGCCAGTGAGGTGAGAGAGAAAGTGGGGCTCGTTGCAGTAACAGTGTGTGTGAGACCAAGAAGAGAGAGGGGTCGCGCTTGCGTGATATGAATATCTACGGTAAGTGTGCGCAAGAAAAGAAGCATTTATTCGGCGTCGTCGCTTCTCTCCTTTTCAAAACTTTTTCTTGCTTACCATGTTCGTCCCTTCTCGGTGTTGGCACTCTTCTAAATTATGGAAACAGTTATCTACTCTTACCTAATCCCATCTTCAATTCTCAATATCCCAATCTCAATCTGCGATTATTCCCCCTCTTCCAATTACTTTTCCTTCTATGCACACTGCACTTTGACACAAAACTACTTACACTTTGCCAGTATTTTATTATTCTGACAATAATATCAATTAAAATTTTATACATGTTTTTTCAATTAACCATGTGCATCTTTCTATCAAAAGTAGTCTGTTCAAGTCATTATGTGACTTGAATGTTGGCAGTTTCTGCCAACATGGTTTTATGCATATTGATATAAATTAAAAAAATAATTAATGCCGTAGATCTGTCAAGCTTTTTTGTCATATCCTTAGGAGGATTTAAGTTAGGATACACTTTATCTCATCTTTGCTATTGGAAACTGTGTTAAATATAATTGATGTGAATAAAAATAATGAATAAAAACATTCCTGAATAAATTGGTCAATAACATACCTTAAGGTTTTTATTATTATTTTTGCACTTGACATATGGAAGGGGGGAATAAATTAAAATAAAGAAAACAGCGTAAGAATCGGGCTTATTTAGGAACGAATCTCCTGAATACTTACGTACACCAGTTCAGCCTCCCGCGCATGAAACCTTAGTTTCGCTAAATACTTATCCATTACCTGTTTAATAAAAATGCTCGTGTGGGATGGGTCGGAATATTTTTTATAATTTAAAATTAAAGAAAACAAGGGGGTGTTGGTGAGAGGTTAAAGGAGTGTTTGGATGGAAACCAAACCATGATTTTAGAAGTGATTTTACTGTCTATAAAATAAATATGTGAAGGAATTTATCTCGATTTGTGAAAAAGTGTTTTTCAAAAATATTTTTCAGGATATCCAAACACCCTTTAAATTTGAATGCGGGTTGACTGGTGCCGGGGATTGTGGTGTGGCGTGTCTGGCTGCGAGATATTTACGACCGGAGAATAGCCCACGTGAATTAAGCGGGGACGCGGCGAGTGAAGTTGAAGGCGAGGGAGCATGGCGCGTGGGCGTGAATCTGCGTTGAATGTGATTTTGCCAAATGATCGTGCATGGCCCGCTCATGTCATGCAATCACGTAAGTCGCAAGGCCCCCTTCCCAATAGGTGCTCGGCTCCGGCGTCCTGGTCCACGCGCTTTGACAAGTTCACTTCCCAAGTCATCATACTTTCCGCCAATCCTTTTCTTTTTCCGTCCTGTACTTCTGTTTTCCTCCCCCCTCCTCCGCGCTCCTTTTTCCATTTTTCTCCGTTTTACATGACGTTTTGCGTTCAACAACAGATCTCTTTTTCCATTCCCTCCCCTGTCTTTAACTTTATTACGAGAGACCGCGGATGGATATATACAGTGTGGATGTATGACAAATTAGCAACAGCTATTTTCATGGGTCATCACGAACCCTTAAAATTTTCACATTTTACATATCATAATTTATGTATAGTATTGACGTGTCTTTATATATATACCATCTCTAATTCTTGATATTAGTAAGATACTTTAAAAAAGACAATACATATTTATTATAATCAATTTTTTTGACTTAACTATTTATTACTCCTCCGGTTCTTAATATAGGACCCAATTATTGAGTTGATTTTGGTCCTAAATATAAGACCTATTTCTCATATTTATCAATTTTCTCTAAATTACCCCTATAGATATTTCCTCAACCATAATCAAATAGAAAAAGGAGAGGGGTATTAAAAAAGATAATTATAGTGTTTTAGGAAAAATGTGTCACTTTTCTTATAATTAACTAACTTACCTAACTTTCTTAATCTAATCAAATTAGTTAAATGGGTCTTATATTAAGGACCGGAGGAGTACAATTAATTAACTTAACTAATTTTTTTAATCTATTCAAATTAATAAATCAGTTCTCATATCAAGTATCTAATGTAGTATATAAGTTTGGAGGTACAAATTCTAATTTTGCAAGCTCAATTTTCATCCAATAATTCTTGTTTGGCTCCCCCCCCCCCTTCTAATTTGAGTTTTATTGCTCGAACCTTGATTTTTCCAATGTACGTAGTCGAATGTTTGCTTTTACCAAACCGAACTTCATGAGTAGAGTTTTCCCAACACTATTTTCAATAACTCATATCCAAGCATGTTTGAGCTTTAATTTTGAAATTTCTTTTATCATGCATAGACATAAATCAGAAAAAAAAATTGGAGAAATTTTTTACATTCAAAATTTATATTGATAAGAATAACTTGAATTAAAGCACCGCACTCTGTACGTACAAAGTTTGTAAGGTATTAATATAGCCTATTTATAACAATTTATTAAGTATTTATTATCATAAAATTCTTAATGGAGGAATTTTTCTCAAGTTTTCATGTAAATTACGAATAGATAATTAGATACATTTTTTTTAGTAATTAGAAAATACAGCTTAGATCAAATCTAGTCTAGTCATTATTTAATTGAAAAAATTGACGTTTTATTTAACGCGTGTATGTGGGCGCGTGAGATGTTGACCTCCACATTTTATTCATGTAATTAAATTTGAAAACGTATACACGTAACACGTTGCTCATATTTTATTTAGAAAGCAAGTATATACCGCAATTAAGTTATTGGATGAACACGGTTTTACGTTATTGACCCGTGGGGATAATTATTATTTATAGAATCATTAATTATAATGATACACTTACTAAATATAACAATTATCCTCTTCTGCATGGGGGAGTAGTTGATTACGTGTTACTCTATCAGTCAAAAAAATCAGAGATAAAATTAGAAATAAACCAGAATAATCATTTCAAAATTAAATATTGAATTGTATATTTATGTATCTATGCGTCCCAGTGAAAAGGAAAGCAAAGAAAAAAACACACACAAAAGCACACAGCCAATTATCCACCCGTGTAGAATACGCAAAGTTAGCAAAAAGTATCATGATTCTCTGTTGGTTGGGAGAGCAGAAACTTTATGTAAATAATAAGAAAATCCAAAGGAATTTGATCAAGGAGACTTATTAAGTTGGTAAATGAAATGCATGGTACTTCGAACGCCCTTGTGTAATTTTCAGGGTTTTGGATATTATGATGAAATTACTCTCTAAATCCGTTTTTAAAATAGCTAACTTAGCTTTAAGATTCGTAGATATTGAGGAAGTAGATAAAATTAGTTATTGTCTTAAAAATTTCAGTTCATTTCCAATTTTATTCATAACTTATTAGAGATATACTCCGATCCTTTAACTTTATTTATAAGCAAAAGGAGAAGGATTTTCTTAATCCTAATATCACATCATTGAATTTGTAACATAAATGTACTATTTTACTTTTTATGTATTATTGTGCGGTATATTATGACTTTCTTAAACAGGGGTAGGGTTAAAAATTGTTAAATTTCAAAACATACTTAATACTCCTCTTGTCCTACTTATGAGGCAAAGAAATAGAAAAAATTTTGGTCCCATTTATAGGACAGAAAGAGAAACTTTTAATACGAATGTACTCCTCCGATCCTAAATATAAGACGTCTTTTGTAATGTAAATTATACTATAAAAGAGTTTTATTACACTACAAGAATGGTTTTATATTTAAGATCAGAGGAGTACAATTTTATCATTCATTCATTATTATATTAACTTTATTCTTAATGTATATAATGTATATTAAATAAGAATATAGCTAGAGAGCTATTAAATTTTAAAAGAAAGTTAATCAATTTTTTTTTGTTTATATAAAATCTGTTGGAAATTACTTGTAATAAAATTTCATGAGGCGTTTTCCATTGAAAAGGATGCTAAATTCTCAAACGTGGCTCGTGTGCTGGGGGCGGGGAATTGGATAAGGAAAGAGAGGTGAGGAAGTCAGAGGAAGCGACAAAAAATGGAAGAGAGAGAGAGAGAGAGAGAGAGAGAGGAAATGGGGAGGAGGAGCGTTGAACGTAACTAATGGGGAGAGGACAAATTAAGCAGAGCGGTAATCGGCATCATTTGTGGAGGAAATGTTCAACCAAATTACTATACCATTCCCTCTTGTCCTTCCTTCCTATTATTATTATCCACAGTCCATTATCTGTTAACTCTAATTAATTCTCTAATCAATTCATTAATTAATTAGTTATGGGAGGCTAAACTTCTGACACCTCAAATCTTGTCTTTCAATATTATAGGGGGCAGTGTATGTAGAGAGAGAGAGTAGTTTCTAGTTACGTAGCGTGTCGGTATGGAGTTTTGACATCATTTGACCATGATTTTTTCCATTAATTTCTTAATTATCTCTGTCATAATCATTTTATTTACATAAAAAGAAAGTGAGAGTGCAGCTCATTATTGCCTTTTTATTTTCGAATTCTTCAAGTGTATGTGTGTGTGTGTTTTCTGTCTTCTTTTCTTTCGGAAATGAATAATTTACTTTTCCAGGTTCTAAGAAATTGTCAACAAAATGTTACGAGTGTAATCTAACCCATTCCATAAGAAGAAAAACTACAAAAAAACGTGATCAGGTTTAGTTAATTTCAATATTTTTTTTGAAAAAAATAATTAACCTCTTTATAAATAATTTTTTTTAAAAAAAGTTCATGTTGTAGAATGTATCCTATGCGGCATATGCATCATACGAAACTAAGGGAATGTTTGGTTTTAACAAAAATCATTTTTAAGAAGTATTTTTACTACATCAAAACAAAATTCTACTCACATAAAATCACTTTTAAAATCATGATTTGATTTTCATCCAAACAATCCTAAGTCACACCTGCAAATATCATCTTCTACTATGTCACAATTAAAATTTATATGTAAATTAAAATATATGATGAATCCCATAACAATCACAGATTCAGCGCCCCCCCCCCCCAAAAAAAAA